ACAATAATTATTAAAGTAACAAAAGTGATCAAAGTCGTATTCATTAAAAAAAATGGAGAGTCGAATGACCTCAACAATGGCTGAAAAAGATAAAAGGTCGGCGAAAATGGCAAAAAGATCCCGATAATATTAAACACTTTAACTTACTAATTTATTTGGTAACACAAGCAGATTGTTTAGCTAGTAACACAAGCAGTTATGTTTGGTTATCAAATATAAGAGACGTAGTACTACTTATTATTAACAATAGATATCCTACAAATGTCGATGTTTATCTTGCAATCTTGATTACTAACGATGGACATAAATTTGCACTGATGAAATATTGTCTCCGAGTTCGATCCCTTACAAGAACATGAGTTATCTTTTAATCAAATTTTTATTTGTCCTTACCCTCGAAGTGATATTTACAAATATGGTAACATTTATTGTATCCTAAATCTTGTGATGAGTAAGTTATATTTTACAAATACACTTTTGTAGTAACAACAAAACTTTAAAAAAAATTGTGAACATATAATTATTAGTAATAAATTGATATATTGAATATAATTTTCAATAACTTTTCAAACTTTGAATACTATACATAGACCATAGTTATAACTTTCAAAGTTACCAATTTACCCTTAATAATTTAACTTAATAAAACATATTAATCGTCATAGGAAATAAGGTAACATTATATTGATCATGTGTAATGATTTTTGTTTAAATTTTTTTCATGTTGAGATAAAGAGGCAACAAATTTTTAAAATTATGGATGATGTGAATAGACACAGTCACTGAAAAGTCATAACAAATAAAGTTGAATAAGTAAATATATAGTAATCGAGTTTTACATCAATATTAACAATTGATGTGAAAACTGTAAGTTTATGATTAGTTACCGACGATGCAATGAAGAGTAATATATTTTGTTTGCTAAATGTTTACATTATGAATATCATAATATCTCACAATGTTGATTACTAACACATTATATTGCTCATAAATTGTTACACATTAAATTTGGTACCGGGTTTGTATCTCTTCCTTAATCACAACGGTTTTTTTTAGTATAGTTTCCTTAATCACATAATTATACGGTAACAAAAAAATGAAAATACAGTATTCAAAACAATATATTTTATTCATATATAACACTTTTTTTTAGTAACAACCTTTTAAAAAAAACGAAAAAATAATAACCTCAAAAATATGTGGTAAACACATGGGAAATTTAGCAATAAGTGACAATAATTATATTGTGTGTAACCAATCATGATTCGATTTAAACTCTTAATCATTTTATTTAAATATTCAAATCTATAAAGTAAATCTACTACACTTAAGACCTGTTCTCATTGACTGAAATCAGTTGAACTGAACTGAACTGAGCTAAACTGAACTTAGTATTAGTGATTTTAACTACGGATTAGTGATCTTTGATTGTTTATTTTTTATTGATTATTTATTATTATACATATGTGTATATACATATGTACATATTAAAATATTTATGAAAAATATACTTTATAATTATAATATTTATGGAAAATATATTATAAACATGAAACCCCAAAAGATTTTAAACACATATACTATTTAATTTAAAAATAAAATAGTATTATGACAAAAGAACACAAAACAATTTGTTGTTTAAATTTTTTTTAGAAAAAAAATAAAAAATAAAAAATAAATGGTTGGACCGAAACAAAACAGAGCTAACACTCTCTTTATTGTTTTAATACACCATATTGAAAATAGTAGTCTTGTTTGAAGTCAATTGGTTGATTTGTTCAACTTAACTTTTCATTATTAATGTTTCTGTAAACTTCCTTTCTTAAAAGTCACAATTGCACTCTCTTTATTACATGTATCTAACCCATTTTAACATATTTTTTTTTAAAATAAATAAATAAATAAAAGCTGAAACAAATTGATAGCACTGTTTGGAAGCGAAGTTTAGGAGAAGCAAGAATGGGATTTCCTCATCCACCGCCTGGTACAAACTAAATGACATTTTGATGAATAAAATGGGAAAATCCATTAGTTTCGTTAACTAACATTATGATTATTGCACAGGAAAATATTATGTAGTCGATTCAGCGTATCCTAATACACTCGGGTACTTGAGTCCACATACAGGACGTGATTTGAGGTATCATTTGCCTGATTTCAAGAGAACGGGTACTCCACAAAGAATATTTGAGCATTTCAATTACCTACTCTCGTCTTGTCGAAATGTAATTGAGCGGATTTTTGCGATTCTGAAAAATAGGTGGAAGGTTCTACAACCTAAATTGATGTCGCAAACGGAATTACGTTTTCAGTTGCAAATAATCGTTACTTGTTGTACTCTACACAATTTTATTCGTTTACATGAACTAGGGATTCCATTCACGCACCAAGTTGAAGTCATGGAGCGAAGAGAAGATCATACTATGTACGATCCTAACAGAAAAGCAGCTATGGATATTGTACGACAAGAAATAACTGATCAGATATGGGAGTCGGTTCAGAGGAATGCCAAGGTAATGGAGGAGCTTGGTGGACAAGAAGAAGACGAAGAACTAACCGATTATGAAAATTAGTTTAAGTTGTATAGTACTCTAATTTTCTCAATGAGTTTAACAGTAGAAATGTGTATAAAAAAATAGAACCATTTGAACAATGAATTGTATCATCATCATCATCATCATTATTATTATTATTATTATTATTATTATTATTATTATTATTATTATTATTATTATTATTATTATTATTATTATTATTATTATTATTATTATTATTATTATTATTATTATCGTCGTTGTAATAAGAGCTTTAAAGAATGAAATTTGGCTTTATATCATTAGCAATATCATTAGACATAAACTGAACTGAACTGAGCTGAGCTGAGCTGAACTGAATTTCAACGTATGAGAACAGACCCTTAGATTGTAACTCTCAAACGCCTCAATAATGTTTCAATTTTGATGTTTACATGCATATAATTCATCCTCTTTTTTTTTTTATTTTTTTTTTTTAAAAAGTATCCTTTTTTTTTAATAACGCTTTGTATTTATTTTATTAAGACTTTGTTTCTAACACTACTTGTCTTTATTAACACTTTTGTATTATTTGACAATATAAGCAAACTAGTCTTTTCCCACATATTTAATATGAGTATTTTTTTTTTTGACACATAATATGAGTAAACTAGGATTAAACCAACTTATTTAGTAACACAAATAAAAAGATAAGTTATAAACACATGGGAATATTTAGCAATAAGTGATAATAATTTGTGTATAACCTTAGCTTTTTTGATTAAAAACCTTCAAGAAATGAATAAACCCCTCCAATGTATGAATTAATCCGTACAACACTTGATAATTGTATAATTGTATCTAACACCTATTTAATTTTATAGTTCCTTATATGTAATAAAAATATAATCTGTACTTTTTTAGTATGTTTGAATTTTTTGTAGTAACAATAATGACAAATTACTAACACTTCTTTAAAAATTTAACAAACATAGTAAGGTTAAAATTGTCCAACTTTATAAATTTTTTGAAAATATATCAATATGGATGTCTATAAAAAGATCTTCAAAAAATAATTTCATTGGTTATTTTTATAATAATTTTTTTTATAGTTTGTAAAATATCGTCAAATAAAGTATTATTCGATTCTTATAATAAACATCTCTCTTCATTAATGACGTTGACTAGGATGCTATTTTCTCAATAACAAAATTGTATATTTTAGTAACATAAAATATTTTTTTAGTAACAAGAAATATTATTTGGCGCCAATGAAATTTGTCCCGCCTTCTTACGCTAAATGATGCCAAAAACCAAAAACTTTTCCCTCTCATTTTTTTAGCTAATAATGAGTTATCGATTTTTAATTGGTAATGTATGTTGGGACCACATACATTCAATGTATGTGTATCATTGTTCCTACTATTACTACCTCACCGACAACAATAACAACAATAGTAATAACAATAAGAATAACAATAACAATAATATTAATGACATACATTAATGATAAGACAAAAGGAACATTTATTATAACCACTAGAGCCATAATTAAAACTAAGTATAGCTATAATTTTCTTAAATCTTCTCAAAGGTAAAGGGGTGGGGAGGTTGTCGGTTGTCGGCGAGAAACATGGTGTGGTGGCCGGGAATGAGTGAATGAAGGAGGAAGAGGAAATAATTTGAGTGAAAGTGAAGAGGGGATAAGAATTGTATGGTGAAATAAGGGGGGTGTAATCCGCTTTTATAGGGGTGAATTATCCATTGCAGTTTTACACAACTGTAAAAATATCGCACAACATTCTAATAGACAAGTAAAATTAGTATTAATATTTATAAACGTAAATAAGTATCACACTGGGTTGCAAGTCGTAGTGGTCCGAGAACCCTAATCTATTCAAGTGGTCAAGGGTTCGAAAACTGAATTGAAAGAAACATTAAAAGTGTGTAATCCAAAATTAAATAAATATAAAGGCTATGTATTGATATCCTCAATTTTATCAACATGGCTAATTATGTAGAGTAATTTTGTAGAGAAATATATTGTGAGTATGGACAAGTATAGAGCATACTCCTCAAAATATATTTTGTGAAAGAAATTGAACAACTTTCTAAAATGGGTAATCAGTATTCGGTATAAGTATACCTGATCGAAGATGGTGCTGATAACGTCGTGTTATGATTATACAGAGTATGTAGATATATAGAGAGCAAAAGAGGTATTTCACTATCTGTAATATTATCACAATACAGATGAATGAGAATGGTGAATTTGCAAATGCATTTCATCGGATATTTATAGTAGAAGAAACATGCTACTACTTCTAGCTATACATAAGTCACACGTAAGTTAATAGGTTTGGAAAAATATTACCAAGCATTTAATGGTGATGACCAAAAGACCAATAATTATGTGGCATTCACACAAGTTACTTCATAAAAAAAATCGGGTTGGCTCGCTGCACGACACGGCACGATGCCCATGTTTAGTTTCACTCCTACCGTACGTAACAAGATGATGAACTTGGTTTGGATTTTGGAACTCCCCAGTCCTCATCCTTATTAAAACAAAAAATTGTACGAGAATAAAAAAAGTCGTTCAAATAAGAACAATGTTGTCCTTCAACCTACAGTGTTTACCACTTCAAAAAAAATACCGTGTAATAGACGAAACACTATTTAAAATTTGAGCAACCAATTACAACTACGTTAATGCTCCCGTATCTTTCTAGACTCGTGCTAATTAACGTGTAACTTGATTTTGTTCATATATTTAAAGGGACCATTAACTGGGTCAACTGTTCAACCCTTTCAATTTTCAGTCTATTATTTTAATCCAAATTCAACCTCATGTTTTTGTTGATTCCATTGATTCATAGGCCGTTTTCCATCACCATTTTCTCTCTCCTAATTTCTTCATTTTTCTCCGTTTCAGATTCACCTCCAATTCCAATTTTCTGCAAAATATTTTCAAGTTTGAGCTTAATTTGTTGAATTAATTGAAGTTTGAGCTTAATTTGTGGATTAATTGAAGTTATTATAGTATTATTATGAGTGTCGGAGCTGAAAAATGTTGGTTAGTTCTGACGATAGCGGTGTTGGTTGTGGTAGTGATATCAATGGCGGCGATACAAGTTGAAGCTCAAGCTCAAGTTGAGAATAATGTAAATGAAGATGAGCTTCGATCGCAGTTGAGAAGCGGAGTTGGGAATGTTACTGATAGGATTGCATTGGAGATGCAACGCCGTGCTGACTTCTGCATTCTTGATGAGTAAGTAATAATCCTTTTTTTTTTCTTTTAACATTGATTGACGAGTGGTTTTGTCGTGCATTTTTTTATTACTATGTTTTGTGGAGGGGGCGTGGCCGCGTGGGGGCAAAGAGGGGTCTAGCAATTAATCAATTATTATTCCTTCCATTTTACCAATAACAGCAAATAGTAGAGTACTATTAATTGCGATGCTAAATAAACTCTACTTGCATATTGTATTTTAATTCGGAGTTATATTCGACAGCTTTGATGATTTGGACTACTTGGTTGGTAAGCGGAAATTGGATTAGTAATTTTATGTACAATCATGTTACAGGAAATTGGATTGGAATAGAGCTTTTAATTACTCAAATTTGGACTTTTTGACTACATGCATGGCAAAAACTGAAGGTATGGTTAAACATGTTTTTTTTGGGAAAGGTGTTTTGCTTGGTTATCAGTTGCTCATTCTTTGGTTAAAATTAATTAAGGACCGTATTGGAAGACTAGAAGTGTACTTGGCAAATACTAGTGTTATATTTGCAACTGTGAGACACTATTACTTTCTCAAAATGTGTCCTTAAGCTTCAGTCCTTCTAACACAGTTCATAGTTTGAGTTTCTCCAGTCCATTTTAAAATAAAAATGTATGCACACCCCTGTTCATGTCGATTATTACTTGTAAAATTAGCTAATGTGGCATCATGGTTAATATCATTTACTCCTTGTTGATAGTTTGATACCAAGGTACTGCATAACATATTTAAAGAGGAATCTCCCCTTGATTTAGAGAAGTGAGAATACTGTTTGGAAGAGAAAATAGGGGCATATAATTGTATATTTTTTTCATGCGACCCTAGTTGTTCTGGCATACAGCAGCAGTCCTTTTTTCATTTACATGTGCTAAACTGCAAATAGGCTTGTAGAATGCTAGCTGGTGATGGAAGTGATTTGTAATGGGTACTGGGTACCGGTAGTGTACTTTCTGTTTATATGCTGCCTATGTGTAATTCATATAAATCACTGCCAATCTTCTTACAGTGTTGTAATCTAGAACTTTTACATTGGCATACAGATGCTGCCTCTCGATTGTGCACAGAAGCAGAGATAAGGGTCTACTTGGGTAGCTTCTTTGATGGTGGTGGCCTTCAAGCTAACAAGAACTGTAATCTAACTTCCTGGGTTGCTGGATGCGAGCCCGGTTGGGCTTGCAGCGCTGGTTCTGTTCAAAAAATTGATTTGGAGAGTACTGACAAGGAGATACCTGCAAGAACTTCTGAATGTAAAAGTTGCTGTGAGGGTTTCTTTTGTCCACAAGGTCTTACTTGTATGATGCGTAGGTGTCTCAACTTTATCACTTTCTCCTGAGTTGCTGATGCCGAAACTAATTTCAGCTACAGGGCCGGCCCGGAGGGGTAGGCCTCGAGTGCGACCGCCTAGGGCCCACGCCAGACAGGGGCCCAAAAATTCAAAAAAAAAATCAATTTGCATAGCTGTAGAATTTAAACTGTCTAAACTGTAGTTTTTACTCGTTAAAAAATAAGCTACTTTTAAAAAAGATAATAAATGCATTTAGTTAGCAATTAATATTAAATTACTTAGATGTCAATTAGGTGGAGATAATTATGCAATATAACCTCTTCTTCTTCTAATCTTCCAATTTTATGAGTATCTGTTTCAAAATATTAATCTTTTCAATTACACCGTTTCATATTTATTCAATTACCGAAATATTATGCAAAGTTATTACTTCAGTATTGTGCATGGAGACTTATTATTCAAATAATTTAAGTTATTTTCATTGTCTTATATTTAAAGATATTGCGTGTAAAAAAATTTGTTTACTTAAGGGGCCCTTTTCTTACATTATGCCTAGGGCCCATAAATTTCTAGGAACGGGGCTGTTCAGCTATAATCTTATTATATGTTTTTATTCCTTCATTTTAATTTTTTATCAATACAATACAACTCCAATGGGGAACCACATTATCACATGCAAATACCTAATTATGCTACTGGGAAGTCTTAGATTGTTAGATTTTCATTCTTTTTGTAGGGCCTGATTTTGTCCCTCTTCAAACTTGCTTGAGGTCTTTTGCACTTCCAAGTCTTAATAATCAAGATGCTAGATGTTGGTTTGCTTTTATCCTTATTTTGTGATTAAGCTGAGATTTTGCTTATATAATATTATAATACTATCCTACTCTTGACTTTCTATGCTTCCTTCACAACAATAAGAAAATGCACAACTACAGAATTGTTGTAATTTTAGTGACCTTGACCTGCTGTTTGACTTTGTCTTTTCTCAATGTGGCATCATCTTTATCTCTTCACATAAATGTGGTTCACTTTGCTCAAACTTATCTTTCTTACTATTATCTACTGCCTTCACTTTACATCAGTCATGACACCAGCGTATGTGAATAATGTGATTGACAAAATAATAGATTAGTAGTTGTGAATGTTATGAACTTATGATTTTATTATGAATTTAGTTGTTTTCATTCACCTCTCCTCCTGATGTATGCTTTTCAATCTTGAAGCTTGCCCTTTGGGTTCATACTGTCCGTTGGCAACCTTTAATCAAACAACTGGCTTATGTGAACCGTAAGTACAAGTTCTTCCTCCCTCCCTCCTCTCTGTCTTAAAGTTTCCTTATCTATCCTCTTTACAGCCCTTTATTAACAATATGGGATGGGTTTTCACAGATACAATTATCAACTTCCCTCAGGAAGGAACCATACATGTGGTGGAGCGAACATATGGGCTGATGTCGATAGAAGTAGAGAAGTTTTCTGCCCTGCAGGATCATATTGTCCCACAACCACTGATAAAAAACCATGTGATAACGGGTATTTTCCTATATCCAATGCTCAAAAGGCATCTTCTGGCTATAAATTTAAATGCTTCAAGTCACAATATACTTGGCTTCCCTTATAGTAAACATATATTTCACTATGGTATGTTAATCTTCTTTTATCTAATTACAGACATTACTGCTTGACAGGCTCTACATCAGAAACACGTAAGATTCTCATCAAACTTAAGTTACAGTTTTAGTGTTTTTGAAAAATGCATGCTTTAGAAGAAGTTTGGTTATTCAACTTTGTAAATTATACTTTACACCTGGCTTTAGAAAAGCCTGACTTATTTTTATGCAGGATGCTCCAAGTTGATCTCATGCAAGGAAAATTCAAAGGAACAGAATATCCACACTTATGGAATTATGCTAATAGTAAGAAATTTATTTTTCATTTTTGTTGAAACCCATTGTAACCACTTGTGAGTGTCCCACATTGAAGAAAGAGGAGAGGTAGTTCCACTTTATAAGGTAGAGGAGTTACTGGTTTTAGTGTGGAAGCTCCAAAGCCTTGTTTGTGGACCAAATTCTCCTCCTCCTTGTTAGGGTTGTCCAGGCCCATTTCATATTGTTTTGAAATTTAACAATTTTTAAAGCAAGTCATGTATGTTGTTTGCATCAATCTTCATGTTAATATTTTTTCTTCTGTATCCGTACTGCTACAATGTTACATTTTTATAAACTACTGATGGGAATCGTAATCTTCCACTTGCTGATGCAGATTGCTTTAGTTGCTCTTCTTCTCATCATCTACAACTTCTCGGACCAAATTCTTTCCATTCGAGAGCGAAGACGTGCCAGAAACCGAGAACGAGCTGCTAGAAGTGTGCAACAGAAGGAACTTGTGCGAGCAAGGTGGAAAGTTGTAAAAGATGCTGCTACAAAGCATGCAGGCAAGTTACAAGCTAATCTATCACGAAGATTTTCAAACAGAAATCATCCAGAAAATTTCGAGATTTTGCATGATCTTGACGTCCAAGAAGATACTTTTCCACTGCCAACTAATTATGCTGGTAATTCAAGCGCTTTGCAGCCATCCACAGGTTTAGAGGGACCAGTAAATCGATCAGGCTTACATATACCTGAAGATGGGCCTCGTAATCCTGCTAGATTAAGCCTTGAGATTAAAGGAAAAAATTCAAAGGAAAAAGCTCTCAAAGAAAAAGGCATTCGTACAGAAAGTCAGATTTTCAAGTATGCATATGGTCAAATTGAGAAAGAAAAATCTCAAGAGAGGCGGTATGAAAATAGAACTTTTTCTGGAGTGGTTTCATTAGCTACTGGAGATGAACAAAAGAAAAGGCCTTTAATCGAGGTTGGTTTTAAAGATCTAACTCTGACATTGAAAAGCAAGCAAAGATGTCTTTTAAAGTGTCTAACCGGAAAAATTATGCCTGGCCGTATAACTGCCGTCATGGGGCCATCAGGTGCTGGGAAAACAACATTAATGTCTGCATTAGCAGGAAAAGAAACTGGTTGCAATAAGAGTGGCTTAGTTCTTATAAATGGCAAACCGGAGTCAATTCATTCTTACAAGAAAATAGTTGGTTTTGTGCCACAAGATGATATTGTACATGGGAACTTGACTGTTGAGGAGAACCTTCGATTCAGTGCATGGTGCAGGTATGTTGGATTTCATTCCTCAAAGGCTAAAAGTACAAGGGAATGATTGGAGTGATATATTATTATATCAATTATATGAATGCATGTCGTAACAGAATCTAGATTCTAAACCCTATTGCCTCTGAATAGGAAAGTAGTGATTCCTCTGATAATACAAGTATCTTATCCACCAAAAGCTGAGATTGAATTTATGTTGGTTAACACTTCGAAGTTAATGCTGCAGTGGCATTGCCGTAAAACAATTTTTCAACAAAAAACACCATCATTCAATCTCTCCTGTATCCAACTTCATGTTAGAAAAATAAATAAGCATGTGATGTAGATGGTAGTAATGATAGCCTTATAAGACCTCCAGATTTGCGAATTATCATGGTATTGAACTGTTGTTCATACCAGAGAAACTGTCTAAACGAATATCCTTTTAACAATTATAGAGAACTTAGCATTCCAAATAGGATCGGAGATGAGACAGTAAAAAGCATTTTTCTAGGCTTTGCTTGTGATTTTATCTTGTTAAGCTTGACATATTATTGTGTCAGGATCTCACTTTATTACTTAGTTATCTTATAAAATTGATGGAGAATATAATATCATCAAGGTGTTTTTATGTTTCTGTCTTGTTATGGATATGTTCTTTTCTTGTGTGTACAAATATAATAAATTTATTATCTGTTCCTATAACTCACAATTGCACAAGCACTATTCACTGTAAAAGGAGGAACCTCAGGTTCCCAGTTTATTTTCTTATTTATTCTGTTTCTTGTTAGTGATTCTTGTTGGTACTATTCTCTGCACTGATGATTATTTTTTTCCCCTGATTGAAGACTGTCCACTAAATTGCCAAGAGCAGAAAAAGTTCTAATTGTCGAAAGAGTTCTTATGAACTTGGGGCTACAGGAGGTGCGGGATTCCTTGGTTGGAACTGTGGAGAAACGAGGAATCTCTGGAGGCCAGAGAAAGCGAGTAAATGTTGGCCTGGAGATGGTTATTGAGCCTTCCCTTCTATTTTTGGACGAACCAACCTCTGGTTTGGACAGTTCATCGTCAAGATTACTCCTAAAAGCACTTAAACATGAAGCCCTTGCAGGAGTGAACGTTTGCATGGTAGTTCATCAGCCCAGGTATGCTATCCTGATGGAAAAAGACTTTTTGAAAAGAATCCAAGTTTCTTTAGTTCAAAACTGATGTGAATTACAGTGTTAAGAAATTCCAAAAAATAAAAGAATCAAAGAATCTCCATTTATGTTTGTTTATTTGTTTAATATGAGAGAGCACTGCTAAATTTAGCAATTTGGCATGCAGGCATACATGTAATAGTGGAGGCATTCAATATGAGAATCTAACTTCCTTTTCATATGATGTACTCTTGTAACATGTGAATGAGATAGCCTGCATGTTATTATTGGAACTGCTTTATGCCTTTGCCTGATTGTCATAGAAGCTGATCTTTGTTGATATGACATTGCATTCCTTACTTTTCTTTTTCAGCTATGCACTATTCAAGATGTTTGATGATTTGATACTTCTTGCAAAGGGTGGTCTCATGGTTTATCATGGATCAGTAAGAAATGTAGAGGAGTACTTTGGAGGGCTTGGAATTAATGTTCCGGAACGAGTGAACCCTCCGGATCACTATATTGATATTCTGGAGGGCATGGTGGAGCCAAGCCCTAGTTCCAGTATTAACTATAAAGACCTTCCTTTAAGATGGTTGCTTCACAACGGGTATACGGTGCCGGAGGATATGCAATCCAGAGCTGCTGAATTGGGAAATCCTTTGAGAAGTGGAAGTGATTCTACTGGTTCTGGTAGTGAGCTCCAGTCTTTTACCACAGAAATTTGGCAGGATGTAAGGTCCAATGTTGAGCAACGACGTGACCACATCCACCACTATTTCCTCAAGCAAAAGGACTTGGCTGATCGTAGAACCCCTGGAATAATCCGGCAATACAAGTACTTCCTTGGCAGGTGATGATCCTCCGTAAATCATTCTATCTAGACTTTCATAACTTCATCTTTAGCATGTATAATTTATTATCAGTGAAATAAGCACCATTTGTGTATGATCTTGTTGTCTGACATTATGCACTATAGCTGCAAGTTCAGTAAGCTTTTGGCTAGATTTCCAGGAGTAAGAGCTTTTTAGGAAATTGTTTTGAAACTTCTATATGCATTGGTGTCAGTCTTTTCTGCCAGATTTGGCTGTTGCTGCCAGCATCCCAGAAGAAATCTTTTAATTTGGTGCCTATATGCCCTAGAAAAGGTCAATCCTGGTGTGCACTCCATATTTTGATTTTTGAACATCAATGGATAGACGCATCTATTATAATTCAAATGCTTATAATCCTGATATGTCCTTTTTAATCCACTAAATTACCTCTAAATCTTTGTTCACATAGGACTAAATGCCCCAAGAATTGTTTATGTTTGGACTTCAGATTAATTCTTGCTGTGCATTCTTTATCTGTTTTGTATTGAAGAATTTTCAGATATCAAAGTGATCCCAGTTATTCTTATGTCCCAGTTTGCTTTGCTTTATTTTAGCAGTTTGTAGTATTCATGCGGTATATTGTTTGATTTAATAATCTAGGGAGACTTGTTATTAGCAGACTAGCAGTAAACTCCATTGCCTCTGCGGCTCTGCCTACTTTAAATTCATGATCAGCTTAATTTTTACTTACACTTTGTATATGATTCTTTTAATTTTTACTCCATTTCTTTGGTGATTGTATATGATTTAATTACGAAATTTAGGTTTTAAGTTTTTTTATTTTTATTTTTTTCCAGGATAACCAAGCAGCGACTACGAGAAGCCAGGTTACAGGCAACCGATTATCTTATACTATTACTTGCCGGAGCTTGCCTAGGTGCTATTACCAAAATCAGTGACACAGACTTTGGGGCAACCGGATATACATATACTATCATTGCTATATGTAAGTTTAAAATTAAAGCACTGTTAACATATTTTTGAATTCCACATTGCACTTGTATCTTAGGTTGAGGCTATAATGATAATTGAAAGCAATTCATCATCATTGACTATCCAAAATTTCAAAGCCTACCATTAGATTAATTATTAGTTAACCTTCTTGACTTCCATGACTTGTGTTTCACCCATTGAACATCATATGAAGTGTTTGGTAAAGAAAAAAATAATTAGAGTGGTGTTTAATCTGCCCTATTTCCCGAGTTTTTCTTCTTTGTCAGCACCTAGTACTGTGTTTTACCCTCATAGTTGCATTCATTTGTTATTACGATCTAACTAATTTTCCCTTACTTCAGCTCTCTTATGTCAAATTGCTGCACTAAGAACCTTCTCTCAGGACAAGTTACAATACTTGAGAGAGAGTGCTTCTGGCATCAGCAGCTTAGCACATTTCCTTGCAAAGGATACCGTGGACCAATTTAATACAGTGATCAAGCCTGTTGTGTTTCTCTCTATGTTTTACTTCTTCACAAATCCAAGATCTACCTTCATCGACAATTATACTGTTCTGATCTGTCTTGTCTATTGTGTGACGGGAATGGGTTATGCTTTTGCCATCTTCCTGAACCCTGGTCCTGCCCAACTAGTAAGTTACTCGGTCATTTGGATAACTTTTTCGTATTACTGATTATTTGTGATATTCATGTTTGTCCTTTGCCTTCCTGCTAAATTTGGATTTCCTCTTGCAGTTTTCAGTGCTTTTCCCTGTTTGCTTAACCCTGATTGCAAGTCAGTCACTGAAAAATGAGGCATTGAAAGGCATAGCCTATCTATGTTACCCTAAGTGGACTCTGGAAGCACTAGTGATTGCAAACGCGAGGAGGTATGTAAAATATGTGGTGTCTGCAAGTTTTTACAACTAATTTGTGATTAAAAAGACAGTGCATAAAGTCTATATATTTATTCTTGGTGCAGTCCCTTATTTTAGGCCATGCAAGTTTATGAACTGAACAGCTCCATTTCTTTACAGGTATTATGGAGTGTGGCTTATAAATCGTTGTGGCATTCTTGTAAAATTGGGTTATAATCTCCATGCTTGGAAAGAATGCATCTTAATCCTCATTGCTTTCGGTTTGGTTAGCCGTGTAATAGCTTTCATCAGTCTGCTGATTATTCGAAAGAAGTGAGGTTATTTCTTTGGTCAGTTCTATTTTTACTCCAAACACGATTTTTTGTCCCTGAGATCAGACATATTGAAATCCATCATCAGCAGCCAACTGGTTCTGCACCGCCTTTCAAACTTTTGATTAGATACTCGAGTTTGAAGAGAAGGATCTTGCTGATCTAGGGATTTTATGCCTTTAGGTGACTTGTATCATACATTTTTTTTTGTACATGTAAAAGGTACATTGTGTATGTTAGTCTGTACATAGATATTAAAGCCACTCCTTGAGTCCTTGCCAACTTGTAAAAGGAGCTATAAAAGCAAAGCAACGATTTAAATACGACACATTCTTCTACAATTGTTAATTCACTAGTTTTGTGATTGACTAATTGTGTGATTTGTATTCCTTTGTTCGAGATTAATTGTCATATCATTAGTTCAAATTACACTATTGATGAGCAATTTATGTTGGACAAACGAAGTACAGATTTTGGTGTCATTACGATACATGTTACATAAACTTTTGGCTAAATAATTTTTGTTACATTTTTGTTTAAGTAATCTTGAGCACTTTTTGTTTTTTTCATACAGCCAGATTGAATTGTAAAGTTTTTGAAGAGCACCAAAATGCAACAGTGGACAACTAGATACAGGATTAAAATACATAAATCATAGTACTTAACAGCTTGTTTATTGGTTGTTACGTGAGAATAGAGTTTGAGTATAATTCCCAACTTGACAACATCCCATGTTTGTTTAGATTTTAGAGTACAATACCCATTTCTTTGATAAAAACAAAGGAAAAGAAAAAACTCTAGGGTTCTTCACTTCCTGTTCTTTTTATTTCTTGTATTCTTGATATATTTAATTTTTTTTGACACAAAAGGTAGGTATTCTTGATTTTTTTTTGAAGCTATTAACTACTCCGTAGTTGTGTTTGTAATATCCAACTACTATTGTATAATTTCGATGATTGGGAAAATACAATTAGTATTATATACTCCTAGAGTACTATGGATCATGGTACTCCTTACATAACATATTTGAGTTATTTTGCGCATACTTTATGTTATTTTGTTTAAATGTTGTGTTATTTACTTATTTATTACTTCAACCTCAACTAATGCTATTTTTAATTTACATTAAATAACATGTACTCATTTAAAAATAATACCGAGTATATATATAAATTGAAATAATAATAAATTCACATCAAAATAACGTTAGCATTGTTGAATTTTAAGGCATCGTGAATAGAATCACACTTTAGAAGATACTAAACTTCTGGACATAAACACATTTAAACCCTTAAATGACCTTCAAATCAATTGATTTCTAAGAAACCCAGGAAATTAGAAGATGAAAAGAGGAGAGAGAAAGTGTGTTTGATTTAGAGTTGGAGTAGTGAGAGGAAGAGAGAGAGAGTGTGTGAGAGTGAGGTTGATTCCTCAAAAACCCAGAAAATTGAAAGAAGAAAGGAGAGAGAAAGTGTATGATTTTGTTGGAGTACCTGATAGGAAGAGGGAGTGAGTGCGGGAGGAAAATGAATAAGAAAACGGCGAAATAACATACATGTATTTAAAAATAACATATATATATAATTTGAAATAACAAAGAGTTAACATCAAAATAACATGAGTTTTATAAAACGTGGAGTAACACGGTACTCCAGGAGTATGATAGAAATTGTGGGGAACCTAACCACATCTATAGAGAAGTGAATAAAATTAAATTGGATAGCTAATGTTCTTGTGAGGAGGGAATACCTAATGTTTTCCTCTTTTTATTACCTTAAAGTCTTAAACAAATTAAGGGAAATTATTTAGGCAAATATAAAGATGATACGGTTACCCATTGTAATATAAGAACATGGTTTTTAGTAGTCTATTCAAAATTGGATCTGATCGAAAATTCAAATTGAAAAATAGGTGATTAGTAATTCAGTATTAGATTCGAAAACTTTTGGATATCCGAATTTTCGAATTATATATTTGAATTTTCGAATCGAATCATCAAGTGTTCGAATCACATCACTAGATTTAACCGATTCAATAACCTTTTTAGTAATTCAAATCAGATCATAAAACCTTTGACAAAAAAAATGATAGTTAACCAATTCAAAAACCTTTTTTTTTTTATTTTCCTGCATATCTAATCCAATATATGGAATACTAAAAAAACTAATTAAATATTTGAAATTGCAATTGAACACCGGATTTTGATCGGTCAAATACAAAATTATTTTTTATTATTATTTTTTATTTTTTTTTTTTTGGAGAAAGTTGATTAAATATTCCTAAAAATCCTTTTTAGTAAAACACTCCTACATTACTACTCTATAGTAAAATAATATCCCAATTAAAGATGTGTCAAAATCAATTTTTTCCGGTAATTAGATACGGAATATTGACTAATGATTAACCCCTCACGAGTGGCATGGTATATTGGTAGTTCCACAGCTTTAAACTTTGTTCAAAAAAGTTACTGTACTATGCTTATTTGCTTAAAATCTCTCCAAAGCACAACTTTTAAGCCGTAACATCTTTGTTTACATCACCTAACCACACAATTTTTAAAGTTTAAGACAACAAAATAAAAAAATTAAAAAAAATCTTGGTAATAAAAAGATTCCTCTGTTACCAACCAAAAGGACAAATGGGGAGGACTTATTCTCGTTCATCAACTGGTCTCTCTTACTCTCTCCTGTCCCAACAATTTGCTGCAAAAAAGATGCCTCTTTTTTTTTCCATTTTTTTCAGACATTAATTATTCTCTTTATTAAATTAACTAGTTTAGTCAATATAATTAAATCAATTACCGAATCCCGTCTAGATATTTAAAAGTATTATCGTCACTATGAAGCAAAACAATAATCCTCCTTGTTTTTACTTGCAAGTTGCAATTATTATTTAATTTTTTTAATTGTTTATCTGTTAAATTTTACATCATTATTATTATTTTTTTTAATCTCTAACCAACAAAGTAACCCTTGATCGAATAATAGCTGAGTGAGTAACCCATGATTGATCAACTATACCTTGACTAGCAACCCTGACCACAATGTGGTCAGCCACATATAAAAATTTGTGTAATGTTTATCACATACTAGATTCGTTTCTTATTACTCGCAACAAAGGGGTATTATTTGTAAAACTAAAGTATTCCCTTTGATGCAGCTTGCTAGTAATAAGAACCAGAGGTAGTATAATGTTATTATTTCATTAAAATTGCAACTCTAATTTTACATTTCCTAATGCATTATTTCAAACAATACTCCATCCGTCCCCGAATGATAGTCACTATTTCCATTTTTGGACATCCAAAATGTTAGTCACATTTCACAATTTTAGGTCCCATACAATAACACAAAATGACCTATGTACCCTCATTTTTTTTGGATGTATTATCTGTGCTTCCCAAAACACCCTCATATATGCCTTTGTACTTGTGCCTTAATTGAATGAGTTGTCTCCCTTTTTAATGACAATCAGTTTCTCTCTCTTCTTTTTGTTTTGCACATGATTGAATTTTAGTTCCCATGTACTTTATTTATTTCTCCTTAATTCCCGTGATTTTCACCCAAAAGTGACTATCATTCGGGGACGGAGGGAGTAATATTTAAATTATTACTTCCTTTTTTTATACTTACAACACACTTTTTATCACGCTTATCAATGAGGTGATTAAACTAGGTAAACAAATGAATTAAGCTATGAAATTTAAAACGTAGCAACTTATCCCTTTCTTCTTATAGGTGTTAAAATTTTGTAATTTAATTTATCCGTTTACTTAGTCTAATACTCGTATTTTCTTTAACAGGCGTGCCAAAGGGCAACTAAATAAAAATGGAGGAAATATTAAGTAAAAATTATAAAAATTTAATAAGATTATAAAAGTATAAAATAAGGTACACCATGATTATACTTTTTGTTTTTAACCATATTTTATAAACGAAAATTTACAAATTGCAGCCTTTTAAAGTTAGTATTTTGCAAATTGCAGCAACTTAAAAAAAATGCAAATTGCAACCAAAAGCTGTCATAAATTGTAAATTGCAACCTAATTCAATTTTTTCATCGATTTGCATGTCGCTCATTTTTTGTCAATTCCGAGATCAATTTGGACCCTTAAAAACTAAAATGGCCCTAAAACCTTGACTAAATATTTTTTGACACGAAAACCGATAAAAATTAAATTGGGTTGCAATTTATAATTTATAACAACTTTTGGGCTGCAATTTGCAAATTTTTTTTAAAAAAATATTTACAAAATACAAGTTTTAAATGGTTGTAATTTGCGAATTTTCCTTTAATAAGTATTATAAAATACAGAGCAGAATGAGTTAGCACAACAGCTCAAAAGAACAGAGTCTTACATATTTCAAATACTCCGCGCCAAGTAAAGTTTGGTGTAGTGCGAAAGTTTACATCTCTCAATCTCAATATTTGATTAAAACCATCTAAATGCACTTTGGGGTAGGGATTCCTTTACCTTTTCCCCCACCCCCAAAAAGCCTAACGCCATAACCCGTTAACTCGGGACGGGAATCTGTGAGAGGTTTCGATCTGATAAGACTTTTTTCCTTACCAAAAAAAAAAAAATATACACCGTATATATCTATATTCAAATTTATTTAAGGGTAATGTGTTATATGTTGCTCTTAAGATTACAAATAAGCATTTAATATATTTTCTAATTTGATATTAATGTAAAAAGATATGGAAAAATTATGCATAAATCTAGTACCACTAAGATCTCGCAAACAGGTCATTTAGGTCGGGTTCGGGTCGGGTTTATTCAGGTCGGGTCAATTTCGGGTCAGCAAAATGTTCGGGTCACGTTCGGGTCGATTCGGGTTTCGGGTCATAATCGGGTCAGCACTTTGGGTCAAGTTCGTTTTGGGTCAAGTTCGGGTCGAGTCAAGTTCGGGTCGTGTCAATTCGGGTCGGATCTGTTCGGGGTCAGGTTGATTTTTAAGATCAATTTTCAGATTAATTTCGGGTCGGGTCAAATTAGGATCGAGTCAATTCGGGTCGGGTCTATTCGGGTCAAGTTTGTGTCGGGTTACCAAAATAAATTCACTTTAAAAAAATAGTTAGAAAAATAAAGTAAAATTGTTAAAAAATAAAAAAAAACATGAGTACCTATTACGTAGGAAATAAAGAAGCCCTAAACTAAGGGTCTGTTCTCATACGTTTATTTTTAGTTCAATTCAGTTCAGTTCAGTTCAGCTCAATCAATTCAGTTCAGCTTAGCTCCTAATTTCCTTCTCTTATAAAATATTCATTTTATTTCAGTTTAGTTCAATTCAGTTTAGCTGATTTCAGTCTATTAGAACAAACCCTAAGTAATTCACTATTTCACCCTATTCACTTAGGACTCGGGTCAATTCGGGTCGGGTCAATCAATTTGGGTTAAAATTGGGTCGGGTCACTTCGAGTTTTGGGTCATTTTGGGTCGGGTCAAGTTCGGGTTTCGGGTCAGGTCATTCGGGTCAGGTCACTTCGGGTCATGTTCGGGTCAACTCTATTTCAGGTCGAGTTAGTTCGTATTCGAGTCATTTTCGAGTTACGAGTCGAGTCAATTAGGTCGGGTTAGGATTGCCAGGAAGTACCAGTAAAATTATTGCACAAATTTTCCAACATTCAATGAAAAAATGCAAAAGTTGACAACAATTAATTCTTTTCCAACGTCTCTCATTTTTCATTCTCTCACCTAAAATTTTACTCGAATGAACTTCAAATTTCCTACTCTACTCTACTCCAGACAATTCTGCTTCAGTTTAACTTGTTTAGCTCTCTTTACTTGTTTTCCCTCTCATAATCACCTCCTCTATTTCTCCCTTATTCATGTCTATCTATTTATTGAAAAGCCAAATACTTTTTTCAATCTGATTGCTTTCTCTGTGTAACCAACATTTTCAGCCTTTCTAAGCTGCTTTTTAGCTCAAGTTCTTATCTTTTCTTCATACCCCACTTTACATTCAACAAATATTCCCCAAAATTTTGCAAATAATGAAATGGGTATTCTTCAATTTGAGTTTTCAAGCTGTTTTTTGAAATACCCATCTCCATTTTAGGGTTTTTTGAACTTAATTAACCCCAAAAAAAACACCTTACTTTCATCTTTAGATCTTTTGTTTTCAGGGTTTTATGTAATTGATTGTTTAAACTCCTAATTAAAGACAAAATGGCATATTTCAAGCAAAATACAGGGTTTTTTTCTGTTATTTTTGGTTTGTTTTGGTTGATTTCAATGGTAATAACAGTGAATGGAATAGGTGCTAATTGGGGCACACAATGTTCACACCCTTTACCACCAGATGTGGTGGTGAGAATGTTGAGGGAAAATGGAATTCAAAAAGTGAAGCTTTTTGATGCAGATTATAGCACACTAAATGCTCTTGGTAAAACTGGGATTGAAGTTATGGTTGGAATTCCTAATGACATGCTTTCAACTCTTGCTTCAAGTGGTAAAGCTGCTGATAAATGGGTGTCAGAGAATGTGACTGAACATGTCAAGAAAAGCAAAGTCAATATTAGGTTTACTTTCTTTCTCTTTCTCTCTCTTCATGTATAATCCTATGTTGTTCTGTTTGCATATGTTTTGATTTTTGTTCTGTTTTGGCTTGGTAGAAGAAGCTAGTTGATTAAGTGCTAGTGTGAACGGATTCGGTTTTCTACCTGAACTTATCTTATTTGAACTTATAACAACTTACTGACACTTATTCGAGCTTATTTTAATTGTAAATTGAATTTGAGTAACTTTTATTTGAACCTTGCATCAATTGCATGTCTATCAATCTGTTATACACCTGGATGTACCATGCACATGGTAGTACTGGACATTTAAACTCATCATTAGTCCGAAAATGTAAAAGATGTCGACTCGGTTGATTGGCCATTATCTGAACTTTTAAAAATCAAAGTCTTTATTATTGTGAAATTTGGTTCTTACATGTCTGTGTAACTAGAGTACATGATAGTTGCTTCTCTTCTGCCCATTTGTTGTTCATTTGACTAGTTGTATTGATGCCGAATGCATACAAGTGTGATTAGTTTTCGACAATTTTCCAAACCAGGATGACCTTTTCCTGAGGATACTGGAATTGCTTATGTAAAATATATGGGTAGACATTCAAGTGCAGATGATATTGTGCATATCTGCGTAGTACCGAGTGAATGCATAATATGTCTTTTATCCTATGTTAATGTAAATTAAACCTCTGGGAGTTCTTAGTTGTATTTGCACTAATTACCTTTGTCCATCTCGTTGAAGCTAGAACATTAGATGAGGACATGTTGAAACATTTGATGAGTTTTGTTTTAGAAAATCAGTTCACGGCTTTGTGAAATACTTCCTTTGTTTACCTATGGCCCTAATATTGCAAGTTTGCATCAAAGAGGGGGGGGGGGATAAGAAATTTAAGATGAGTAGAGAGATAGAGAAAAAAAAAGTGCAAATATGGTAATGTTGCAATATTTATGAAACTTCCTAAAATGGTAATCGTTGCATGTTAGGGAGGAGGGGAAGTAAAAGCAGAAATTGTAATTGAGCTTAATTGTATAGTGTTGTCCAAATATAACCACTGTGTCTTTATCAAAGCATGTGTTGCTGGACTATAGTTACCCAATGTGTATTCGCCTCATAATTTCTGAATATTTCCTGCCACTGCATGTTTATTGGGTTGTTGCATAATTTGCTATATTTATCTTGCTGTAACACTCTTTGGACATCTTTAGCTTGATGGAGACTTGTATTAGTATCTATAAATCTATAATTAGTGAAATGTAATTAATCTTTGACTATTAGACCTTACATGGAAACTTGTGTTAGTATAAATAACGGGTGAAAAAGCCACTTATGCTTTTTGTGCATACTTTATAATTAATCTTTAGAAGAATTAACTCTAATTGTTGACTTGTTGGCATGTAGCAATGTTACTTGAAAATTGCAACACATTTCAAGAAATGTTAATGCTGTAAAAGTTAATGCTACATTTCAAGAAATGTTAATGTTGTAAAAGTTTATGCTAAAGTTCAGGTAATCAATATTAACATTGACATGTCCAGGTAGCTGTTAATGATGGTGTCATTCTTGGCGCAACCCTTGATAGTAGCGCATTGTATAGGCATAGAAACAAAGAATTGAGTTTGAACCTTTTGTCAAATTTGTATCATCCGCTTTCAGTGGTAGGAGTTAGGATAGTTTATAACATTTTATCAACCATTATAGGTATTAGGTAGTTTTAGGTTTATATACCAATATAGTGGATTACTCTGTTTCAAACAAGCTTTTTACAAACACTGTTTTCTGATTTTGTTCCTTTTTATCCCTGTGTGACGTAAGCTCAGTTTTCTGCTACTTTGTTATTTTACGTTGCTTTATAGAAGTCAAGTAATCAGTGTCATTTTCTGCTATGCAGAGTCTCAATTAGCTTAAGAAAATTGCTTTGGATACGGGTTATGCATGTGGCTTCTGTATCAGTTAATCTAATTTACTTATACTTTCTTAAAATGCAGGTATGTTGCGGTTGGGAATGAGCCATTTTTAGCAACTTACAATGGAAGTTTTTTAAAAACTACCTTTCCTGCCCTTCAAAACATTCAAAATGCCTTAGTAAAGGCGCGCCTTAATAACCAAGTGAAGGTTACAGTTCCCAGCAACGCTGATGTGTATGCAAGTCCTAGCAGCATGCCCTCTGGTGGTGATTTTCGAGATGATATCCATGGTTACATGGTTCAAATTGTCAAGTTCTTAAGTGACAACGGTGCACCATTCACTGTGAACATTTACCCTTTCATAAGTCTTTACATTGACTCCAACTTCCCGGTGGAGTATGCCTTCTTCGATGGCAATGCAACCCCACTTAATGATGGTGGTACTAGCTATTACAACATGTTTGATGCTAACTATGACACCCTTGTCTGGGCTTTGCAAAAGAATGGGTTTGGTAACATGCCCATTATAGTCGGAGAAATAGGTTGGCCAACCGATGGAGACATCAATGCTAACGTCAAATATGCCCAAAGATTCAACCAAGGTTTCATGACTCGCACTGCAAATGGAAAAGGGTCACCAATGAGGCCTGGACCCATCGATGCATACTTGTTTAGTTTAATAGATGAGGATCAAAAGAGCATTCAGCCGGGAAACTTTGAACGCCATTGGGGAATATTCACTTTTGATGGGCAGCCTAAGTACCAACTCAACCTAGGTACTACAAATTTGGGATCATTGGTTAGGGCAAAAGGTCTAACATATGAAGAACGTCAGTGGTGTGTGTTGAAACCATCTGTAAAGCTTGATGACTCTAGGCTTGCTCCTAGTGTAAGTTACGCTTGTGCACGAGCTGATTGTACTAGCCTTGGATATGGAAGCACTTGTGGCGACTTGGATGCTCGAGGGAACATATCTTATGCTTACAATAGTTATTACCAGATTAATGATCAGGATGATGAAGCATGCAAGTTTGAGGGCCTAGGAGCTATCACTAAATCAGATCCATCCCGAGATACTTGCAGATTTCCAGTCATGATTGAGCCCTCAGATAATGGGTCAGAGCTAATGTTTCCTGTTTCCGGAATACGATCATGTTTTTTCAGTATCAGCATTCTCTTTCTGACAATGTTTTGGCTCTGAGACTTCAGTTGCGGGTGCTTTTGAAGCGGAAAATCTGGAAAAAAAAAATTCAGAATATTTCCTGATGTTTCATTATGTAATACAGTTAAGGTAGGCTGTCAATTATGTAATATTGGGGGGAAAAGCAGGGTAGGTTTCCATATTCCATTGGTTTGATGAACATCTTTATTGAAATCTAGGCAGCATAATTTTTTCTCACATTTGCCAAAATTTTTCCTGAGTGCAGTCTTTTTTCTTATGTCTGTATTTACCACCCCATTTCTTGACTCCCATTCTTTTTTAGGCAAGTGCAAAGTGTAAACTGTAAAGTCTGAGATTCAAAATACTGACCATTATTGTTTTTATTTTTATGGTTGTGCTGTGGAATATGCTAAATGTAGTGCTAAATGTTAGATTAGCAAAGGTGAAAACACAAACAATAGACCAAAGTAATAACAAGAACAATAAAATAAAATGTTAGCATACAATAGGTTGTATTTTCTCAGCAGCTTAACCTCAGTGTCAAGCCAACTTATTATCTCAAATAATTAGATTAGCTTAATAAAACTTCAACCCAATTTCTCTAGAACACACTAGATTCAATTTGAAAACTCATTTTCTCTTTCTATGTTTGTCTTTAATCTTAATAAGATTCATTATTATCTTTTGGTTTGAGTAATTTTGAGCTCTTCTTTGGTAAAGTATTCGTTAAGAGGATTATACCATATCTTGACTGTTGTAACCCATGATAAATTAATACTCGTAAGATCTTAATGGAGTTCAAGAATTTCTTTTCTGCCTTGCTTATCATTATGAATTTGGATTTGCCCGACCAGCAGGCGGGCGACGCTTTCACATAATAAGTAAGCATACAATTAAGTCATTGTAATAAGTTAATAACGTTAGTTGAGAAAATAAGGACTTTTATGGTAAACTAAAACACACATTCAATAAACAAAATGCACTTGCAATATACAAAAATGACAAACAAAATCTAATGTACTAAGAGATCGAGTCCTTCTATTTCCTTTGTTGGAAAAATCCAACCTTCACTTGTGTATAATAATATAATCATCACTTGTCATGAGCATAATTACTAATGTGATTATAAAAACTAAATATACTTTAAATTTTCATATATCTTCCTCAAAGGTACAAATGAAAGGATCGAGCAGGATTTGGGTTGGCAGCGTGAAACATTGCAATTTGCAATTTGGAAAAACGGGGAGAAAATAATTCGTGGTTTTGGATGAAATTAAGGAGTAGATAAGAATCATATGGTGAAATTAAGAAAGGTAATCCGCCTTTTATACAAATTAGCTAATCCATTACCGACTTCATTACATCACAATCGCGCATTATATTTGTATCAGGATCACATTTAGATTATTATCATGTTCAAGAGCTACAAATTCCCCATTAAATATCATTCATACAATTACATGAGTTGCCAAAAAAAACAAGTTTCATGTACAAGAAAATTGGAGAAAGAAGTGAAGTGTTAGTAAGCACAAGAGCCACACACGTAACACAGCACAGTCACAAAATCCCACCTCTTAACAAATCTTCATTCTCTCTCCTCTCCTTCACTCACACACTTACACCTTCTACTCTGCGTAACTGCCCTTCTTCATAAACCGCCAAATACTTGTATACATTATGTTGCCTCTTCATTCTTCTTCATTCACCTCTTTTCCTTGTACTACAATTTCCAACTTCTACACTTCTCCTGCAATGCCGCTTTTTAGAAGAAAATCATCACTTTCTTCATCATCTTCTTCTTCATGCAATTCAAATTCAATCAAATCTTCTTACTTTATCCCATTTACATGTACCCATTTCCTTAAATTGAAACCCCAGAAAAGGAATTCTAGTATTAAGTGCTCTTCTTCTTCGATTCCGCCTGTTTCTGATGCTGTTAGTTCCTCTTTTTTGTTGTTTGTTTGGATTTGTTTTATGACATATTATTGATGGGTTTTTGTTTAATTTTGATGGGTTTTTGTTTAATTTTTGTGGGGTTTTGAGATTATTTGTGAAAATGGTGTTTTTTTTTTATGAAATTGCAGAGGAAATTGCCTGATGTTGGTACACTATATAGGAGGTTTTTGACAGTGGCAAAACCATATTGGTCATCTGAAGATAAAGTTCAGGCTAGATTGCAATTGGCTGCTGTTTTTGCTTTGACTTTGGGGACTACTGGTATTAGCGTTGCTTTCAGTTTTCTTGGCCGTGATTTCTACAATGCTCTTGCTAGTGAGTATTACACTTTCTTCTACTATCTTTCAATTTTTCTTTAATTTTAGCTGTTATTTGGATGTGTTCTTAACAGTGGAGTAGTGCTCTCAACTAATGAACAAACTATGTAGATGCGATCTAGCTTAGTTGGTTAAAGTCTCGGGGTGCTACCCAAGACATAATATAAAATCATGTATACATCACTGCCTTTGTGTGGTTACTAAAATATTGTGGATTAGTAAATTAATTTGTTTATGTGGACATAGCTAATAAATGTGAAATACAAGTAGAGCTGAATGTTGAATATAATGGGTACAATTGTGTTCATATACATTGGGATATTCAAAGTCGGGTTAAGATGATATATTCTTGGTGTTCAAGAATTGTGAAATTGGAGAAGTTATGTATAGTGACAAGAGTGTTAGGAGCCTAGGAGTAATGCCTATTAGAGTTTCGTTTGGTTAATTATGTTAATATCATATATTTGGCATGTATATCTTTTAGGAGTTGTAAGCAAGTCGGGTTTCCTATTGTATTGTGTATATATATTGTTGTTATAATCAATGCAAGGGGTAAGCCATTTTCTCCAAAAAAAAAAAACCCTCACCGTGCAATAGTGCATGTACTCTAAGGGGTATAATAGTGTAGGGAAAGTCCTAAACCAGTGTCATGATAATGAGAGTCCATGTCTTCATCTTTAAGAATGTAGGGAATACAGTATATATTTATGAAGGACGAGAGATGTTTGGGGATAGGAAAGCATTATTGTAGAAATTGACATGAGACTTTCCATGAATTATTGTGTATCAAATGGGCTGTTAGGATTCATGCATTGCACTTTTTCTTCACAACCCCCCCCCCCCAACCGCGTTAATATTTTAGGAATTTAGGATATTCATGACTTATATTTTTGTAGCCTATCTCAAGGATTGCATCTTTTGTGTGCCTTCTTGGCACAAGAAAAGTAAATTAATGGAAAATCGAGAATGTTCATGAGCATCTTAATTTATCTTTGGTAGCATCATGGGAATGCAAGTCAACACATGTAAGATCAATAGAACGGTGTAGAAAGATAGCATTAATACATTGAGTTGTGAGTTTTGAAGGACATTGAAATCTTAGGTCAACATAACCTGTTGTACTACCACTGAGTCCAGTATTTTCAACTAGACTTGACAATTGTTTTAGTTGAAATGTATATCTCGGCCACAGCCTTCAAATATAAATTAAGTTATAGTGCACTTTATGATGTTCTTTCACTTTGAGTACATCATTGATTCACAGAGTGATGAAGCTTTAGAATAAATACCCATGCTGAAGAGTGTATTCTCCAGCGTCTACTCAGGAGGTTTCACCTGATTTCTAATGAATTACTTCATAAGATGCTTTTTACATGGTTACTTTGTTTTTTGTTGCTGGAATTTATCAATTTCTAGCCTGCCAGTTGAGATCATTAATGATCGAACAATGATCTTGCTGTCTGGTGAGCAGGAGGCTGGCACTCTCTGGAGAGGTCTATGTCTATATTTTGAGAGAGTACAATTAACTCCTGTAGTAATCCCTTAAGTGATTTATTCTGAAATTCATTTTCTATACTCTTTCTCTCTTAGGAAACTTTATGTGCTTGCTCAGATACTTCCAAACTCTTCGACGAACTACATAAAGAGTTGTATCCATCGTTGCATTATCTCTCAATACTGGAGTCCCTTATTGTCTCCTTTGAAGCATGCAGTGATCTTCTAGTTGGAGTCATTTGATGCCTAACTAGAAGTTCAACCATAGCTGTTGTAGATTCGACAATTCAAAATATGATTGGATGGTGAATTATCAATCGTAAAATCCTAGAGTAGAACAGTTTGGAAATTATTTTTATGCGAATATGTGCAACAATTTTTTATGATTATTATTATTTTTATTTTACATCCTCAGTTCCTTTTTACTCATCATGCTTTGAATTGTATAATATCCAATGCGCATCTTTGACCACCAGGGCCGTCTTAAGCAATTTAGAGGCCCTGTTCTAATTTTAAATTTTGGGCCCTAATAATAAAATTTTGATTTAAAAATTATATATCAATAATCTTCTAGTCCGTGTAAACTGTAAAGTACCAGAAACGTAAATTGTTTTACATAATAGAGTCATAAGGTGAGAGTAAGGGATAGTTGAACTTCACGATTCTCATCATTGCCCTTATGGCTCTCTAAACAACAAAAAAAATAGAGTCACAAGGTAATTTTGACTCTAAAACTCCAAACTAATATTGTAAGTGAAACTAATTATTGAAAAAAAGGACCTACTTAAAACACATTAACTTTGATCAGTCTGATATGGCCGAACAATTTTTTTTTTTGGGTAATATGTCTAGACACATTTTAATTCTCCAAAAAAGAAATTTTTAAAAAAAAAAATAACAATTGCCTAGGTAGCTCAGCAGCAAAAATTAAAGAAAAGAAATCAAACACAAACTCAATTAAGAAGAAACAAAACTGTATTCTTACATGGATGATGGTTCAAAGACCAAGAATATTATCAATATGCCATTGTTAGTTTATACGAATAAGGAGAAGAGGAGTGTTTGATGGATTTTTTTTTTTAAACAACCCAATTAATAATAAATTAGATGAATTGAATATGGAAGGTTTAAAATTGATGCCTTTTGGGAATTGCAATATTAATGGGGAAAGAAATTAGAGGATGGGTCTTGATAATTGCTGGTTTAATGGAGGTGAGAGAGGATTAGTCATGGAATCAGCCTTTTTCAAAAATGAATAAAAATCAGTTGGGCTCATATTTTGGGGCCCTTACACCTTGGAGGCCCTGTGCTGAGGGGCTGGTTGCACAGCCTCTTAGCCGGCCCTGTTGACCACGAACATATTTAGTAGTCTTGAATAAAAATTTTAAAATACGTATTATGAAATATATTTTAAGCCAAACCTAACAAGATCCCACATGTTATGGTTTTGGTGTTTATAATAGTGTGTTTTTAAGGTTAAAGTTTCTTAAAGTTGACCATAAAAGTCAAAAAGTAAAGAATAAAAAAGAACGGAGGGAAAGTCAATTTTTTGATTGGTTTTATCGGCTTCATTTTCTTAGGATTGTCGGGTTATATTACAATTGAATGGCTTACTGATGCATCTTTTGGTATTTTATTCTCCAGACAAAGATCAAGACCAATTCATGAAGCAACTATTATATTACCTTGGTGGGTTTTCTGTTGGCATTCCGGTGAGCACATCGCTCAACTTATTTTAGGTACTGTCTAGCCAGTCTTTTCTTCTTTATACTGGTTGTTTAGTGTGTAGCTCTAATGTACTGATGCTTGTATAAGGGATGGGGGAAATAGTGTTGAAGTTTTCAGGGAAGAAAGTTATTCAAGGTCTGATCTGCCCACCATATTTTCACTTATATCAAATCTAACAAGTTTAGGTAATATAAGGGCCAATAAGTTCACATAAGGTAATATAAGGGCTAATGAACTCTCCTAAACAAGGATTGTTAAGTTTAGATAAGATAATGTAAGGGCTAATAAGTTTAGATAAGGTAGTTCAGATAAGATAGGTTTAGGGCTAATAGGATAAGATAAAATATGTGAAATTCAAGCGAAGATGACACTACCTTAGTAATTTATTTACACAAGCAAATTTTCATTGTAATGTTGAAGAGAATTTTCCAGCATTATATGAATGGAGGTAATATGGATTTTTCCTTGAGAAATAAGTATGTGTGAACACTCAACTTTCTATAGGGCTTTTAAATTTATTTAGTATCCTTCCTTTATATCAAAGATAAATCAGAGTGTTATATCTTACATATTCAGTGGGAAAATGAAGTTTTTATTTAATGGTTGGTGGCTCATTTTGTACTCTTGATTTTTTCCCCCTTCTGGGGCTTTGAGTTTCAATTTATACTGAGCTGAGAACAGATAAACTATGATTTGTGTTTGTATTTAAGTAATTCTACTAGCTGTTGTCTGTCATTTTGTTGATAATAAAAGGATTCATTTTCGCAGGTTTTTGTATTGAGAGATTATGCAAAAGAAACCCTTTCTTTGAGATGGAGATCTTGGATGACAACCTTTTACATGAAGCGTTATTTGCAAAACCATAGCTTTTACAAAATTCAGTCACAGTCAACAATTGACAATCCAGATCAACGGATTGTTGATGATCTGAGTACATTCACAGGAACAGCACTTGCCTTCTCTTTGACACTGTTTAATGCTGCAATTGATTTAATATCATTTAGTAACATACTATTTGGCATCTATCCTCCGCTATTTATTGTTCTTCTGATATACTCAATTGGGGGAACAGCTATAAGTATTTTTCTGGGAAAGGTAGTGTGGCTGTTTCAATAATTGTTTTTATTTTTTTAACTTTTATTTTGCTGCTTAATTCTCATCTCTGATTGTTTATTGATCCATTATGTTTGATTTCAGGGACTGGTGAATTTGAACTTTTTGCAAGAGAAAAAGGAAGCAGACTTTCGTTATGGACTTGTTCGTGTGAGGGAAAATGCAGAATCAATTGCTTTCTATAGTGGTGAGGAAAATGAATTGCAAATGCTAGTCCAAAGGTTCAGCAGTGCTTTTCAAAATTTAACTGTAAGGATTCTCATCTTTTATCATCCTTTTTGTCTATGGTCTTTGTGTGCAATGTATTTTCTGATGGAAAATCTACTCTTCTCAGCTCTTCAAAGAAAAACTTAAGTGAGTTGCCAACTTGCAGTGTCTAGTTTTTGTCTTGATGAAGTACCACTGAAAAAGTTTATCTCGCAGAACCAATATGCAGGGAGTTCAGGATTAGTGTCTGATGAATTGATTGGATGCACATGCGACTAGAGTCCTAGAAGCCCTTTCTTTAATTTGTTTCCCTTGTCCTTACTTTGGTCAACTCATTTGCTCCCTAAATATAAGATATGTTAAAGCTAGCTGTTGAGAAGGGTCTTCAGTTTGCTATTCATAGTGTAGTGAAATATGAGTAACCAGTCATTTAATATGTTATGCCAATAATTTTTTGGTATATAACTAGCATAAGTCATAAATGCATATTGAAAGTTGGTTGAGATTGACAATTACTTCTAATTTGCAAGATAATAGGCCAGAGTGCATTAAATCATATTACATTTGAAAATGATTCACACTTTCTTCTTTGCATTGTCTAGCATTAGAGTTCTGCTTTCCTTTTTTGAGTTTTGTCAGGCTATGCTACTATTGCTTTTTATTTACTTTACTTCTTGCCTCCTCTGTTATGCCTTTTTTCAGTCAGTCATTAATTCAGAGTAAAGCTTTGTTCTTTTTTCTTGTTGTTGATTCATTTATGCTTCTTTTTTCTTGGTGTTGATTCATTTATGTTCTTTCTCTCTCTCTCTCTCTCTCTCTCTCTCTCGTGATGACTATTTCTCTCTTTCATCTAATCGTCTTCAAAATTGCCATGGGGTTATTGGGGTAGAAAGTGATGTACACTGAGTGTTGGAGGTGGTTTATAGCTGTGGTTGAGAAGGAGATGGAGGATTAAAGGGTGAGAAGATTAAATAAGAGTGATGATGATGATTGTGCTGTTGTTGGATTTTGATGGGAGGCAGCAAATGGGTGAGGGTGAGAAGACCACCAAAAGGGAATGGGAATTAAGTATTGAACATTGACCTCAAAGTTTTTACGAGAATCTCTCAAACATGAGATTCTTGAAGATTTTTGCATACTCTTACACGAGACAATATCCCTTTATAATTTTATAAGACTTAAAAGTGGAATTGCATATACTAAGTTCTAATTAGCTCACCATTCTTCATTATGTTTACTTAGTGTTGTGTTTCTACATGTAGAGGCCCTATTTTGCAAAGATCTCCATTTTGCAAGATAATGTGGTTAAAGTTCTAATTAAAAAAGATAATGTGGCTAGTTCTGTCACATGTCCTGCTTGCTGTGTTACTTTGCCTATATTATCAATATGAAACTGACCAGCCTGTCTGGATACCACTGCTGTCAATGTGGAGTTCTGCTACTAAAATTATGATGTGTTTCATGCTGGAGAAAATGTCTTCTGAACCATATAGATGAGCTGTCTTCTCCACTAAATTGGACACTTGTAATATCTCTTCAATTGCTTAAAAATGTCTTCCATATGATAAAAAGGCTATATGTAGATTTACTAGGAACTAAAACTCTTGTTGTCATCATTAATCTCATGTTTTTTGGCTGTGCAGCGCCTGTTGGTAGCTTCCAGAAACCTGGATTTCTTCACCAGTGGTTACCGGTATTTCATTCAAATCCTTCCTGCAGCAGTTGTTGCACCCTTGTATTTTTCTGGAAAGATTGAATTTGGTGTCATTAATCAGTCCGTATCAGCTTTTAACCATATCCTTGGAGATGTTTCCCTCATCGTCTATCAATTTCAAGCCATCAGTGCCTTCTCTGCTGTGATTGACCGTCTAGGTATCAACTTTTTCCCATGTATATCTGCACTTAGCTAACTTGCATGCAGATAGCCTCATGACTGAGCTGCCTTTATTTGTATATATAAACACATGTTGCTAGCATTTGCTTCTCATATATCTTATGATCCTTGAATAATTTAATACAACAACATTAACAAGACCCAGTTTAGAGTATGGTTGAGTTGGGAGGGAAGTGCCCATGCAGCTCTACTCCTGGCTGCCTACCCAGCATACTATGTCCGACGGCAACATTATATGTTCCAACAAATGAAATAACCATTATAATCATATATTCCTAGTCTGTATAAACCACGTTTTTCTTAGTGCTGTTTGTACTAAAGTCTCATAAGTTTTAAACTATGTGAACACTGATATGGTATTTGGAGAGCTCAAACAGCAGCTCTGTGCGTGCTGATTATTCTTTTAAGAGAGTGATCCCGTGATATGTTGAATAATTAATTCCTAAAGTCATTTTGAACATTAATTCTGCTCTAAAAATAATGAGCTTTGTGGTTGCGATGGTTTATTTTGGCTTGTTGACTTGCGCAGGTGAATTCGATGATCTTCTTGATAGTAACATCTCAGAAAACCTCACTGATTCAACAAGTAATGTGTATGTTGTCTATCAGAATGTGACGAGTCCAACAAATCAGACTTTATTGGATTCTAGTGGATCATTGACAGAAGGAAGTAGTAAAAAGTTGGTCGATTTGGAGCATTTGACTCTGGTGACTCCAGAAAAGTCTACAATTCTCATGGATTTAACATTGTCAATTAACGAAAAGGATAATCTGTTGGTAAATAACAAATCTGGCATTACTTTGATTCTGTTTTTATTGTAAGTAGTCAGCTTTGAATATGCTAATTACAGGCTCATTCTTATGTTTACAGATAACTGGGCCTAGCGGAAGTGGTAAGACTTCTCTGTTAAGAGCTATGGCTGGTCTTTGGACTTCTGGAAGCGGAAAAATCACATTTTATGTGAAAGAAACGGATGATCACCAATCTGTCTCTACACATGAAAATGCTGAAGAAAGTGATCCATTTAAGAGTAGAACTTCTAGGGGTATAATTTTCCTTCCCCAGAAACCTTATATGGTTTTGGGCTCCCTGCGCCAGCAGTTGCTTTATCCAACATGGGCTGAAATTCCAACTTTAGATGGGGTTGAGCAAACTGGTAAGCACTTAGAAGTGTTATAACTGAAGAAATGCCCCCCCTCCCCTCTTCCTCCTCCTCCTTTACTTAAAATATAAAGAAATAGGATCTGTCGGCTGAACTGAATATTAGGCTGAAGGAACACGATGATGCTGATCACAAGTTTAATTTCAGTAGTCATGAAAATATGATTGCATATCCTGTTCCAGATGTCAAATTTTCTGTGAAATTGTTCTGTCAAAGAAATGTTTTGAGCACTGGCTGCGGCACAAATTGACCACAATTCCTGCTAACTTTCTTGTATTATTATGGATTGCTTTCTTAGTATTGATATCTCTCTAGAAATAAGATCGAAGTTGTTCATGATGCTGTAGGTTGCCCACCTTTCTTGCTGCAGACTGAGGGGTCAGGCTGTGTTTTTACAAGGTCACTTAAGCCTACTACCGAGGATTTAATAAAGGTATTGGAGGATGTTCGCCTTGGCTATTTAGTGCCTCGGTTTGGTCTTGATTCAACTTATGAATGGTCGAGTATTCTTTCCTTGGGTGAGCAACAGCGCCTTGCATTTGCACGTCTTCTGCTTGCTAAGCCATATCTGATCCTCCTGGATGAATCTACCAGTGCTTTGGATGAGGATAATGAGGTATTCATTGGGAACAAATCTTCTCTGTCATAAAGTTATTATCATCTGAATGTGCAGTTTTATCCAATAAGAAAGAGGAATGCTGCCCAATGATCATGTTTAAAACTTGATGTATATTTATATCTTGCTAAATTTAAGCTTAATGCTGTTATTGTCTCTACTCAGGATCATCTATACCGCTTGATTGAAGCTGCTGATGTAACCTATGTTAGTATTGGCCACCGAAGATCATTGATAAACTATCACAGCAAGGTTTTGAATATAAAAAAGATGGATCCACAATCTCCTGAACGCAACTGGACCATCAAGCCTATAAATCAAGAAGCAAGGATTAGATTGTCAGAAATAGGATTGTAGCTGATTTGAAGTTCAGGGTTTTCCTTGGATGACAACATGACACGACTTTGTAATATTGCCGTGCCACTTTACTCGAAACCATGATGGAAGATTTACAGGCAAGCGGGGTGCCTCTTTGAAGTTGGGACCGTAAAAAAATTGGCGCCTGGGTATGCTTGAATTAGATTGTCTAAGGCTAACAGATTGCTTTTCCATATATAGTCAAATTGAAAGAAACTTGAGTCTCTTAATGTAAATAGTACAATCATGGTAATTCCATATATGTGTGTTTTTTTCCCTATTTTTCCTAAATTCTTTTGACATACATGATCTATTGTTAGTCAGACTTGGAAAAGTTAAGTCATTTTGATATGGTCTCGATCGATCGTGATATGTGGCCTAGTTGGGGAAAGGTTATATACTAAAAGCTCTAGGCCCTGTGCTTTTGGGCAGGGCAGAGCAGAGCATATTGAAGCAGAGCCGAGCCGAGCAAAGCAGAGCAGATTTTATTATTATTATTACCATTATTTAATATTATTACTACTACTACTTATTATTATTATTATTTTATTATTATTATTATTATTATTATTATTATTATTACTATTACTACTATTATTATTATTAAAAATTAATTATTATTATTATTAAATATTAATAATAATAATAATAATTATTATTAAATATTTATTATTATTATTTAATATTAATTATTATTATTATTAAATATTATTTATTTATTTATTATTATTATTATTATAATTATTAAATATTAATTAAATATTATTATTAGTAATTTATTATAATTAAATATTAATTATTATTATTAAATATTAATTATATATTATTATTATAATTAAATATTAATTATTATTATTAAATATTAATTATATATTATTATTATTATTAAATATTAATTATTATTATTATTAAATATTAATTATTATTAAATATTAATTATATATTATTACTATTAAATATTAATTATTATTATTATTATTATTATTATTAATATTATTAAATATTATTTTTAAGTAGAGCAGAGCCGATTGAAACAGAGGATAGCAGGATCCAGCAGAGGAGAGTAGAGGAGCGCTAAAGAACAAGGCATAATCATGAATCACTTAGAAGTGGCAATAGCGATCTAACTCAATTTAAGACTAAGGGTCTGTTCTGACTGAACTGATTGGAGATGAAGTGAACTAAATGTTTTATGAGAGTAGGAAATTAAGAACTGAACTAAACTGAAAATAATCTGAAAAGAACATGTCCTAAAATTGTCCGATTTTTTTTTTATTGACCAACTAGTATAGCATACGTACAAATGTGCGATGTATGATTTAATAAATTGTCTGGGGCTTATATAGCTATTTTTTGCCAATAAATGTTAAATATAGAAAATGCATGCCACTTACATGAGGTCAGAAAAATTGAGTCAATGGGCGGAATTCGACTAGTACATGGCACCTTATTCTTGAATTTTTTTTTTCTTTTTTTTTTTGGTGAACACGAGGGACAAGCCCCAAAAGAAAAACACAAAAATAAAACAAACTAAAAGCAAAAAAACTACTAGCCCCAAGGCTTTATTTCAACTAAAAGAAACTTAGATATTCGGAACCATTCTCGACCAAGCCACTCCACTCAAGTTCTCCAATAAAATAGCATGAAGGTCTTTCGGGACCACCTCAAGAAGCACCAAGTTAGACCCTGTGTTCACTCCATAGTTAGCTAACCATTCAGTTGCCCGATTAGCTTCCCTATAGCAATGAATAACTTTAATCTCCCAATCTCTTTCTTGTGCAGGCGAGGACCGCTCGGCTAGGGCGCGCCAGGGAAGAAATGCATAAGAGAAGGCAGGCCCCTTCGCTTTTTTTGTGGAAAGCTCGATCAGCGAGAAAAAGTGTTTGGCCGAAGCCAAAAAGAGGTTGACCCACTTTCAAAGCCTTACACCTGCGCATAATCTTATATATAAAGTGAAAGGGCTTTTTGGGAGATAAATTTCACTATCCCCAAATTACCCCTCTCAAGTTGCAAAATTACCATTTTTTTTACATTTACAGTTAAAATTTAAGAATTATTTTTTAAAAAATCCTATCATAACTACCCTATAATAACCGCTCCCTTTCTTCCACATAAATTACATATTTAACTGAAACCACTCTTGAATCGATTATTTTTTCATCTAATTTCTTATATTATACACACGTAACGTGTATCTCTTAACTTGTATGTATAAAGGGAGGGTTAGGGGAAGAATCCTCCACTAACAATTGCTATACCACATGCAAATCAATAGCTAGGACCACTCTTCTATGACCTCCCTCCCAAGCAATCTTAAGCCTATTCGTAACAGCTACAAGCTCTTCTCTTGTACAAGTGCTGACGTGCACACCCCACAGCCAACAGCAAAAACTTCATGCAGCTCCCCATTGCTACCACGAAACAAGATACTTGCTCCGGCCACACCCGGATTACCCTTAGCTGCTCCATGAGTATTTAACATCACCCACCCAAATTCGGATCTCAACCATCTAATAAGCACCTTTTTTTCTCTTCCTTTTGTGAAATTTCAAGACCATATCATATTTTTCCATAACTCTTCTAATAATACCAACCCGGTCAAAAATGAAACTTACTTGGTCAATAAGAATTGGCAGAGGGTCTTTAAAGTATCGTTCATTTCTCCATTTCCAAAGCCACCAACATGTGACCGCAAACATCCTTGGCCACTCATCTCCCAACTCTGATTTCTCATCATACAGAATACGAGCTGCTGGGTACCTTCTCACTACATGCTCATCGCTTTCATCATCTTCCCCACAAACAAGGCACCTTAGGCATCAGTGAGGCCACTAACAAATCTGTTTTTGTTAGTCATGAGCCTTTCTTGTGCAACAAGCCAAAAAAAAAAAAAACGAATTCTCTGAGGCACTCTCATCTTCCAAATTAGCTTCAAGCCACGCAAATTACCCAGGTCCGTTGCCTCACTGTCTCGGCTAATGGCAACAGCCGATTTAATAGTGAATTTTCCTTTTGGTGAGCCACTCCAATACACTTCATCAATAGCCTCTTCATCTTTAGTCACTTGATGCACTGCAATTTTTCCCCTAGAACATAAGCTTTTAGAGAATTATTGAATCAATAAATGTAATTGAATCAGAAATTGCCAAAGTGATGATTAATTACCAAAATAAGACCTATGATTTATCAATGAAGAGATAAAGATAGAAAGTAAGCTGTATGATAAAAGCTTTTTTTTTTTTTTTTTTTTTTTTACACACATTAGTTCATAACTTCACAGTACGTGAACTTCTCTTATATACTTGTTAAAAAAAAACCCTCCTCTTATATACCAAAGTTATGAAACATAGTATACATTATTGTACCACATGTAAATTACTGTACTAGGTAAAATTGCATTAACCAGTTAAAACTACATGCATGTGAAATTGTGAACTTCAATCATCTTTGTATTTATTATCTCAACAATACCAAGTGAAACCATTATAATTCTCTAAAAAAAAAAAAAATTGAAGAAAGTTCAAGCTTTATAAGTACTAGATGAAAGCCCGTACGATGCACGGATATTTTATTATTTTTTTATTATTTTTTTTGAGTATTTAAATCTCATAAATAGGTAATATTCTTAATTAAACCATTTAATATTTTGATTAAATTGCTTGTTAGAAAAAGATAAATTTAATTATATAGTTTTTATTATTTATATTATGAAAAGATAATATTCTTAATTATACCATATAATATTTTGATTAATTTTCTTGTTAGAAAAGAATAGTTTATATTAATTCATTGGTGTTTCTTTTTTTAAATTGCTACCCACCTATTGTAAGTGAATTATTATTCATTAGTGTTAATTATGTGAAAATTGTATTTAAATTACTAAATCGATGATAAATATGGTATCTCATTCGTCAAAATATATCACCCATAAATATTCTCTTTTTAAAGAAATAAAAAGATCTGAGTAACTTGAAGGTTATATAACAAAGCTTGAGTTGGCAAATCAAAATAGTTAATCACCATATCATTTGATCCAATCAATATTAAAGATATGCATTTTCTATAGTCCAATTCGTTTTCTCCAGACCCACATTTCTCTCCATTTTTCCTAAAGCCTCTGTAAAGTAACTCACCTGAGCTGTTAGATCAAGGGCATGAGTAATCCCAATCGTTAGATCATCTAAACCGGATTTATATATATATATATATAAATTATCCTATATGGTTTTTTTTTCTAATTTATCATGTTTCATTTTGATAATTACACCATAAAAATCTATATAATCATACGTTTTTTTTAAAACAATTATCATTTTTTTTTGTGTGTGTAAGTTATCATATACAATTTTTTTAAAAAAATTCAAATATGACTTTTTTTTTTTGTAAATTTTGTAACTTAAATTTTATTTTAATATCTAAATATAATCATAATTCTAAGGATAATTTAAATCCTAATAAATCACTATTCGTTGTTTTTACGTTTGTGGCAAAATTCTCAAATCTAATTCGTAACTTTTGCTTAGGTGGCGAGTGGATTTTTTAATTTTAAAATAAATTATTAATCTAGTTTTTCATTGGTCAAAATAACATCTTTTCTTATGTGGCGCGCTAGATGTTCTCCAAAAATGCCTACTTTATTTTTATATATATATATATTAGATTATTTCATCAAAGCTTAGACTATGCGAAAATGTAAATGCCATATCGTAAAGAGAACAGAACCTAAGACGAGCTATCCTAAAGTTCGAGCCGGAGTCGACCCACTGCACCCCATATGTGAGTATTGATAACCCAAGCTCGAGCCATCCAGCACCCTCCTCCTCGATCACGACGCAAATCACACTCTCTCCCTACTTCAACTCCAGAAAATCACCCCTTGATTTCCGCCATTGAAATTCTCTCTCTTTCCTTCCATCAATTCGATACTCCATTGATTTAGTCAAGCTCTTCTGCTGCCACAACAATGGCGGCCGAAGGATCTATCCTGCTTCACCATCTCCGCTTTCCGAAGCTCTCTCGTCTTTCCGTCTTTGTTTTCTTTCTTCTACTGGTAACCTCTCATCCCCAATTTCGCATCTTTTGATTTGATTGTTAATTGTGGTTTTCCTTTTGTTAGTTTTATCATTGATTATATGATTGTTAGTAAGGAAAGTATGGAATTTTGTGTTGATTAATCTGATTATGATTGCTGCATTTGATTTGTATTTTATGGGTTTTTGGAGGAATTTGGTTCTCATTCATTAGGAATTCTTGATATTATGATGTCTTATTATTTTGATTGCTATACTATGCTACCTTTGATGAAATAATGGCCCCCATAATTGAAGTAAAAGATATGGAATTTGAACTATTAGGGGTTACTGAGTTACTCTACTCTCCTTGGCTCCCTGCTTAATGTCATGCCGAAACAAAACCCTTGAGTACTCTTTACCTCTAACCGATCATGGACTTGAAATTTGCTTACTTCTGAAATGGATATCCATTTGCCATTGCCTTGAGAAGCAGACGTCCTCTTGCTCCACCATATGAGGTTTAGAGTGGTGCATTGGAGCTTGACTTTTTTTTTTTTTTCGCAAATCTTCATAATTATTTTATTTAAGAGATATTTTCATTGAGCAGATGGGTAGCTCTAACATTCTTGGGTGACCCACCTCTTCCGATATACTACCTTCGTTACATGTTATGTGCAACGATTTGACATAAAGCAGAGAGGGAAAATGTCTAATCGTTGCACATAACCTGTAACGGAGGTAGTATATATATGTAATCCAATGTGAAACCTTGCGGCAAGTATTGGAAGATGAATTACACAGTTCTATGTCGTACTTCCTCAGTTTCACTAAAAATGCAACACTTGCCTATTTCCGGATGTCTTAAAATAATTGCGATTTGCGACACTTCTTTTTCACACAACTTTTCATATATGTACTTGGCCCACTCTCTCTCTCTCCTCCTCGCTATCTTATTTAGAGTATACTTTTTACTTTTAGATTTTTGATTAACTCCCCTCTTACATTAAAAAATGTGTGAACTAAGTGTTGTGATTTTAGTGAAATCGAAGAAGTATAAATACACACAGTATGAGAGATGGTTAGGGTAAATGAGCATCTCGCAAGGGTTGTGAACTTTTGCTGCAGAAAATGAAATTTAACTACTGTCATGGGTTACATGTGTCTTGGGTATATTGGCTGGCTATTATTATTGATAAAGACTCAAGAAGTGGGTGAATTGGGTTTTTGCCTGAATTGAAAAGAGATGCTCAAATAGTAAAACTTGTGTACAACCCAATTCAAACTGTTGTAGCATTTTCACTATTAAACAAGTAAACAATATGAATCAAAGTATCTTGCTGTTCATGTTTACCTAACCCAGTGATCAGAATTTTCATTATTGAGCTCGTCTCACGATTTAATATTTATCTGTCGAAGTCTAGCATCAAATAGGTGAATTTCGATAAGTTGTTTATTTTATATTCATCCAATGGATAATCATAAGAGGGCTTCCTTAGTTCCTTCTAAGATCTACTGATCTTGTGGCTGAGAAGGTATATAAGTAGTTAGATGGTTTGGATAGGGCTTATATCTCCTTGGGAGCACAAATTATGCTTATTTAATCTTGCCGTTTTTCTTATTTTTGTGTCCCTTGTTGAGTGTCCAGTATTATGGCTAAGATTATAATGGGTTTCAGTTGATGAGGAGATTACAATTAGTATGCTGTGTCCTCTAGCGTAAATTGAAGGCAGGTTTAGTTCTAAATAGTTGGGTTTGATATTTTGCGGTCCAGGCTTATGTATTTAACCCAGCCAGGACCTGCTGTCATCCCCTACGAACTATAGATTTTAGCTTGCCAAAGAAGATCCCATTGTTGCTAAACAGACATGGAGCATTAAGAATTGTTTTGACCTGAAAGTTGTTGACTACTTTGATGTGTAAAATTTTAGGATGGGTTTCATTCTTCTTTGTGGTCTGGGTTGTAGGTATATTACAAGATGTGAATGGTGATCAAATGCTTTCTTTAGCTATATTTCATGGAAACCTCAAATCCCCCCCCCTTTTTTTTTTGAATGGGAAGTAATTATATTATTAAATAATAGCCATACGGCATCTACAATAATAAAGATCTGTAAACCACAGATTTAGAAAAAAAATCATAAATTTTACAATCAAAATCATAACTAATTTGCATATTTGGCATAGCTCATACTCCATCGCTTCAAGCTTGACGCAAGCAATGATTTTTCGATGTATTTGCATCTTTTTAAGTTGAGACCTCCTCAATCTGCGCTGATGTTTTGATCAACTAGTTGATGACAAATCCCAGATCTATAGGAATCCAAATCACCTTCCCAATTATTATAAGAACCCTAAAAATAAAATTCTCATCCATGGATGAGAATCAAAATCTCAGAAAATTGGGAACAACCCAGAAAATTGGGACAAACTATCACAGATGGAGAGAACAAAACAAAACAAACAAACCAAAACGTAAAACAAAACAAAAAAACCTAAATTGAATTAAAGAAAAAGGGTCGGAAATAGTCTAATTTTCTTTGGAAATTAGACTATTTCCGGCCTAAATGACCTAGAAAACTAAAACCCTTGAAAAGAGAGGAGAGAGAAGAGAAAAAAAAAGGGGACTTCTGGTAATTTTACGAGTAGTTTTTTCTTTAATTTACTGCTATTGCTAAAAATCTGGAAACCTCAAACCTTGTCTTCCTGTTTCATAGTACTTCTGGAATGATAGATTCTCATATGATTAAAAGATAGTGATGAAATTAAACCTTATTATATTAGGCACATTATGCGAACCATTACCATCTTGCTCAACCAAGCTTTATGGTTTTCCTTTAAATTTTCACTCTCACAAGTTTTCATCCGTAAACGCGTCGTGATTCATTTACCATCACTTTCACAAGTATTCACTCTCACAAACTTTATGAATTTCATCATGATAATATGGAAAATTTGTGTCAGGTTTTTGCTCCTGGATCACATGAGTCTCCAACGCATCGTAAACGCGGAATGTCATCTGTCTTTTCTTTGTTCAATCTCAAAGAGAAGAGCAGATTTTGGACTGAGTCTGTCATACATGGTGGTAAGAGCCCATGGTAATTTAATTTTTGTTTTGTTGAAGCTGCGACTGCGAAATTTAAATTTAGATAAATTATGTAAATTTTTGGCTTGACAGTTTCAATTAATGTTCAGATTTTGATGAATTGGAATCTTCCAGTGGAAAGAGTGGAGCCTTAAACTACTCCAAGGCAGGTAGTTAGCTCGTATCATTGCTGTGTTTATCTTTTACGTTGGGTTTTGACTATATGTGGTTTGTCTTTTGAACATTTTGTCAAATATTTGGAGCGACGAATCTAAAACCCTAGTTAATCAACGTTCGAACTTTAGAAAGAGCTCTCGAATTTTTATGCAAGCAAACCTGCAAAATTAATTTTTATTTATTTATTTAATTTTTTTTTTTTTACTCTAAATCATTTGATATATATATAATTATATATAAGACAAATCCAACCTTTCTCATGTCTCCTACATAGTATATTAGACTTCCCTACGAGAAACCTAAATAAAACCCTACAATAATTGACAAATATGGCCCTATTTATAATGAATATAAATAAATGATTATATGCTACAACTTTGGAAGCCCAAGGCGGCAAGGCCTTATTAGTCCATAGGTAATAATAAAATTATAACTAAAAGTACTGTAGAATCTCACCAGTAAAACTCCCACATTAAGTAAGAGGTAAAATCAAGAGAGTTCCTAAATAAAGCAATAAAGATAATCATAGAAAAAAAATGTTTTGATTTACATCAAGTACTAGGCTTGGAACCATATTATGGAATTTTGTAACATATTGTATAAGTTTATGCTTTATGGTGACTCTATGGGCTTGTTTGACTTCCTTTATTTGTTGCCCTTCTTTTCTTCTCATTTCATTTGCAGCCAGCCATATGAACTTTAAAAGGATTGTGATGTGCATTCTTGTCCATCCTTTGGGTTTTCTTGCTGGAAAGTGGAAAGTAATAGCATTTTAGAAGTATGACTGCTATTTGTGGCATTATGCTGCTTTGGGATCTTTGCTTCCTTCTGATGCTACTGTATATGGTTTTCGCAGGTCAATGTTACATTGATGGTTGGTGTAATTTGTGATTGGTCTGTTATTTATGTTTATTGATATCAATAGATAAATCCTGATCCTGTAGGGATGTTTATCCTTTACTTATCTATATATTTGAAAGAAATTTCTCCCTTAAGTGTAGTAATTTAGGTTTGAGAAATTTTCCCATATAGTGAGAAAATATTTTATATAAGTACATGGGCAAGTAGGTACACGGGAGATCCAAAGTATTTCTCTAAGAGCTTTATTGATGGAATGATTATTGTTATTTAAAGTGTGAAACTTAAAATGTGCTTGTGGGATTACGTGACATTATTAGTGGCATTGTTAGGGTGTGATTACTACCAGCAAAAGAATATTTGTGTGATAGTGCCCTGGTATCGTCGCTAAGTATTGGTTGTTGGGGTTCACCTATGGTGAAGAGAACGCATTAAAAAGAGTACAAAGATGGACATGATTAGAGAGTGAAGTAGTGTGTAGTCGTGGTTTGTTGAGACGTACAAAATGAACCCTATAAGATAAAATGAAGGTGTGATTGGGATTTTACAAATGAGTAATGCTCGTTTATTGCATATGAGAGGGTTTATAACATCTTTGTACAAAGGTTGGTGTTGTAGCTAAACAATATGGTAAATTTATTGCTAAAAATGAGATAGTGCTATGAGATTTTTTAATATAGTCCCGAAACTCTTAAGAGAGACATATCTTTGGATTATTTTTTAATTTACCTTTCTTTGCCTACAAAAAGTGATGAGAAATGCTTTTGCAATTAGCATCTAAGGTAAACTGATTGACTACATAAAGTTTGTTGGAGAAAATAACTACGAACATTTCAGGGTAGATTTGGTCATTTGAAGGCAGAGATAGGTTATTTCTTTGTTTGTGGGGTCAAGGGGGTAAGAGATAAATGTATTTGCCAAATATATCATAAAGCAGAGTGTTTAGGGGGTGTTTGGTTCGCAAACTTGTATGGGGTTGGAATCAGGAAGAAACCATAGTGGTATGGGTTTGGAACTTGATTTTTGATACCACTTATTTGGTTTGATTATGGAACGGAGTGTTTTTTTTTTTTTTTTTTTTCTTTTATTTAATACCAAAAAGAATTGGTATGAGCCAAACCCACCTTTCCCCTTGGGTTTCTAAACTCCATACCTTTGGGGGTTTGAGGTAAGGGTTTGAAACTCTTAAAATCATTAAGCAAGCATAAGGTATGGGTTTTGGGTTTAAACCTTCTAAATCCATACCTCATACCTAAATTATGTGAACCAAACACCCCCTAAAAACTTTTTTAAAATACCAAAATGGGAATTGTTAAGATCATGTAGAAGTGATGGTTAGTATATGGCAAAAATTTTGCTTTTGATTTAACATGAGGGGTGAGATACGATCTCTCTCTCTTTTTTTTTTTCCCCACCTCTTTTTGGCTTTTGTGGGAACAACATTCGTGGACTAAAATAGGATATATGCTGGTCAGTGGTCACTATATCCTAGATTTCAAGAATTGGATATGGGTAGTGGACTAGTGGTTCAAGAGAAGACAGTCTAGCTATAGAATGTAGCTAATTTCAAGAAAAGTAAAAATCCATCGTGAACTCTTTCTCTTTCCTGATCTATTGCTTTGACCACAGATTTACGCCTTACAGCGGCTTGGGATGAATAACAATGTTAAATTTTTAAATTTAGACTCTTGGTTGCAATGATTCTCAAGTTACATGGAGGAGAATGTTAGAAATCTAGTGGTAAGCTTGAAATGAACAAAATTAACATATATTTTTGAGGCTTTGAGCCAAAATATCAAGGTACAAAACGTTTTCTAAAATGTCGAGAGAAATTGCAGTCCAATCACATCGATCTGGATTTCAAAGTTTATTTTTGGCTAAAGCAATGTAGGGAGTTTGTATTATGTATGAAGATGTAATCCAAGCTAATCCATACCACGTAATTAACCTCAAAGGACTCTATGCGAAAAAGTGATTATGTTCGCCGTTCACTAAACACATCCTAAATTTATTGGGAGAATAAGTTCTTTTCAATCTGCAGTGTAAAATATCTTGGGTATCAAGTTTATCTTAAAATTACTGCAGATAAAAGTTTGATCCTGCTGTATTTTTTCATGACTAAATCTGGTCTGTTAGTTGGAACAAATGAACAATTATGTTTTTGGAGTGAAACAATTACGTAGTAGAATGAATGGATGAATCATACACCTCTGTGCTATGTGTCCCTTCTGTTGTTGCTCTTAGACCTCCTTTCTCTAATGTGTGACACCCAGGAAGTAATTTTTTTATATGATGGAAATTTTTTCGTAACTGATGGACAAGTGATGCTTAATCTAAATTTGCAGGGAATATTGCTACATATTTGAAGCTTCAGGAAATTGATTCTATGCATTTTCCAGTTCCCGTGAATTTCATTTTTATTGGATTTGAAGGAAGTGGAAACCAAGGTATCTATCAATCTAATGTTGAATTTCTAATACGTGAGTGTTGACTAAGTAATGTCTGAGACTTTGAGTCAATTGTTATTTGATGTTATGAATTTTCATATCCTTTGATTTCAGCATTTTCACTGCAACCTGAAGAACTTGAGAGATGGTTTACAAAAATCGATCATATTTTTGAACACACTCGGGTCCCACAGATTGAAGAAGTGCTGAACCCATTCTACACGATCAACATTGACAAAGGAAATCATCATTTTCCTACACTAAGTCATGTGAACTACAAGTAATGTTTTTTCCAAAGTCCAATTTATGTTTTTGGGTGGTATTTATCAGACTCTACTTTATTTATTGCTCTGTGATTCCTGATACTGAAACCTGGAACTTATTTATGCAGTTTCTCTGTTCATGCTATACAAATGAATGAAAAAGTTACTTCCGTTTTTGAGCGTGCTATTGCTGTGCTGTCTCGGAAGGATGATGTTTCAGGGACTGGGTATGTTGTGATTACAAAATTTTTCTCTTATATTGTCACATCTATCTGTGAAGATTATGCCTTTAAAAGATTGGAGTCAAAGTATTCTACTGGGGCCCAAAGTTTCGTTAAATTTGTGTTGGCAATGTCATGTGAAACAAGCGGACAAGCCAATGTGTACATTTGACTTTTGTCTCTTGGGCTGCTTTTACTTTTTAGCTTTTTGCAAGCTGGATAATACTTCTGTAGGGATTAGACAATATAATACTTGGGAGTACCAAAAGCCCATAGTACCATACTAGGACACTAAATGGATTTTATCAGATTGCTAATTTATTTGTTATTATACGCAGTTTTACTGTTATTGAGTTTCTTTAAAGTTCATGGGATATTTAGAAACAGGTAAAGGAGATATATGTGGACACTTAGGCAAGGTGAATATGAAATAAGAGCTACAAAACCAAGAGACAAATTGAATACCCTGACGGCCTGACCACACTCAGCAACTATATCAAAACTACTAAAATGAAAGTACCTAGACACCCACTCTAGTTCAAAACTGCTATATACGGGCATGTATAATGTGAAATGATGGTATGAATGTGTATTTGTGTAGTTTAAATTCCAAAAGGCTGCTTTTCACAGGGTAATACCAGTATTTGTTTCTGAGGATCTGAGGACTGGAATAGGAAACTTGAATTTTGAACATTAGTAAGACAGTAGTTTCTGCCGAGGTCCATATTTGCTCATTATAACTTGAACATGTAGTTATTATCTACTTTTTGATTGGGGGTATTTCTAGACCACATAAGATTTTTTGCAATTCATAGGATATGCCTACTTGAACATGTAGGTCTAGTAGAAGGTGAAATCCACAAAAATTAAGTATAGAGATGTTTGGGCCTTAATGCCTTGTGTCTTTGAGTCTTCTTATTCTTGAATGCCTTAATCCCATAAGTGGGGTCGGCTGCATAAACCAACATGAGGACTTCCTAGGAGGTCACCCATCCTAGTACTACTTTCAGTCATGGTGGCTCATGTCTAGCGATGTGAAAAAGTTTCACCCTCCTCCTTTACCCCGACTTGAGAATGATGTTCTTTCCTACACCTTGTCTTATATTTTTTCCATTCCATGGAGCTTTCCAACTTTTGCTTTATTCCATTTTTTTTCAAGAAATACTAGTTCCTCTATTTTTTAGTATCGGCTGCACTTCTTCAAAATGGAAATGTCATAATACTTCGCAACACATTATAATTGTTGTTGTTGTTGTTTTTTTTTTTTTTTTTTTTTTTTTTTTTTTTTTTTTTTTGGTGAAAGTTGTACTATTACCCTTATTTAATGCTCATGACCCACTTATTTATATACCTAACAATTTTTCAACCCTATTTTAAGGATGTTAAATTATGTGAGATCCACTTTTCTTAAATACCGTGAAAAAGTATGTTGTAAGTACTAAAAATCGGAGGAAGTATTATTTTACTCTAATGTGGCTTACTTTATGGTGCAACTTTTCTTATTATACCCTGTCTCTTTCCTTAAAAAAATAATGTGTGTGTGATTTCATTTACTTTCCTTAGCTGCCAAAATTTATGATTGATGTATAGCTACATTGGGGCATATAATTGACCAAATTCTTTATACTTGTCGCATAAGTCTAAATAGTTTTCTTGATCTTGTGAGCATTAAAACACTTTTAGAACTAGAAATTATCCCTTTTACTCATTCATTTGTATAAAGTATGTACACTAACGACTAATTCCATTTAAAGGCTTATTTGAGGATATTGCTTTACTACCTCAATAAAAAGAAATTGAGAGTTCGTCATGACTTTATTTTATTATGGGAACATAACTACATAAGAGCTAACAAAGAGGAAGCAAAACATTTACATAGTTTAGATGAAACATTTGGTTTCAACTAATGTAATCCAATTTAAATGGCTTGTTTGATACTGGCCTAACTGAGCTTAAAAGTCTAAAGCATAAAAACTCTAGCAATTGGAGTATATATTTTAAAATGCCTTAAGCAATGCCATCTTTTGGAAAGCTCCTCAGGTATATGTAATCATTTTCAACTCATGGAAATCCTCTTACCTTTTACTCTATTTTATGTTCCTCTCCCACAGGGAAAATAAAGATGTTTTGTGGCAAGTGGACCTGGATATGATGGAAGGGATTTATGATAGCCTCATTGAGTACTTGCAACTTGGAAATGCTTATAACATTTTTGTTTTGAACCCGAAGCATCGTACTAATATAACTAACTATGGCTACAGGTTTGTTGTTACTTCTAGCAACCTTTCATAATTAGCTGTATCGCCTAAGTTGGGGGACTGGTCCTATGGCTATGTCATTTATCTCCTTTCATTTTGATTTAACCCATGATTTGATTGCAGGAGAGGATTGTCTGAGTCTGAGATAAATTTTCTTAGAGAGGTGCTCCATTCTTTCCAATCTATTGATTGTTTTTATACTTAGGATTAGTATACTTTTGGATGTTTCAGCCATTTGGTAAATTATCATGCATAAATGCTTTTGAGGAAAACGTCATCTTCATTTCATATTTGGTCTGGAATCCTTCGTGTTATGGCAGCCTTTCTGCTCATTATTGCAGTAAATGATTTCCTTTTATATATATATATATATATATATATATATATATATATATATATATATATATATATATATATATATATATATTTCTATTTGGGTACATTTATTGTTTATAATATGGTGGTATTATTGATGCAGAATACAACCTTGCAAGCTATAGTGCGTGAATCAAAGATCGTTCCTGAGAGTACTCTTGGTTGGGAACTACCTCTCAAGATCCTTTCTCCTTTAGTAATTCTATGTTTTGGCTACTAGCCCTAAAGGCCTAAACTACTGACAAGGAACATTTTGTTACTCTGCTAATTAGTTGTTTTTGGCTAAATGTTTTCAGCTATTGAAAAGATTCAAAGACCTCTGTATGAAAAGCACCCGATGGCTAAGTTTGCATGGACGTTAACTGAAGAAACTGATACGGTTTGTGCTATACATGTTTAAAATTTTGGCATATTATCCATATTTCTCTTTCAGTAATAGTAGTTATTGGGATGGTGTGACAATAGATGTGTCTTGTACACTTGTTCCTGCATGTTTGGACGTGTGGGTTTACAAGAGGAATTTTAGGTATGTGCGAGATGCCACTCTTTTTTCTGATTGGAGATTGTCTTTTTGCAGGTGGAGTGGTCTAATAGATGCTCAGAAGCTCTAGATAGTATTGAAGAACTATATAAAGGAAAGGATATAGATTATGTTATTCAGAACAAAGTTTTGCAGGTAATTCTTTGCATATTTTCTAAATTTATCTTGAAAAGAAATGATGTTTGGGCTCTAAAGTCATTGGCGATGTATTAATTTTCTTCTTCTTATTGTTTGTCTGAAGGTGTTGAATGGGAAAAGCAGAGATCTAAAGCTTGCATTACAGAAAGAGCTTAAATCTGGGGATCTCAGGAACCTCCATGCTGAATGTTTAACTGATACATGGATAGGAAAAGATAGGTTCATAACTAATCCCTTTTGGGTTACCACTGGCTTATTAGTGTAACACTTCAACTTTTTCTTGACCTGTGATTACATGATTTTCAGATGGGCATTTATTGATCTTAGTGCTGGTCCTTTTACTTGGGGTCCTGCTGTCGGAGGGCAAGGTGTTCGCACAGAGGAAAGTTTGCCAAATGTAACAAAAACAATGGGTGCAGTTGCAGGTTTGGCGAAGAGTGATAATTTACCAGTCATGAAATTTATAGTCTATGAAATGCCTTCATTTAGCTGTCTCAGCTAATTGTGTTTCAATCTATGTTCTTAGGGGAAATGAAGCTTTTCTGGTTAGGGTTGGCTCATTGTTTTCTAAATCCAATTATTCCTAAGTAAGCGAGAGCCTCTAGAGTCTAGGTATAGTTATCCTCACTTTAAAGACTTAGTTCGTCCTCTCTCCAATCATCCTACTTGATGTCTTCAGCCTTTTTCATTTGTTGCTCAGTAGCTATTGCTTTAGAGTCCATTTACTCTGAAAAAGAAGCTGGGATCACCCTTTCATTAGAGTCCCCAATGAAGCCATAACTACTTCAGCATCCCCACATCTGTTAGCTAGATAGAAGCTAGCAGAAAATAGAATGTGGAATTTCCATTTTATTAGGTTTGGATAAGTGTTAATAGAAGAGAGAAACTAATGCAATTATAATGACCCTTTATCGTTGTGTAAAAGCCTAGTACAAGGTTAAACTGAACGGAGGAATTATAATATAGATGTATAGAAAGTGGCTGTTCCTAGTTGCACTGCTTGTCCATGCACTCCAATTGATTTTCTTTCCCTGAAATTGATTTTTAAGTAGATAAATTGGAATCATACTTGTTCATATTATTTTTTTTGTTGAGTAGCTTTATTTTAAAAATGTTTTTTGAACTTTGTGCTTTCAGAAATTTCAGAGGAGGAAGCTGAAGATCGTCTTCAAGATGCAATTCAAGAAAGATTTGCTGTTTTTGGGGACGTAAGTATGTCTTGATTATGATTTATGAACATAGGGTGTGAAATGTGATGTTGCTCATTGTGTATATTTACAACTTTAATGAGCATTTTGTATTACCTCCATAATTGATTTTGTACAGAAACTTCAACTCAAGGCCTTATCAATTAAATATTTTCAAACTTTCTATACTGTGCAATGATTCTTTGTCTTACTGGTCCACCCAATAATAAAAAAAAGAAGAAAAGAAAAAAATGAAAAAGAAAAAAATGAAAAAGAAAAATCGCTGCTTATTTGTTGGAGTGTTAAGAAGACGTCGTAGTGTGCCCATAGACCAACATTACTATATGAGTCTGATGTTGGACTTTTGGAAGGAGTATGTTAAGAAGATGAACCTATTGTTGGACAAAGTCAATGGCGGATCTAGAAATTTATCATAGGGTGGCCATGGACCAACATTAATATATGGGTCTGACGTTGGACTTTGGAAGGAGTATGTTAAAAAGATGAACCTATTGTTGGACAAAGTCATTGGCGGATCTAGAAATCTATCATAGGGTGGGCCTAATTTGGCATTTTAATTTAATCTTTTAACTACTTCTATTGTCTTCTATTTAGTAATTTATGATGATTTTAATTAATAAGAAAGATAATAAAAGAAAAGTACTTAGGTACAATAATATAATTTAGAAGAAATTTTAATTGGAATGATTAATTTAAAATAAAGAGAATTAAATACATTCCTATGACTACATTAAACGAAGCTAAGGAGAAAAAAAGAGAGAAGGGAGGTAAATATAGGATTGCTTAAGTCAAGAAACTAAGCAGGGCAATTAAACGCTACAAAAAGAAAGGAAGCTAAAAATAAGTGGAGGATAGGGGGATGAAGGCAATTGAACCCCATAATTTGACAAAATAATGCTTTCTCCATTTTTTATAATTGACACTATTCACAAATTTTACGTTGATAGTTTTGTATTTACAGTTATGATAAAATATAGTCATGTGTGATCTTGTTAGAATTGTCTCTTTTTTATAATTTCATAATTTCAACTTTTTATTATTGATGATTAGATACTAATAGTTGAATTTGTGCGTTAGCATACGTGATAAACAGAAAAAGATCAAAGGAAGTATATGAATAGTGCACAACAAACAAACTCAGCTACCAATTTTTAATGCTACACAACAGAACAATTATTATTAAATAGACGATTTGATTTATGGGGTGGGCCAAAGCTGGGTAGGCCTTCCCTTTGTTCCACCCGTGGATGAAGTTAGCAGTATAGATATTTGAAAAAAAGTTGGGAGCTGTAGATATTGAGAATAGGATAATGGAGAGCCAATTACGTTGGCTTAAACATGTGAGATGCCAACCAAAGGATGCACCGATAAGGAAGGTGGTGAATTGGGATAATGGAGATTTCAAGAGCCAAGGGAGGCCAAAAATGGCTTGGATGGGAGTTAAGATGAATTGAAGGAAATGAGTATGCTTGATCATGTGGCTGTAAAAGCTGAAGAAGAAAGAGGATCTTTGTGGATGACAAAAGAGAGGAATTTTTTGTTCATGCAGCTCATCTCATTCTTTTAGGAGTAGGGTTATGATTTAAAATTTTCTTATCGTGAGCACAATAAGGCATTGTAATAGCTGCACAGTGGAGGGATCATATTCATTTTTTTTGGCTGTTTGAAGACAACTTGTCCTTTGTTTTTTTTTTTTTTTGTAGTTTTTGCTGTTTCGCTGCTCATTTGTAAAATAAATTCCTCATTAATGTTATAAAGTAAAGTACATTTGTAGTTCATTGCTTGGTACCAAAATGGATTGCTTTAGCTTTTTACTATTGGCTTTCTTAGTAACTAATTATTTTTGGAAATATTGCAGAGAGAACATGAGGCCATTGATATCCTTCTAGCAGAAATTGATATCTATGAGCTTTTTTCTTTTAAACATTGCAAGGGAAGGAGAGTTAAACTTGCTCTTTGTGAAGGTAACTGGCTTTGCTCTTAAAACTTCTAATCTAGATTTTTTTATGTTAAACAATCTGATTCTTGCTGGTTCTCTGCTTGGGTTTATAAAATTCTGGGTAAAGCAATATCTGCAATCCTGTGAAGAATGCACTGATGTATATAACTTTGGAACGCCTATTACAGAACTCGACGAGAGAATGCAGGAACTAACAAATGAGCTTCAGTCTATGGAAGGTGAAGAAAATGATGAAAATCGCAGGACAAAGGCGGTGGATGCGTTAAAGCGAATGGAGAGTTGGAATCTTTTCCGTGATAATGATGTGGTATTGTTATGAATTGCCTTTAGTATTAAATAACTTGCATCAAAGACATGTAGCATGTAACTATGCTTTCTTAGACTCGATTTTTATTTATAAGACGAAATTATGTACTCAAACAAGTTGTGCTTCTACTGCAGGAGTCCCATAATTACACTGTTGCGCGTGATACTTTTCTGGCACACTTAGGTTCAATTTTTTGGGGATCAATGAGGCACATTATAGCTCCTTCTGTGGCTGACGGACGTTTCCATTACTATGAGCAGATATCTTATCAGCTATATTTCATCACTCAAGATGTATAATATTCTCACCCTCTAGAAAGCCCTCACTTTTCCTCTCCCTCTATCTGTAGTCCCCTTCCCCACTCATCCCATCCTTGATTGTGCGCACTTATGCGTGTGTGTATGTGCATGTATGTGCATGTAGGGCTTTCTAAGTATGTGTAAGAGCTCTTGCTTAGTCTCTTAAATTTTCTGTTTTTGATAATACACTATCTATTTTAAAGTACAGTTCGCAAATGTTTTGTGCTAAAAGTTTATTAATTTTTTAAAATATACGAGTCTGGATATTGAAATATTATGTTTTATGTTTATGTTTATTAAATATATTATCATTATACTTGGGAAGAAATTGGTAGATAGTTGATGTCAAAGAATGGATGGCTTCAATTTTTAAAAGAGTTGTAATATATTTTAAATTTCTTTTAATCATCTCTAAATTTTACACTTCCCTTTTGCAACTTGATCTTTGTATTCAGATCTCATAGCTGATAGGCCAATCCTGAACCATAGAAAATAATGTCATCACTGTTGTTGCAGAAAGTCAGGAACGTTAAGCAGCTACCTGTGGATCTAAAGGCTATAATGGATGGGCTTTCTTCTTTGCTTTTGCCTTCTCAAAAGGTGATGTTCAGCCAGCATATGTAAGTATCTCTGCTGCTCTCTCCATAAGTTGTCAATGCTTTCTTTTTGGAATGTTCCAAAATACACTGGCTCACTTTTTATAGTTGTATAAATTACTCCCTCCGTCCCGCAATTTCTATTTTACTCTTGGAGTACTCCATGTTTATATAATTTATGTTATTTTGTCATTTTGATGTGAACTTCTTGTTATTTCAATTTATATATATATATATATATATATATATATATATATATATATATGTTATTTTTAAAAAGTACATTGTATTTTTTACTTGCATGTTTTTTTTTATACTCAACATCAATCATTTCACTATACTCCAGGTTTATAAAATTCATGTTATTTTGATCTGAACTTCTGATTATTTCAATTTATATATATGTTATTTTATACGTCCATGGTGTTTTTCATACATGTTGAAGTAAATAAGCAAATAACATATTATTTTATTCCCATCATCCCCAAAACTTCAACCCTTTTGGCCTAATTTTAGTCCCAAAATGATCAACCCATTTGCATTAAAATACCCACCAATTTACAACAATATTTGTGCAAAATTAGATTCCCCATATAAAATTTTGGTTTTTCATGTATTTTTAATACTTTATCGCTCTAGTTTTTTACAAACCCCTTGTAAATTTATCTTTCCAATATGTTTTTATTTCTTTTTATTTAAGTTTCTTAATAACTGCGAAATCAACCCAAAAGGGTCGAAGTTTTGGGGACGGAGGGAGTAGCAAAATAACACAAGATTTAAGCAAAAATAGCATATGGTTTAGGCAAAATAACTCAAGCATAATTGGTATGGAGTACCATGATCCAGGAGTATATAATACTAACTACTCCGTCCCACATAGCATGTGCTTTGTACTTTTTATATTTTAAAAAAATAAAAAGAAAAATAAAATCGTCATTGATGAAAAAGGAAAAGCATGTGATATTTATTTTTGTCCAATGTGAAAAGAGGAAAAAGCCAAAACAACTCATCACCTCTAAAAATTATGACATGGATTTTTGTGAAAAGAGAGGGGACATGCATGATATTGTCCAAAATCATATGACAAAAAAGAATAGATTCACAAATGAGCACAAATTTATTGGGCACCCGAAGAGGAATACGGGCACCAGTGCACAACTATGTGGGACGAGGGAGTAGCGCTTTTGGTGATTGGCTGGCCTGAAAGTCAAAAGAATAGCGGGAGACAAATGTTCCCTTTTATTTGTACTTTTCCTAAATATGACAGTTTTTTAAGGATGAAGGGGGGTGGGATTTTCTTAAATGTAACATGTAAATATGTTTCCTCAGCTCAATTGGCTTGTATTGAAGCAAAGCAGTGTGAACAAAATCAATCTACAACACTGACAAGATTGCTGATTTTCTTAAATGGATCTACGCCACCCTGTGACTGAATGGCTTAATCCCTTCAGCGTTTTCTTATTTCCTTATTGTTTGTGGTCATCTTTAGAAGATAATAGGGAGTTGAGCAGGAAAGCACAGCTCTAAGATAGGTTCAGTGATGTTTGATTCAGGCCAGGTGATAGATTGGTGTAATTGAAGGTTCTGAATAGTTTGCTAGCAAAAAGCTTCACCTTCATTGCTATTTGCTAATGGATTTAAGCCAGTCGTGTTTATTTACTGTAATGGAAGCAATAATCTACGTTGAGTATGATCTGGGTTGTTAATAGTTAATACTCTTGTTTATTTACTGTAATGGAAGCAATAATTTGCATTAGTATATGCGCTATTTGAATACAGTGGGTCTAATAGGAGTTGAAACTGGACAACATTATGAATGGAGGCTGACAATTTTGTGGAAGAAATAGTAGATATGAAATTTATTTATTTTTTTATTTATTTATTTTTTTATTTTTTTTTTTTTTTTTGACGGGAAATTTATTGTTAATAATGCATTTTCATTTAGTCTCCCCATGTGTAAATATGTAAATCAAATTTTCTTATAATTATTGCTCCTGTTGAGTCAATTAAACCTTTACTTTACTAAACTAGTATGATTGATCTCTTCTTCCAGCAGAACCAGTCAGTTGTGTCTGGTTTCCATAATTTGGTCACAGTCTCATGATAGTCATGCACGGTCTTGCAATCTGAGCCGGCACTTTACCATAGATTAATGTGTTTGTGGTGCCTGTAGGTTGGTGCTTTCAGATGATCCTGCTTTGGCTATGGCTTTCTCTGTGTCTCGGCGAGCAGCTGCCGTGCCAATGTTATTTGTGAATGGAACCTATAGAAAAACTGTCTCCAATTATCTCGATTCCTCTATTCTTCAACATCAGTTGCAGAGGATGAATGATCATAATACACTAAAAGGTGAACACCTGGCCTTCACTTGAGTTTGGCTGTAAATGTACAATGATCTGTCAAACATGTTGTTATCCTTGAGACACGATTTAACCATTTATCAGAACTAATATCCCTTCTTTGCTCAAAAATTTGAAACTAATATGTTTATGCATTGAAGCATCCCTTGCTTTCACTTATGCTCATTGGCTCACATCCATAAGTGGAGCATGGAGCTCCATGTTCATATTGGCTTCGTATGAAATTACTAGTATATACTTCATCTGATTTTATATACTTGCAACACACCACTTAAGCACGCACTTTAAGGAAGATATTAGACTAGGTAAGTGGACAATTTTATTGAAATAAATTAACCACCGATAAGATGAAGGTATTTACTTGTTCAGGTTTAAATTTTATATCTTAACTAGCATTTTGGCCCGTTCAATGCACGGGTTATAATATAGGTTATTTTTATATAAATGTATGCTTTTCAATAGTTGAAACTACGAAGCTATTGTTACATGACTTTTGAGGTAAATGCTTGTGAAAACTTTTTTTTTAAAAAAAAAAAAGTGAGTGGAATTGTGAAAGAATAATTAATTTAGTTTAGTATATATACATGAATATTGTAGAATATGAAATGACATATTAGTTTAAGCTATATTTTAAGTTTAAGAGACAAAAGACTATTTTTATTATAATTCATATGTTTATGTAATAGTTAATTCAACTTTATTCTATCATGGTAGAAATTAAACACTTCATTTTCTTACTTAAATGTGCAAGTTACGGAATGCACAAAGGCTTTAACATTATGTATTATTTTTAATTTAATTTTTTTAATATTGAAAAGGTAAGGGAAGTAACATTTGCATATGAGTGAGTTGTGAGGACATGTGGCATACGAATAAGTTGTGAGGACATGTGGCATATGAATTATTGTGGTTTGAGTTTTTAATTACTAAGTATAGATTTGTCCGTTTACCTTTTTATTTACTTCCTCAAATAGCGTGCTAAGAAGGTATGTTGCAAGTATGGAAATCCAGTGGAAGTATATGCTTTGATAAATAGCTGTCTGCTATATAGCATGCTTAATTTTCTATTTAAATATATTGAATAATCATCCTGTATTCTGTGGGCTGTTGCACACCAATTTGAAAATGCATGTATTGCTGATGCAGGAATGCATGCTAATAGCAGGTTGACACTAGAGGTTCCAATTTTCTGGTTTATCCATGGCGATTCATTGCTGGTTGACAAATATTATCAGGCAAAAGCGCTTTCTGATATGCTCATTGTTGTTCAGTCTGAGACCTCTTCCTGGGATAGCCATTTGCAGTGCAATGGGCATTCAATTCGTTGGGATTTAAGGTAAGGATCTCTGTGTGCTTTCCAAATTTTCTTCATTGTCCTTGAAATAATTTCTCTTCTAAGACAAGCTTGAGGGTTCTAGGAGTGTCTTTTTTAATATGAATACTTCTTGAGGATAGTGACATTCTTATTTGTGTTTAATTTCTTAGCTTGAGCAATAGTTATATTTATTGGCCTATGGTTGTACTAGGCAAGTAGGCTAGCATGGTGGGCTGAATTTTTCCTTGTGGAGGCGGATGTACCAAGCCGGATTTTTGATAAAAGGTGATTTTTGATAAAAGGTGGAATGAACATATAGCTATTTTGTAAAGAACATATAGCTGTTTTGTAAAGAACATATGACTGTTTTACAAAAAACATCCAGCTTTATGATCTTTTGTATATCTAAAGAACATTCATAATGTTAATAAAGAACATGATAATATTATGTAATGAACATTATTTATATTCATCCACCATAATCTAAAGACAAAATTTAAAGAACATTTCACAGTAAACAATGAATATTATGTCACAAATAAAAATACATTACACTGACAATCAAATAACACGGAGATAAAAGAAATTATTTAACAGTGTGTTCTTTATAAAATAGTGTCATGTTCATTGTTATTAATAGCTTTATGTTCTTTTTTTTATATCTCTTATGTTCTTTTATCACGGTCATTACATTTTAACAATATGTTCTTTTCACTTTAGATTTATGTTGTCTACAATTCTATACCATGTTCTTTTTACTTTAACTAAATGTTCTTTACATTTCGATACAATTTTCTCTTTTTTTTTTTGGTACATCTGCCTCCATGAATCACTGATTGTTGATGGGCCTTAGATGCAACCTGAATTGGGTTTTTTATTAAACATCCCTGGGACAGCAGGAATATATTGGGGATGGATAGGATTTTTTATCCGGTGCCCTGCTTTTTATTAAATAATAATTAAAATGAAAAATTTACGATTCGCTTGGCTTTAAGAAGGGAAGAACAAAGAGTTTGAGGAAGAAAGATATTAAGGCCCTGTTCTTTTGAGCTAATGTGGTCTGTTCTGCTATGCTGAAGTCTACTCTGCTCTACTCTACTCTGCTGAGCCCTGCTTAGAATTAATAGTCTGCTCACCTGCTTTACTTTGCTCTAAAGCTCAAAAGAACAGGGCCTAACTGTTTCAAGGGACTGTATAAGGATACATGGAAGATTGAGAAGGTTTCAACCTTACCAAGACCATGGAGTTGTATATGTTACCTTTTCTTGCCTCTTTGTACATAAATTTTTTACCCTTATGGTCCTTGTTGATGACAATTGTCCACTACTTGACACTTGGTAGTCGGTAATGAACTGGTACAATATCAAGCTACCACCCTTTGTGACTTTATTCCTTTTATATTCAGAGTTTATTACAATTTTGATACGCATCCATCCTTTCCTTTGTGCTCCTCTCATCTAACTCGTCACTCAAGATCATATTCCATCTTAGTAACATGAGATTTGAGCTAGAAGTAGATATCCACATGCATATCACATGTCAGACCTTTATTTTGTTGTGCTATTATGCCTATAGTTGGTCTTAACCTTTTTTGTGCTCCTCTTTGTTTCAGGAGGCCCGTTAAAGCTGCAATTGCTGCTGCTTCTGAACATTTAGCTGGTTTGCTACCTCATCATCTCGTCTATAGTCATGCCCATGAAACTGCTATTGAGGTATGCAGGGTGCTAGTTAAACCATGTTACTTGGCTGACATTTTCCTCATATCTGATGTTTCAGTTGAAGCATTTAAAGGTTGCTTGTAAATTAAGCTTATGAGTTTTGTTTAAGCCACACCTCATTATATAGGTCTGAATCATATAAGTGTTGCTTAAGCTGTTAAAAATCCAAATAGCTGTTTTGTTTTCAGGTTCCTATTGATTTCTGTTTTTAAGTTGTTATGTCCATCCTGCTCTCTCTTTTTCCTGAACCTATTACTTAACAACTAGTATCTCAACCTATTACTTATGGTAGCTGATAGAGATGTTCTTGGGCAGTAAAAAATAAATACTTGTCTGATTATTTATTTTGAATCAAGTTTTAGCTTTATGGAGTAAAATCAATCGCAATCATGATTATGACTTATGAGCTCTTGCTTTCTTGATGATACAATTTGGATCATATTTTTTGTATGAATGTTTGCTCTACACTTCTGCTAATTAAGTTGTATTTCATGTGCATAGGATTGGTTATGGTCCATGGGATGCAACCCTCTTTCGATCACTTCTCAAGGGTGGAGAATCTCTCAATTTCACTTGGATACCATAGCCAGGAGCTATATTATCACAAGTCTTGAAGAATCTATCCAGCTTGTGAACTCAGCTATTCACCGTCTGGCCTTTGAACAGACTAGTATCCTTGAATTTTCTGTTTACAAATCCTACCTCCCTGAAAGACTATGAATAATATTGCTCAGTTGTTCCATTTGTTCTGCATCTCTTTCTCTCTCCAGGTAGAAAATTTTGCTGACTAGGGCTTTTACTTGATGCGAAGGGTTTTCGAAATTGATATTTACAGGGATAGTGTCTATGAGACGACTTAATGACAATTGATGGGTATCAAAAATTGATGTTGCCATTTAAAAAAGAGACTTGATAATGCTACTCTTTTATTGACTTGCCTACTTTGATATTTGTACTTTGTGGTATAACACATGAGGCCTATATTTGTTCGTATGGAAAGTCTATCCTGGTGTGAACTTGACTACAAACAGCTCAAAAATCGTTCAAACTTTTTCAGTCCCAGGAGCGGGAGTTGGTGAATAAGTATAATTTTGCTGTTGGCTTGTGGAAAAGAGTGAGTAGCTGAACTTTTTTGTGTTCTCATCAACACTGGCCTTTGAATATCTAAGCTTGTGCTGATCAAATATTCTTTCAGATTGCTACTGTTACAGGAGAGTTGCGTTACACTGATGCATTAAAGCTTCTGAACACCTTGGACGACGCATCAAGAGGGTAAGGCATACGAGATATATAGATTGCTGACAGGGGGATAGCCCATTCTGTTTATAGATATCTAGGCTGCATACATTAAATATATATCCTGTCTTGACTATGTTTACTACTAGCAAACATTAAATATGGTTTTTGTATTCATAGTAAATATTTAATTTTGACAAAAAGACAGATAATATGACATACGTTTAATGTGTATACAATGGCCAAGTAATTCTTAATTTCATAAATATCATCCTTTACCCTAATTACCACTATCACCTTTAATTTCTGTTGTAAACATTTTCCTATTACTACCTGTGATGCATTCTAGATAATTAATAATTATGGCGGCTTGTGTTGAGAATGAAAGATGCTCTAGTCTTTGCTATTTTCTTGATAAAATTATGAACATGGCAACTAGATGATACCAAATTACTAAGGTCTGGAATTTTCATGCTTGCTTTAGTCTACTTGTCTCAGTCTTGTCTGTTTCTGGTTATGTGAAACTTTTACCAACACCTGTTTCTTGCCCTTTGTTTCTGAGCTGAAATTTGTTCCTGTTCGAGATGTTAATATTCTTATTGTGATACATTGATATCCATTTCTTCTTTGTAAGTTAAAGTAACTAAAGTTCGCTTTCATTCTTGTAGATTTGCGGAGAAAGTGAATACTACTGTGTCGTTGCTCCATCCAATACACTGCACAAGAGACCAGAAGGTTGAGGTTGTGTTTGACGTGACAACTATTCCTGCTTTCTTTGTTGTCTTCCTTATCCTTTGGTTTGTTCTAAAACCAAAGCGCTCAAAGCCGAAGATCAACTAATTTATGTAGCAGCATAGTTTGGGGGGAATTTATCTTTGGTAGTTATAGAAACCGTGTTGTTTATACAGAATTTTGTAGAGCAGCAATGAATGAAAATGTATGTAAAAAAAAAATTGTCTAGAACATTTTCTTTCTTAATTTATGAATGCAGCAGCTCCATTTTTTCCTTGAGGAACTTCCTGTTGTCAAGCACAATTGGAAAAAAAGGAAAAACAAAAAAAATTAGTGCAGTATACTAAATACTCAATTCTACAGTCTTACTATTGTGTTCTCTTTAGGTGAAATAAGGCGTCTTTACTTGAACCTATATGTTATGATCTAGTCTGGTAATGAATATTTACCATATGACACGTATATAATAACAAAAGAGATCTTGTTAGATTCATATTAATGTGTATTTTTCAAGTATCTAATTTTTACTTAATACAGAACTAATTCGATTGAAGATATTTGACGACTAAGCAATAACAAGTTCTGATATGATTTTTCCGTCAAAACAAACGGAACATACAAAGGATGGAGAGATGATTGAAAGACAGGCAATTGGTGAATGCAACAAGAAATTTTATACGTTCCAAGCTCTTAAATTTGAGGACCAAAAACCAGCTTTTCATGCGCTTTCATGCATATAAACCCCTTTTGTTTGTTACCAACTTCCTATCTTCTCTTTGTTGTTTGTTTTAAGCCTCAACGTCATTTATTTCAATTATTAAAATATTTCTATGAATTTCAAATGTCACTCAATTCTTGTTTAGCATGTTAAAATAATTTATGCTATATTACATTTTAGTTTTTCTAACCTCCCACACTCTCAAACTTTTATGTTTTTTTTCCTTATTCTTTTAGTTAATCTAGTATGTCAACCAAGATGGAGAATTTTTCCACAGATATTGTCAATACAGGAGTTGAGAATGAAGGTCCTTATGCAGGCTCCCTTAATTTTTCAGTTAGGGTTCGACGAGGTTTACCCAACTTTCTTAACTCGATGAATCTTAAATATGTGAAGCTTGGATACCAGTATTTGATTAGCCATGGTTTGTACATTGTAGCCGCGCCACTTCTAGCCTTAATCGTTGGTGCCCATCTAGGAAAGCTCATATGGGATGACTATGACCTTGATTACGATTTTTCTAGTGCCATTTTGTTATTAGGTCTCATATACTTGGTTGATTTTACCTATAATTTCCTTCTTCCTAGACCAACCTACTTGATTGATTTTGCTTGTTATTCACCACCAAAGGAGCTTAAGGTGAATAATATTGTTGTATTACTCACATTATATTGCAAATTCTTGTATATATGCTATTATAATCTTTGAAAAGAATATACTAATCATGAATAAAATTGTAACTATTATGACAGGTTTCAAAGAAGGAGTTCATCGACTTGGCTAGAAAATCAGGCAACTTTGATGAAAAAACATTAGTTTTTCAAGAAAAAGCCCTAAAATATTCTGGCATTGGAGATGAAACATGTATGCCTAAGGCAATATTTCAGCCTGGATTCAAGAGATCTCTCAAGCAATCTAGAGAAGAAGCAGCCATGGTTATTTTCGGAGCTATTGATGATCTCTTAGCAGCTACAAAAATCAACCCAAAAGACATTACTATACTCATTGTTAATTGTACTACACTTAACACTACACCATCACTTTCTGCTATGGTAATTAACCATTACAAGCTTAAGCACAATGTTCAAAGCTTTAATCTTGGCGGTATGGGTTGTGCTGCTGGAGCTGTTGCCATTGACATGGCTCAAGACCTCTTGAATGTTTATCCGGGTTCATACGCGCTTGTTGTTAGCACAGAGATCATTAGCCATTCATGGTATACAGGAAAGGAACTAGATATGGTGATCCCAAATTGCTTCCTTAGGATGGGAGGTGCTGCTATGCTGCTCTCAAATCGTCGCCTTGATCGTTGGAGGGCCAAGTATGAGTTAAAACAGGTACATATTTCTATATATGTATATCCATCATCATCTTATTCTAAATATCACGAAGGTTCAATGTATATGCTTTGAAACAACATGGTCTCATACATGTATATATTGTATAATTTACTTATTATATTGTTTTCAACCTTAATTTAAGTAAGGATATGAAAAATCCGTACTAAAATGTATGTTTTTCTATCTTTTTTTCAAAATCTGATCCCTGTTAAGAAAAAGGCATAGTCGAATTAACAATCATAAACCATTAGGTATGTAGATAATATTTTCAAACATTCTAAAATGAATGTACGTGCAGTGTGACCATAAATTTTCATACTATGAATAACTAACGTAACGTTCAAGTAACATATTTTCATAGAACATTCATGATTCATTATACCTAACAATTAATTATCTTATTGTCCAAGAACCAATCAATATGAATCAACATTAACAATTTGTTCCTTTTCTCTTTCATTTTTGTTCTTCTATCTTCTTATGCACATGGTAGGTTGTTCGCACTAATAAGGGCATGGACAATAGGAGCTTCAAGAGCATATACTTGAAAGAAGACGCCGAAGGGCAGCTAGGCATCTCAGTAAGCAAAGATGTGTTAGAAGTTGGTGGAAATGCAGTCAAGGCTAACATCACCACCCTAGGGCCATTAGTCCTACCATTCACCGAACAATTTCAATTTTTCACCACTTTGTTACGTAACAAAACCTCATCTAGGCCTTACATACCGAACTTCAAGCAAGCATTCAATCATTTTTGCATCATTGCAACAAGCAAGAAAGTGATCGATGAATTCGAGAAGAACTTAGAGCTCACAACGGAGTACATGGAACCATCAAGGAGAACATTAGAGAGATTTGGTAACACTTCTAGTAGTAGTGTTTGGTATGAGTTAGCTTATTTGGAAGCTAATAAAAAGATGAAAAGAGGTGATAGGGTTTGGCAAATAAGTTTTGGATCTGGTATTAAGTGCAATAGTCTTGTGTGGAGGGCTCTTAGGAACATTGAAAAGCCTAACAAAAGTCCATGGTTTGATCAAGAAGACTCCATTTAAAAAGTTTTATTGCAAAGATAAAATAAAATGGAGAATATATACAAATGGTGTGATGAAAATTTGCAATATTTTTAAGAATTCAATTATAAATTTTCATTTTTTTTCAAGTGTAATAAATTTGGAAATATAACATAATTATTGTATTATTAGTACCTAAAGTTATTCATTTTTATGCATATAATAGTAAATATGAAACATAAGAGTATAGCATGGAGTTTTATCTGATTTTCTTTGTTCTTTACCAGTTGGAGTTTTATCCATATACTAGAAAATATGAAACACGCGTCAACCAACTTTAAAAACAAATAATACTTACTCCATTCTATCAAGTGTCTGTATTCGTAATGCAGTGTAAATATTTGCCAAGCCCCTGCTTGAATGAATGTCTGAACTTGGAGAGGCTTTCTGCAGCTCTAGAAGGGTCGCATAGAACCAATATGTTTGTCACCAGCTGATATATATAAGAAGGTATGTGCAATGCTATTAGGAAAAAGATTTTATATGCCAATGTTATTAGTCCAAACGTGCAATAAAATAAAGTGCTAGATCACCAACTCAATCAATCATTCTATCAACATATGGGATAACATGATGTAAACAAGTGAACATAAAAACTCACAAATGCGGGTCGCAGGTCAAGAGCGGGTCGATAATGGGCGGGCGTACAAAATATCAATTAAAAAAAAATATTAGACAAAGCCATTATTAAGTATATATGAATATAAATTTATCTATGTAATTAATTATTTTTACATAATCTATTTTCTTTATCAATTAATTTGGAAAAACATTTTGGCCTATATTGACCCTGTCCAATAAGAGCTATGTCCATTAAGGGCCCTGTCCATTAAAAGCCCTTTAAGCTTGGCCCTGGCCCTATTATCATTGGGCTACCCTACCCAATAACCACCTCTACTCACAAGATTTACTAAAGGCGGGAAACAAAACCAGCAGGAAGTTTTATCAACAGAGCAAATTAAAAAGGAGAGTAATATTAATAAGCTATGAGTGACTACAAGATTAACATCAGAATATACTAGTTTGTTATTAGAGACCTCTGGAATAACACAAGCCTAATGAAGAAAATATGGTTGTTATTGAACTACCAAAACTCGAGAACAGATAAATGGCACATTCGTCACATTGAAAAACAAATCAATTTTTTTTGGGTCTTTGTTGAAGCTGAACTGTGCCCAAACCATAGTTAGAATCTAAAAGGCACGTTTTCAAGGTCCTGCAGATTTTCTATGTCAAGCACAGCATTTCATCAGGTCATCATCTATATGATTAAGTGATAAACCCAAATTCAAGGTGGTTGGTTCTTACATATAGTGTCCTTGGATGTTTCAACTGAATTGAGAGTAAAAGACATTATAACAGCCTTGGTCTTCCGATCATGATAGAAACAGTTGCAAAATAATCAATTATATAACACGGTAAATTAGAAACAATTGCAAAATAATCAAATTCCCTGTTTCTCATGGTTGAGAAACGAAATTTGTTTCTCATGGAGGCATTTTCGTGAATAAATCAACAACTTTTTCATTATTGTGGGCTCCAAAGTTGAATAAAGTTATTGGTTTATTTACAAAAATGCCATGTGAGAAACTGGGGCATCCTCATATAAAAGAAGCTTCATGCTTGATGCTATATGGAGGATAGTATTTTCTAAAGGAACGTTAAAGAGGAGTAAAGTTAGAGCACCTTTAGTTGGTAACAATGATCAAGCATGCAGTGAACATGGAAATACATAGTCTTCATATAAGCATCAGATGATCATACATTGATGGATTTCATAAAACTAAAAAATATCAAACTTCAAGCTGAGGAGGTACAGAATTAAAAGAGCAAATGAATAATTTCAGCAATAGAATTTAGACTTGAATACGAGACAGCCAAAAATCTAGACGGTAAACACATGCCTTGAGTTAAAGTTCGAATTAGGTAACATATTTCTTCAGATCACCATCAGGAGTACTCGAATATACATCTTAAATTGAAAATGAAAAAAAGGCAAGCTTTTCCAATATATTACCTTAAAATGGTAGATGTGTTAGGCTTCTTAGCACCATAGCATGAGCCAACAGTTGCATTTGAAGGTCAGGTACCCTACCTGATATTACAAATTTATCAGAACATTGCTCATATATTCTATAACTTTTCCAATAAATTAATAATATAATTATTTATAGCTCATCTTAGAAACATCTAAAAAGGTAAATTTGAAACTATCAAGTTACATAGAGAAGGTATGTACGGCGACTACAATGTTCTTCTACAATGACACAAATTTAAATCCGATCTGAAGTTAAACTGCAGCGCGTTGTGAAAGATATGTTGTATATATACAGCTAGTTGATTGATCAAGTTCTCCCTCCTGCCACTATTATTAAAGTATTTGCAATATTTAGGAAAAGAATAACAAAAGAAACATTGTCATAAATTCATAATGTTCCTACATTTTTCTAGAACTTTAAACTAATCATCTGTTTGAGAGTGCAAAAATAAAAGTAGGCAGAAAGGTAATACAATGTACTAATGTTCCTAAACAATATACTCAGTATCTCTTAACCAATACATTGTCCAAGCTTGAAGAGAATGCATGTATGATGAAATTTCAAGATCACCCAAGTTTAGAGACTAAGCCACTGCACAGAATATCTGAAATCTAGTAATCAGCCAAAGAAAATGTCTTCTTAGAAAAATTAAAATAAAAAAATTTCATATATATAAAACTATTGATCCATTGCAATACAATATTTTTATGACGTCTATGTTCTGTGCAAATTAAAATGCATAAACTAGGCTGAGTGAAGTTCATATACTAACCAGTTTATGATCTTTTGCTTGAGTGAAGTTCCATTTACTGTTAAAATTGTTGTATCAACAAGCTGCCAGAAGTGAGATATATGAAAGTGTAAGTTGATGTAAACGTAAAAAATGTATGCAAGACCATTATTTAAGCAAACTTACTTGAATGGGCAGAGCTAGGTTGAATCATACGGCCATTGGACAAAGGTAGCGAGTGTCTTTCATTCTCTGTTATTATACAGCCATTAGGATCACTTGCCAATTGTTGTTGTATCATATCACACTCTTTAATGTAAACTATAATGTGTGCAGGAAGGCCATTGTCACCAAAGGATTCCAATTTGGAGCAATATTTGATATCCATATAGCGCAGTTTGGGAAGAGTGGAACAACATATTGTTTTCAAATTTTGGAAACCCTCTATGGCTAATAAATGCAAAGAAGAGGGAAAGTCGGGATAGCTAAAGGACTCTAGTGTATCAACACAGCTGCCTACATTTGCAAGTGTAAGATCATATAGGGAAGTAAGAAGGTGCAATCCCCACTCTTTTATTGGTTTGTCTATCTTGGTTCCACTGATTGAAAGGTACATTAGGTTTGTGGGTAAATCTCCTTGAGGAAAGTTGTGTAGTTTTGGGCAATTATGAACTGATAAATGTGTTACTGAGGTCGAATTGCTAACCAATGATTCAAGCCTTGGGCAATCGCCAACATCAAGATAAGTGAGGTTGGGAAGGGTGCTGCAATTGGATATGGTTTTCAAATTTTGGAAACTCTTGATTTGTAATTCAAATAAGGAAGAGGGGAGAGAAAGATGTAAGCACGGAATACACTCTTGAGAATCTACGGAGGTGCCTACATTTTCAAGCCTAAGAAATTTAAGTGAATGAAGGAGGTGCAATTCCCACTTTGTTACCGCCTGCTTCAAGTTGGCTTCTTTAATTTCAAGGGGTAAACCACCTTCTACTAAGCTATGGAGTTTAGGACATTTTTCGATCCTTAAATCATCAAGGGAGGTGAAATTGAGCAATTCACCAGCAAGCCTTTCCATATTCTTCAATTCATTGATTTTCAGCCTTTTAAGAGAAGGCAAAAGAGGAGGTAGATTGCCTTGCAATGATGGACAATCATACATATAAAGGGTTTCAAGGATGGAAAATGCCTTGCAGTCAACTGGTAGGTGCACCCACTTCTCCCAGGATTTCATATGAGAAAATTCTAGAGTCTTCAGAGATGGGAAAGGAGGAGTTGAGCAATTCCCATAAAATTCAAGACCTACCTCCTTAATACCATCCATATATTCAACCAGCAGACTCTTCAACGAGCGTAGTTGCCCCAATGGAGGCAAGCATACACATTTCTGACAGTTTTTCAACTTCAATTGCACCATGTTAATGAAAGAGGGATCTCTCAACCAACTTGGAAATTTCAAGCCCATGTACCCATCCAATTCACACTCTTTGATGGAAGTATGAGGCCGTAACATCTCAACCACATCTCTCCTAGTCTTGTCATCAACCTCATCAGTACAAGTTTCCCATTTCAAATTCAACCCATCTAGATTCTCTTTTTTACACAATTGGGCTTCCTCTGCATCACCAACCTCTGTCACATTTTCTAGCCCGGAAATGGTAAATAATCTTCCATGGAGCTGATTCAACTTCCCCAACTCCCTTACCCTGGACCCACCTCCAGCTGCCAACACAAATGTCTTCAAAGTTTGCAAGTTTGTTAATTTCCCGATTCCAAGCGGCATCTCCTCTAAAGAGATATTACCAAAGTTCAAGTGACGAAGTTTCCCCAGCGATTCTATACATGGAACCTTCACTAATGTATAACAGCCTTCCAAGCACAGTGTTTGGAGATTCCAAAGATTGCTGATTGATTGTGGCAACACTTTTATTCGTTCGAATTTGAGTCTTAGGTAGTGCAAGTGTTTTAAATTACCAATATATTCTGGCAAAACTTCAATTTTGTCTGAAACTAGGTATAGGGAGCGTACGTATTGCATTCTTTGGATGAAGTCCAAATTGTCACTGCTTAAACAGTAGTTACATAGAAAAGTTCGCAACTGAGGAACCATGATTTGATTTCCCAAAGTTTGAACATGCTCCGTGATAAACAAATGGCGAGTTCTTCTGAGATTTCTCGGTGTATCCACCGCATCCATTACATAACAGACGTCACCTGCAGCCAATTTAGCCACATCATGGATAAGGTCATGCATGATGTAAAATCCTTGAAAAAATGTCTTTTTTTCAAATAATGACCTTGATACCAGATCATTGAAGTAATTTTGGCCTATATCCTCCATTCTTCTACCCTTATTGTTTGGTAGGAAGCCCTGAGCCATCCACAACTGGGTGATCTCCATTTCTTCGAACTCGTAATCTTTCGGAAGTACAGAACAATAAGCAAAGACTCGCTTCAAATAAGATGGAAGATAATGATAACTCACCCTCAGAACCGGTAAAACATTGCATTCCTCATATTCTTCACACCAAACATTGCTCTCTAATATCTCTCGACGTTTGCTCTTCTCTGTAGTACATTTAATGAGACCTCCTAGGGTTTTTGCAGCCAATGGCAGTCCTTTGCACTTTCGTACAATGTCATCCTTGATCTCAAAATCATCTACATTTGCATGTTGTTGAAATAGACGCCAACAATCATCACCTGACAAACCTTCTAAACGGATGATAGTGCTGTGATTTTTAGTCATCTTCTTCTCAGTCCTATCACTTCTTGACGTGACTATAACTCTGCTTCCCCTTGCTGCACCAAGAAAAGGTGTCCTAAGTTGATCCCAATCTTCATAACTCTCGCTCCAAACATCATCAAGAACAATTAAGAATTTTTGGCCTTTCAGCTTTTGCTGCAATTTTTCTTGTGCTTGATTCAGGTTGCTACAATCAAAATTTCCATGGGTGGCCGAGTTAATAACATCTTTTGTTACGCGTTTGACATCAAACACATCTGAAACGCACACCCATGCCTTGACAGCAAAGTGAGCCTTCACCTTCTCATCATTGTAGACACACTGAGCAAGAGTCGTCTTCCCAATGCCCCCCATACCAACAATAGGGATCACGACATAATTCTCATAACTTGGTTTATCTTCCAGCAATTGACAGATGATATCTTTTTTTCTACCATCCCTCCCGTAAACATGAGGTTCTTTTATCAAAGACGAGGTCTCTGGCATCTTTCTTTGCTGCTCCTCTACTGCATATGTTGGTAAACATATGTTGGATAGGAGACTCAAAGTCGGAGCTCGGGATTTAATCTTGTTCAAGGCGTTATTAATCTCATCAATCCTAGATGAAAATTCTGGAACTGAGTATCCAATTTGCCGGGTAGCAGTAGCACTACATCCACATGCCAAAATGCCAACCTGATTGATTAAAGTTTATAAGTTAATATGATACAAATGATGCGTTTAAATAATGCTATAATTCAATAGCTAATTTATTCAACAGAAAAGCAAATAAACTACTATTGAAATTAAACTTGTATGACAAAAATGATAAATAACCTTCCTCGGTGCATAAACAAATTATTTACTCTCTCCATGATTTTTCAATTTTTTCAATTTTTTTTTTTTTTTATTTTAGTAGGCAAACCAGAAATTATATTTCATCTGTTTTTTTAGTTACTGGTACATCATTCTCCTAAAACAAAAGTTAGTTGATCAATTTCTTTTTTAACTAATAAATTCTCTGTATCTCTTTCTTATCATATGAGCTTTTTTTTCATCTCTCTACTCCAAAAATTGCTAAAGAGTTCATGAAAACTAAAGTAAAGCCCTGTTTTGATGCGATTGTTTTCGGTCAATCAACTGAGCTATAATAAGTTCAGTTCAAGTTCAGCTCTAATAAGTTCAGTTCATTTCAGCTCCTAATTTTCTTCTCTTATAAAATATTCAGTTCAATTCAGTTTAGCTCTAAACATTTCGGTTTACTTCTAAAAAGTTCAGCTCAGTTCAATCAATGAGTATAGGTCCTAAGGCAACTAAAAAACAGAAAAAGTATATAAAAAGTTTACAAAAATTCACTTTATATCTCAACCTAGGGCGATTTACTTTAAACAACCCCATGATTTCCATCTATGTATTATTATCTAATAATCTTAACTTTGATATGAGTTTGCCTCCAATAGGCCAAATAACCGGTAAAAAAGGGAAAAATTTTTGTTTAATAAAGTTAAGTGTCAGCATCTCCCAAATTTAAAAATTAATTAATTAATTAAAATTAAAAAGAAAATTACCCAAAACCCATCCCAGCCACCCCCCTCCTCCATCCCCCACCGTAGCCCAACCGCTAACCCCACTCGAAACAGGCCGGCTAACCCCTCCGAACCTACTTTTTCCTGCACACCCCAATCATTTCTATAGTCAAATTGTATCGACTAAAGTGTAACACGTTATTTATGCATATCTAGCACTACTATATCAATCCTACTCGAATTGTATAGACTAAAGTGTAACACGTTATAAAAGATAGAGAATATGGTGGATGGAGCATAAACTACCTCCGTTTCATACTATTTGTAATACTTTAACCTACAATGTGAGCGAAAAATGTCTTATAGAGTTATAGTATATACTTCCTCTATTCTTTTTTACTTGACATGTTTCTTTTATCACGCTTGTCAATGCAAAACTTTAACGGTCAATAACTTTAATTCTTTATAATTAAAAATTATAAAAGTTATATATTACGATAGTACTTATTGAGACAGAATTCAAAATGATCCATGAACATGTTTTTCCTTACATATTATTCACAAAACACAGTCAAAAGAGAGGTGGTGAATAGTGTAAAAGTCAAAATGGATCAAGTAAAAAAAGAACAGAGGAAGTACTTTAGAAAATGGTCTAGAATAATAGAGAGAAATATTAGTACAAACCATATTATGGAAGGAAGTTGGAAGAAATCTACGAACATTCTTCTTGAAACGATGAACATGAAAATGATCATTACTATCTTGAGTCATTTTGAAGGCTTCAAAGGCAAAGTCATCCAAAAGATCCTCCAAATCAAAACCCAAATCTTGAAGATACTCCAACCATAATCTGATCGTTTTTTCCGTTTTGTTCATAACATTGCTTTTGTTCAGCATCGATCAATACTGCTTCAATCATCCCCAGTTCATTCTTCCATTCTTCGATTTTTATTTTATTTTTAGAATTCTTTCCTTTGTTAATCAGCTTTGTGAACTGATTTACTCCTTCCGACACCAGTTTATCTAACACTTCTTTGAACATTGCTGAAACTACTATCTCTACTACTGCCATATTAGCTTTTTTTTTTTTTTTTTTGAAAAAATGAAGTTAAAAACTGCAGAAAATTTGTAGATGAAAGTTGGAAATACAGAGAACGAGTGAATATGAATGAAATGAAAAGTGGAAAGAAGTGGAGAACTGAATTATTACTACTGCCCCATTTTGAAGTGAAATGTTAAATGTGGGTACTCACATCTTCACAAGGGTCGATTATTCATTTTTCGATACTCCTTCCCTGTTTTAATAAGTGCTACACTATTATTGTCACATACTTTTAAGCAATTTAATTAGTTTAAATAAAATAAGTGGTGAGTGGGGTATTAGGAGTATTAAAATGTTGTAAAAAAAAATACTAAAGTCAATAATTTATTGACGGGTATTGAATGTGAGAAGAAATAAATGATTAAAAATAAATAAATAAAAAATAATAGTTGGTTCCAGTGGAAACCATAAAAGGAGAAAGATTTAATATATACTTTGTAGCTTTTTGCCCAAGGGAAATGTAACACTTATTAAAACACGGTCATATTTGATAAATGTAACACTTATTAAAACACAAAAGGAAGTATTTAGTTCACACTCTTAAGACTTTTTAGATCTGTTTTGTATCTTGTGATACAATTATTAAACTATTTGAATAATATTTATCTTCGTATGTAGTAAGTTAACACATTTTGACTTTAACATTATTCACATACTCCCTTTTGATTGTGTTTTATATTTTGTACGAAATGAAAAACATATGTGGGATCTTATAGTTCGTCACGATATATACATTTTCAAAATATTGACATAATTTTACTTATCAGTAATTAAAGCTAAGATATCAATTGTTGAATTTGCGCATTGACAAACGTGACTACAAAAATGTGTCATCTAAAAAAACGGAGGAAATACATACTATTGTGGAAGCAAAACTAATTAAAGGGACGCTTGGCGATGTGTTATTCAATTTTTTTTTATTTTCCAATTATATTTTTTTACAAAAATATTATAATATAAAAATAAGGATTGTATCTAAAAATCATACAGATTTAAATTAACAAGAATTTATGGACAAAAATGTCAAAGTTCAACCAAAAAATTAGCAATGAGGCAAAATAATAATTGTACATCAGTGAACTAATTATTCATTTAGTCAAAATAATCATATGTATTATGAATACCTTCCCAAATCTCATTTTTTAAATATATTCAAATTTTCAATGGGTAAAAATAATGATATATCAACATGTTATAAAAGGAATTTTTTTTTTTCTCTTTTCAAAAGTTGTCAAGGATATATTATGTTCGTATAGTCTTCCCAAAATGAAACGACTTTTGAATTATTTCAAAATGTTGCCATGAATAACACATATATGCTATAAATAGAACATGACCTTTTGGTATCGTGTTTAATAGGATATATACTTGTGACATGTGTAATGAGGAAAATTTTCCTCATAAATATCTCATCAATGAGGAAAAAAAATTATGAACAGTAGCAAGTGGGCCCCACCACCACTTGCTACTCATTTATTTATTTTTGGCTTACTACACTTCTAAACGACGTGTTTTGGGCGTCGTTAATTACAACACCTCAAAACTCGTCGTTTTAAAGGTGCTATCAGCAAAAATTACTGTCACATAATTACAATTACTGTCAAATAATTAATTAAACTAATAATTACTTTCAAATAATTAAACTAATATCAGCAAAAACTCGTCATGTAAATTCTTAATTAAACTATAATTATTGTCAAATAATTAATCAAAAATTAAATAATTATAATTTATTTTTTTTTTATAACAAATTAATTATAATTAGATTTAGTTGTTTCATAATCGTTATTTTATAAAAAGTATAAATTGTAATGAAAACATAAATTAATAAAATATGGTGATTTGTAGGAGAGAGAAAATGTAAGTAGGGTATTGAAAGTGGATTGCTAAACACCGCCAACAAAAATGATCACCACCGCCAACATTTCGTGTGAATGGACAATCGTAGCCATACTACTTCACCATCCCTTCATCCTCCCGGCAACCCACAACCCCTTCCAACCGGCAATCACAACCCCTTCCAACCGAGACCCACCACACCCCCCCCTCTATTACAACGCACCACCTTCCCTATCCCGCGTGAAGGTGGTTTTTTTTATTTCAGGCAACCGTGGTAACCGGAGCCCAAAACCAGTTATCGTGCATGGTAACCGGAGCCCAAAACCGGTTACCGTGCGTGGTAACCGGAGCCCAAAACAAATTACCATGGATGGTAACCGGTTTTGGGCTCCGGTTACCACGCACGGTAACCGATTTTGGGCTCCGTTTACCGTGCACCTTAACCAATTCTATGGTAACCGGAGCCTGTTATCATGCACGGTAATCGATTTTGAGCTCCGGTTACCATACACGATAATTAATTTTGGGCTTTGGTTACCGCGATTGCCTGAATTTTTTTTATTTTTTTTTAAGGAGGGAAGTTGGTGGGTCGTCGGTGCGGTGGTGATCGTCGCCAGTCAGTGTGGTGGGGTGGTGGGGTGGTGGTGGTGTTAGTCATCAATTAGGGTGGTGGTGTCAAGGTGTTAGTGATTGATGGAAAATGAGGATTGATGACATGACATCATTAATCATTAATCTATCTTTGTTTTACTCAAAAACATCATTTAATGTTTTGTATTTCCCATTGAAATATTTCATTATTGTTATTTGTCTTATTCTTTCCTCTTTAATTCACGTAAAATCTTAAAAACAGGAATGTAATTTAGGGACGGAGAGAGTAAAAAAAGGAAAGAAGAAATGTAATTTTGGAATACCCAAAAAGGAAAGCAGGAATGTAAAAAAGGGAGGGAGTAGTTTATTTTTCACATTGAAAAACTTGAAATTTCTCATTCTCCCGATAGATAGTACTTCGGTACACCCAAACTCAAGGAAATGTAGAGAACAACCTATAGGAGCTATGCCCAGTTAATATGCAATATTAACAAAATATGTTAATATGGTGGCATTTTCGCAATTATGAGCACTTCTTGAAATATTTTAATGTTATTTTTGGATATTGCTGATGGGCCACTTAACTGACGTTTCTTAACGTTTTTGTAACTCTTGTTCTTGTTCTGGAGCTTCATACAACCCCGTTCCTTCTCATCCCTTCTCTCTCCTCTCTCCTCTTGCTGTACTCTTCTCCTCTTGCTCTACTCTTCAAATTCGACAAAGTCATAATCAAATTACATATGAGACCAAAATTCTAGTCTAACAACCAACAGATTACACCTAAAAAAATTCCAACTAAACAAACAACAAAATTACAAAACTGAACCTTAGATCTAACATGGCTTCCACCACCATCTCCGTCTTTGTCTTCGCATCTGCGTTCCTCAACACCGTCTTCATCTTCATCTAAAATGGCTTCCACCACCACCACCGTCTTCGAGGTCACAACGCCGCTTCGCGGCGACACAAAAAGACACCCTAGTAGCAGATAGTGTCAATTAGGGCCATATCAACCCTTTTGGGGAAGCATCTCCTTCGCAACAACAATTTTAACCACCACCTGTGGTGGTTGGTGAGGTGTGCAGTTTGTTAGTGTAGAGGAATTACCAATGGGGACATACACATAGCCTGGCAAGAATGGAGTATATTGACGTTTGTAGACGAACGTTTAAAGACACCGATTAAATGACGATTCTACCCTTACTAAAGTGTGTGAATTGACCACCGCACCCCATATAAACATAAGATGTTAATATGCAATATTAACAGGTATTTTCTCCAACCCATAGGCCTAAGTGCCTAACTGTATTTCTTATAAATCAAAAACTCAACCACTCATTATCAACTAAACCCACGTGTAACATTCATAAGCAAATCCAGTAATTATACTCCAATTTATAATTTTTTTATTTTATTTATATATAAACCCTTTTGATTTTCTGGGTGTTTTGTAGGAGCTAAGTTTACTGTAGAATTATTCTAACAAGTGTTCAACAATGTCAGTAAATTGTTGTTTTCTCCCCAATACCTCTAATCCAAGAACACCCATTTCTTTTCTCAGACAAAACAGGAAAAAACCTAATCTGGGTCATTTTCATTTCCCTCTAAATTCCTCTTATTCTCCTCCTAAATTCACTTGTCATCTTAGCATTGGTTTTGATGATATTCTTACAATCACCCAAAATAAGGTAATGGGTATTCTTCATTTTCAATAAATTTATTTTTTGGGGATTTTTCTTGTTCATTTTGGAAGTTTATTTATGTTTTCTGATTTTTTTTTTTTTTTTTGGATAGGTTTTGATTGCAGCAGGTGTATCCGCAGCAATTGGGCAATTAGCAAAGCCATTTACATCAGTTTTGCTGTATGGCAAAAATTTTGATATAAAAGCTGTTATTCAAGCTGGTGGATTTCCTTCTACTCATTCTTCTGTGAGCACACACTTTCAGTTACTTGTGTTTATGATGTTGTTTGACTTTGATTTGATAATTGGTTTGTATGATATGCTTGTTCTGATTTTCTGAACAAAACCCTTCAAATTAAGTTTACATCCGAATTCGGAGAATTTGGTTGGTTAAATGGAGTTCAATTAGTGGTATTCATTTGTTTTCTTGGTCATATGTGTGATGGTACTTATTTTACTCTCTTATTCTCATCCATGAGTATTCCTTTCAGCTAGATAAGATGGTTAGTGTTGTAATCATTTACACCCGTCCTCAATTTGATGTGTCGTATTGCCTTAATTTCAAGTTATTTGACCATTTAACTAACATTATGTCATGTTAATGTAAATTTGTAATCACTTGATATATTAATGTATTATTAGCTTGAGCAGTTTAAATATGAACACAATATAACTTATTAGTCCTGAATCCAATGCAATAGCCAACTCTATGTATATTTATAACCTTATACTTCACTATTAGTTTGAACTAGAGGGGGTATATTCTTTTTGGAGTAGGAAGTGATAGCAATATGAAGAAACATAATGAGAGAGATTTTCTAGTGTTGTAAGATGAGCATAAGATCTGACTATGTCAAGATTTGTTGCAAGAAAAACCCTATCTTGTTCCCTGTTCGCTATATAAGTTGCTTTTTAACTCCCAAAAATTTCATAGTATTACAAGATAGGATCATATCATCAAATGCTATTTTATCATAATATATACACAACTTATACAGTGAGTCCAGCAAGAGAGAGTAGTTAAGAGCTTGAGTGGAATGTATTGTTCAAGTCTATATGGATGGTTATAAAGAAAACCCTGTCCCCTGTTGTGTTCACCGTTTAAGTTTTGCATTATCCTCTTCATAATAATGCAAGGAGCACAATAGAAGATCCTCAGTGTTTTAAGTTGTGGGTAATGAACCAAATGATACATGGCCATAGATGTACCTTCTTGTCTTGTGTCATATTGGGAAATTCCAGTGAATATATTAAAACGTACCTTTCCCAAATTTGAAAGTTTGCACATACTTGGGTGGTTCATAGATAAAAGATCTTAAAATAAATGCTTTTAAAAAGGCGTTACGTTCCAAGATATATCAGTGCTTGAGTGCACATACAAAGTGTTATTGTGCTCTTCTTATTCTAGCATAACACCCCGCTCCTTGATTCCCCAATAATAAGCCTCTTTCATATATATATATATATATATATATATATATATATATATATATATATATATCTTCTATTCTTCTTATCTATAAAACTAAATAGTTTATTCTATGTCCAAAAAAAAAAAGAGAATTAATATAACTAAATAGTAAAATACTTATATGTAGCATACTAGGTTTGTCAAGATGGTAATTTTGGTGTTTGACATAAATTTGTGCGACTGCTTTCACGTCCATCATATGAAGGGTATTTTTGTAAGCTGTATAGGAAAATAGGACTGCTGTTATTGAAATATTTCATTTCAGCATGCTTAATGTGAAGCAAGTGAAAGTGCCTTTTGTATGGTCCTTGTGTGATGTGGTAGTTTCTTTTCTGATATGAGATTTGAGAAAACTTGGTTTATGTGTCAATATATTTTGGCATACCGATGTTTGAAGTAGTGTCCCTTGTGTTTAGTTATTATAGCATGTCATTATATGGAATACTACCTATAATTGTAGTTTGGGAGATTGGGTTTTTGTATGCTGATATTTTTGCATTTCTTAGGTCTTCTGTTTTTCCAATTGACAGGCAGTTGTGGCTGCAGCGACTTCTCTGGCACTTGATAGGTTGACTCTTGTAAAATCTTTTGTTTAGCAAAGCTATTATTTTTACTCTTTATGTTTCTCTTCATTTTATTGCACTCGTGATATGTCCTTTATTTGTTATTTTGACATGTTTTATATTTAAATGCAGGGGCTTCTCGGATTCAATATTTGGAATGAGTGTTGTTTACGCAGGACTTGTTATGTATGATGCACAGGTATAAGACAATGTATTCATTTACATTTGGTGACATCTATTTTTCTGCTGTTCCTTGCACCCACCTCCTTTTGCCAATAGCCCTGTATAATTTTTATGAAGTCAACCTAGGCACCTAGCCTGTACTTTGGGAAAGAGCTATGTGGATCACTGCAGCCAACACAAGAGAACGATACACATTGTTTTACTGTACTGTTTTTCCGGGTGATAAATTTGTTCTAAACAACTTAAATCGGTGGCCCCTGATTTTTAAAAACATTTTCTTGTCAGGGAGTAAGGAGAGAAGTTGGAATTCATGCTAGAACACTAAACAGGCTGCTGATGGAGGACCAGATAAAGTCTGTAATGAAAGACAATGAAGAAATCAGAAATTCTGTACCAGAAAAGTCATCTGCGACAAACATAAAAAGCTCACGTTTCCTTGAAGAACCGAATACTTTTAGTAAAGAACCGACAACTGCAACTCAATTACTCGGATCTAGGCTACTGAACAGTACAGCTGAGAGGGGGAAAAAATTAGAGAAAACTAATTCTAATATAGCTCTAAAAGAATCAATTGGTCACACTGAGGTTGAAGTTATAGCAGGAGCACTATGGGGTTTCCTCGTAACCTTGACTGTTTATGCCATTATGTGATCATGGCTTGTTCAATATCTTCTATATTTATAGCATACAAAATTCTTATTGTGACAGTCTAATACCAATGTCACTTGATCATGTTTTTCATAGATGTCGATAGTTAAATGTGTTGAACTTGATTAGCCAAGGAGAAACATGGTTCTTAGCAGAGCTGGTGAGCTCTGGCCATTTTTGTTAGGATATGAATCTGGGCATGAATTATGCTGCTCTTGGTTCTACCAAGTTTTGCGCGGCCATGTTTCTGAGAAAACATGAAAATTTCACCAAAATTGTGTGTTTCAAGAGATACAATACAGAATTACGGAGCATTTTCTTCCAAAGTTTGTAAAGATGTTCCAAGAGTATAGTAAAGCAATTAAAATCTTTTCCTCATTTCCTTCTGTAGATGCTTGGTTATTCTACCCCCATTATTTTCCTCTCTCGTGTTTTCTTGAACCAAAAATGATTCGACACTCCAATCATAATTGACACCCCCCATCAAACAAATACTGACCCAAATAAGCGAATATCTCATCACCATATATGATCTGGGCAGAAATAATCCAAAAACCCAAAACTATTACAAGAAACAATCTTAAATTAGTACAAGTGAGAAGCTGCAATAAGTCTTACAGACGAAACTGATCAGGCTTCCCTTCACAATCTAGGCTTGATTAAAGGTTTTTGGGTGACTTTAAAGTTTTAGAGTGACATTGAAACTTATAGAAATATATATCATCAAAGGATGGTTAAGTCTGTCATTGACACACCATCTCAAGAAAACATGTCCATGAACCCGGTGTACAAGAAGATACAATCTTGAAACCATCTTTCGGAAAAAAAAAAATAAAAAAAAAAAAAAAATAAACAAGTGGAGATCAAAGTCTGACCTCATGAACACATCCAAATCTTTTTCGTGAAACCAAGAGTAAGTTTGTCAGTTGTATCAATCTACAATTACATTATAATACGATACTATCATCATAACCAAACCTCAGATAAAATGTGAGTTCCCTAGAACCTATTAACATGTGTGTAGGCGTTAGAACACTAATCTATCAATACGTATTGAAAAAATGTTCACAAGAATCACTTTATCCAGATAGATTGGATCAAGAAAAGATATCAGTTTATGAACTGTGAACTTCGTAGCAGCTACTCTATTTCTTCAGACATCAACGATCATTAACAAGCTTCCTCTCTTATACCTTTTGTTTTTGAGCGGGTCCAAATAACTCTCTTAGCCATTTATCTCTATCTAACATAAGCTTCCGGAGGTGGTTGCTCTGGAATCTGTAGAGGGAACTTAAATGGGTTATACACTTATACATGACAAATAGGATCCTATGCACAAGAATCTGAAACCAAATGAATAACATTTCGTACTCAAAACAGGTATGTGAACCAACTTTCATATTGCAAGATTTCAAGGATTATGATAATTTGCCCATTACTTGAATTATGATAATTGCTAGCAAAATTGGCCTCAACACTCTGAAGTATGGCTTGAGTCTGTACTTTGCTTAGTTGCCAAAACACCACAAACTAATGACTTGGGTGCAAAGCGCAACTTTAGTGAGTTTTCTGGCCACCATTCTCAATGGAGCCGGTGAATTAAATTTTTATTTTTCAATTTGCGTACCGAAAAATATCCCGTAAACTTCGGGGGTCATTTTGACCCTTTAAGGACCTAAATTGAGCTCGAAACAAGGAAAAACATAGCGCACATGATTCATTTAGTGTGTTATATCACATCTCGATTTGTGTGTCATTGTTTTTTTAAGCCATATTGAGTCATTTACGCTATTTTTTTTTTTGCTTGTTTCGAACTCAATTTGGACTCTTAAGGTTCAAAATGACCCCTGAAATCTTTATGGGACATTTTTCGGTACGCAAATCGAAAAAAATCACCGGCTCCAATGAAAATGGTGGCCGGAAAACTCACTAAAGATGCGCTTTGCACCCAAGTCATTAGTTTGTGGTATTTTGACAACTAAGCAAAGTACAGGGGTGCACCCAAGCCATAGTTCAAAGTGTTGAGGCCAATTTTGCCACAATAGTCACTCCACAGCAATTACTACTTAGCTACGAAGTATTACATTGGGTCCAAACCAAATAACTCATAAAATAATTGAGTATTACTCAGCTCCACCGTCTCTTATTTTTAGTAAAGACATCAAGAAATCCAATCATACACTATTATTAGAATTTGGAAATAGCCCTGTTCTCTAAACCTGATTTTTGCTGAACTTAAAATATTTTAAGGGTAAATTCAACTTTCTCTCATAGTAAATCTGGAATTGTTAATCTCTGAGATTACTGGGGCTCCCTCTTATTTTTATTGAGCTTAAATTATTTTTGCTAAACTTAAATTAAATTCACTGATATTACAATATAATTGATGAGCTTAAATTATTTGTATAGATTAAAACTTATATTTTACTATAATTGCGGTCAAAAGCTCACTGGACATATATTTGTTGAACTTAATTTATTTTGGTTGAGCTCAACATTTTTTACTCGGCTGAAAATATTTTCCTCCACTAAATTTTTTTTTTCCAATGTAATTTGAATAAGGTGAAGACAACAGGCCTAATTATTTCAATACATCCCGATGACTACTAATTCAAGTGAGGGGGGGTTACTCTTCCTATGATCATATGAGCACTTCTCATATTTCACTGTATCCCAGAATATCAGGACGCTGCTCACAAAAAGTCATTACACACTACATTGAGAACTTTCTTGAGCAGTGTTAACAAATTTACAACTTTGCACTTCACCATAAGGATATTTTTGGCAGCTTATAAAAGCTATTATACTATAATATAGATATGTAAGTTCAACGAGCTGAAGAAATGATAATAAAAGGTTTACCTCTCCAAGCTTCCACTCCTGCTTCAACCAAATGCTTGCATCTACAGCTGAGATCTCTAGAGGATTGTTGTCTCTGAAAACAAGAAAATCAGAACCAAAGTAGTGTCAATATGGTCACAGGTATATAATAAAATTTAAGGTTTAAACATGAAGGAGGGTGCAGATACAAGATCATGTTCTGCCAAGAATAGGTCACAGTTAAAGTACATAACATAAAGTTATCAATCAGATCAAATACATCAGTTTACACATTAGTTTTGTGATATGTAAAGATGCCAATGATCGATATGTTATGCTAAACTTACATCGTTTGTTGAACTCCATTAGCACCAACAAATCCATTGAAAGTTGTAGTAGAATTGTTGACTGCAGGAGTCTGAATATCAAGTGATACTGATGAAGTTGAAGGTAGTTGGCTGCCTTGACTATTTATACCACTATTGCCAAAGCCTCCTGCGTTGGAAGTAATTGGAGCTCCACCTGTTTGCACTGGCACTTGAGGCCCTTGATTATTCATTCCAATATTACCGAAGCCTACCGCAGGAGGAGTAAAGGTATTCCCCCCTGCTTCTTGACCTCTCATGGCACTGTTGCCAAAGAAGCCACTTGTGTTGGCAGCAAAACTTCCTCCTGGCTGAGCAGGAACTTGAGTGCCAAAAATACCTAGTGAAATAGAGGTTATTAAACAATTTATCTCCATGTTGCAAGATGAGGAGATATATTCAGTACCTTGACTACTCATGCCACTATTGCCGAAGCCACTTTTGTTGGCAGCAGGCAGAATTCCACCTGGTTGTGCAGAAACTTGAGTGCCAAAGGGACCTACAGATTGTAAAAGCTAGTTAAACAATATCTCCGAGTGGCGAGATGAGGAGATGAATGGAGACCCTACTGATGAATGGATACCATGTATGGCACATAGACTCAGCTAAAGTATCCAACATATATGTATAAGCCTTGGACAAGGACATTTATCGGATAATGGTGCATTTTTTTTACTTAAAGTGTCCAAGTATCCATTCTCAGCATCTCACGTAGGAATCTCTAGTACTTAAATAGAAAAGAGAAGAATACAGGATAGCAAATGCTAGATGCACTGGGACGTGAAAGGTGCACTTGCTAACCTGAAGGAGCACTATTTCCTCCAAATGGGCCAGGGCCTTGGGATTGCCCAAAAGCACTGTTTGATGGAGTAGAAGGCCTGCAACAAGTGATTGCTCAACCATATCAGGTAAACTGAATCATAGTAGAATCATAAAAGTAAAGCAGAAAATTTATTCAGAGCTCCAACATTTACAGATTACATGGTAGTATAGTACTGATATGAAGCATTATCTTTGACATTAGCATGTTTTTTGGAGCCCCTCTTAGGTTACTGTTTGCGTTCACTGTCCAGGCACAATAAATGCACAATTTTATGCTTGACACAACTACCTAGAGCTAAATGCTCAACATAGTGATACTTGCCTTACACCAAATGAAAGGTTAGGAGATGGACTATGTTGATTTGAAGGTGCAAATGAAGAAAAACCACTATTTTGAAGTGTCGGTGATGGTGAGCTGGCGTTAGCTGCTGGAAATAAGCTTTGGTTCGGCTGAGCAGGAAGTGTATTCTTTGTATATGGATTTTTAAGCAAGTTTTCAAATTCGATCTTCTTAGAATTCACTAAACCCCTTTCTCTTTCAACCTGTGCAAGGAAGAGTTTAGTCATAGTAAAAAAAAAATCAACAAACTCAAAGTAAGTATGTCACCCAGAACCCCAGTGTCAATAATCCAGAAAGGAAATAATAAAGCTACTAGTTCTAAACAAAAACAACAGTCCCTAGCTAACAATATGGCTTCAGCACAAACTAACTCAACAAAATTGGTCATGAAACAAAGATTTTCCATGCAGGTAAATTACAGAAGACTTACAAAATATGAAACCAAAAAGAACTGATGAGATTACCAAACACAAATATTTTAGCAGGAAAGAGGAAACAAATTTAATACAAAAGGCTACAATCTTTTTCCCTGTTAAAAAAGTATATTTTCTGTCAATTCACATGTGTAGAACAAACCGCAGTTATCCTACTTGAAAAAACTAATGCATTCCCATGATTCCATGAATCCCTTTAGTATTAATAGCTACAGACTCCACAGTTTCATTACAGACAATACGGTTCATCAAAATACAAAACTTTATCCAGACTTCAGAAAAACTACTGTGTACAGCTATTTCACAGGTAAATACTTTGTTTTCCATTGAGCACCAATAAGCATAAACATAGAAAAATTCACATTGAATGGGAATAATGTATCTTGCAAGCCAACTAGGAAGAAAATAATGTATGTGTAAGATAAATGATGATCATCAAAGAGACAAAGACCCCTAAAGATCAATAAATTTCGACAGACTGCAAATTAATGCCTCATTTAGCAGTGAAGGCAAAAGGCTTACAATTGACTGCAAACTGGTGCCACGTTTAGCATCATCATATGCCACTGCCCGCAACTCTTCATAACTAATATCACCGGTAATATCACATGGAAAGCTGCAAAAAAAAGATAGTTAAAAAATAAACCTATCCTTGGAATATTAGTAATAAAATATAGATTAAAAATAATCCTATCCTTGGAATATTAGTAATAAAATATAGAACCTGAGGAGCCATATATTTTTGAATTTTTAACACAGCTCGAAAAGGCACTAATGGATAACATTTTCACCTTTAGATATTACTCCCAACATATTAAATACACCTTAGGAGTGGGTAAACAAGATAAAATGACATGTTTTTTCAATAGTTCGCTCTCACATACATCTTGCTATGCATACTATTAAATATTAATGCAATTGCAATTATATATTCTAAAAAAACATTAACTAAAAATAAAAGAAAAAAAAACAAACAAACTAAAAAATTATCAGTCTTTTCAAGATAGAGAGTGATAGGCACACACACGCATGTGCGCGGACACACGCCTGAAATTTAGTATCATGCATTTTATTTTAAAAGAGAAGAGTAACCAAGGATCAATTAAGTCAGTGTGCTTAGCCTGGAAAGGGTTGTTGTGCTTAACATGACAAACACTAGACCTTTCTTAAGAAGGAGAAAACTTAACAGCATCAAAACACTAAATCCAACTTGATCTCACAAGTGTAATCAGGCAAGAAAACTACTCGGTAAGATCAACTCTTTTGAAGTCTTTGTATTGTATACACGGCATCCTCTTCTTCGTTGAAACCCTCTCGAGAAGTGGGGTTCAACTGAAAATCTAAATTAGTTTATCAATTTTAGTATTGATTGAGATGCTCAGAAAACCCGCTCTGATATCAAATTTTGTCAACTTGGAGATTTATGTCAATAAAGGTAGTACAAGGAACCATCCAATCAGAGATTCATGAAACAGCCAAACTTTTTGATAATGACTTATCAATTCATTAGAAAACTCATAGTAAACACTTTACCAGGAGACTCAACTACTGAAACTTGTTATCAGAGTAATGAAAAATGCTTCCTTCTCAATAAACAAAGATATAAACAAACACAGGTTAAGACAAACAGATGTGGTAAACAACACCTATTATCTATAGTCACCAAAAAAAGACTTACTATTTAAAATGTCCATAACATGTTAGCTTCCAAAGTGGACTCTCATTCTGAAAATCTTCAGCAATTTGACGCTTGCAAGAATCCGGATCTGTACACCTACAGATACAAAATTACCACATCATAAGTAAAGGACAACTTGAAAGAAGAAACTAGAAAATTGTTCCTCTCATTCTCCAGACATGAAGAAAAATTACATTAAACTTACTTGTGACTAGCAGCCTGAGACTGATTCTGGGGCTGTTCTGAGCGAACCCATTTATTCTCAAAAGGCTGTGGATTCACAAATTGAAATCAGTAAATAGCAAATGAATCTTATTATCAGTGGTCATATAAGATTTTTTAAATAAACAAAACTAAAAAAAAAAAGTTCAGATTGACTGCAAGTAGCTGATCATTGTGGACAATGGAGAAGCTCCTCACTAAGAAAACATAGAGATTTCAGGTAAGTGGGGACAAGAACCTTATTTGAATTTGGTTGCCCAAATCCTCCTGAAGAACCACTATTTTGGACACCAAAACCAAAGGGATTGGGCTTCTGCTGCTGGAAAGGTGTGGCAGTCTGCGAACCAAACCCAAAAGCATTGGATTTTGGCTGTTGCTGAGTGGCGTGGGAGAATTTACATTTATCACCAAAACGACAGCTGAATGAAATATGAGAATTGTGATGATCAGAACACCAAAATAAGCCAGCTTTTTTTTTTCCAAGAAAACACAAATATTACAAATTTCTTTTGATTTGTTAAGGTTGCATGTCAGAGGTTGCATACAGCTCCTTTTTTTACAATATTAACTCCCACTTTCACCATTTCACGAATATTATTGTACACTGATTCCCATATTCAAGTTAAATTCTAATTAGAATTATTGCAAAATTATATCAGGTGAGTTCCACTTTTTACAAACCCATGATACTAAAGGACCCAATACATACACTTACTTGGTTACTCTAAAACTCTAAAAGTGAACTGGTGAAGATACTAAAGTCAAATATACACTTATGAATTACAAAGCTTAAATTGCCATTTAAAGACACTTTATAAGCTCTTCCAATGCAAATTTAATGGTGCAAAAATAAGCAAAATTAAAAAATCACTTTTTCCTTCTCAACAAAATAAAGACTTAAAGTCAAATAAGAATAATGGAAACCAAGGGAATTCGTAATTGAATGGACTTTCTTTACTATCATTTGCTTTCCTTCCTACTAATACTAATACAATTACCAAATCAATGAATCATAAACATTAATTTATTACTTCTTTCATGTTTTATTTTCCATTCTACTCCGTATCTGTATTAAGTTACATTCGGAACAATCGAAAACCTAATCCAGTCTCAAGAAATGCAAATTTATACAACAAAACTCATTGTCTTAGCTCAAATAGCACTTCTTCCCAAAAGAACCTTCGCCACCAATCTGGGTATTCTCCAAATTCTTCCTTGTACCAATGAATTCTCTACCAAATTAACAACAAATTAACTATTCTGGGTATTTTCCAAATTCTTCCTTATACCAATGATGTATTCATCATTCTTCCACTCAAGTATTCAAGTATGTAGAAATTCAATTCTCTTCCAAAACAATGTCAAATTGAAGAGCAAAAACTCCCAAATCCCAACCCATCAAAACCCACAAACAAAAAATTGGAAAAACACAAAATTACAGAACAATAGTGAAATTAAAGGTCACCCATAATAATTTGTATAAAAAAAATTACAGAGAAAATTGCAGGAAAATAAAGAAGGTAGAAAAGGTAGCTTACCTCCCACGCAGAAAATTTCTGCAAGGTTCTTTCTTAATGGGCATATTTGATCTGGGGAACACTTCTTTTACTGCAACACTGAACAGAAAGACTGAAATGTTCAACGTTGGAACTTTATTGTTTGTGTTATATACACCAAATTTGATTGAGGTTTTGCTAAGAGCTTTGCAAATTAGCGTTTTATTCAATCTAATAAATAAATATATTTCACCAAAAGAAAAAAAAAAAAGGGAGAATCCAGGTTAATCTCTGACATTGACATTGAGAAAAAATTAAAAAAGAAAATGAAATTGTTGGTGTATGGATTTTTTTAAAACCCTAATAAATAGGGAGTAATAATTATGTACTAAAGACCCTTCATGATCGTTAATCCTTAATTAAATTTAAATTAGTTTTTTTTTTATTTTTTTGAGGAAAAATTAATTTTAAATTAGTTGTTGATCGGTTGGGCCAGGAGAAAAAAACGCAAGTGAAAGTTATGAAATAATCGAAAAATGAGATTATTAAAAGAAAATTATTCAAAGATGAGATTTTTAAAACCAACATTTCTAATAAAATATCATACATCATGATTAATACTCGTATTGTAATATTAGGACGTTTTGTGTGTGTGGTTGGTCACACTATTTGTCCGCTTGTAAAATAACAAAGTAACCCCTATAACACTGGCTAAGTAACTTCTATATCACCGATGAAGTAACCTTGTAACATTAACCGGGTAACCCCTATCAACACTAACGAAGTAACTTTTATAACACTAACAAAGTAACTCGATGGTGGCTTTGTGGATAGCCACATAAAAGAATTTGTGTGTAAATAAAAAAAATGTTTAATACAGTATAATTATATTAGAATTGATTGAATTTATTAGACTTAATTAAACTTATGTTAGACCTGATTGAAACTTATTACTCCATATGTAAATAAAATACGTAGTAATAATGTTGTATAAAAATTGTTAAATTAGTCTCATTTTACTTCAAAAAAAAAATCTCAATTTGTAAATTAAAGATATTAATGGTCAAACATATGCAAAACAAAAGGATATTGTGCTTCTGGGCATCACAATCTGAGCATATAAAAAGTTTCCACTTTAAACCTTAGGTAATACGCAATACTCCATACTATATATGTCATGATGTCAAACTAATACATTTACTCGAATGTTCAAATTTTCAAGTTTTATTATACAACCAGTTAGGTTAACTAAGTCGAGCAGTGAAACATATCCCAAGCCAAGGGTTTTTAACGAGCCAAGCTGAGACCGGGCTTATATAGGCTCGACTTGAGCTCGAAGCTCCTCAAGCCTGAAAAAATTAGGCTCAGCTCGAGACATCTTAAGGCTTGGCTTAAGCTCAATACTCCTCAAGGTTCAACACTCCTAAAAGCGGGGCTCGATTTGGCTCAGTTTGGGTCGAGGCTTGACTTGACTCACTTCGGCTCGAGGTTGAGGAATTTAGTATTTAGTCCAATTAACAAGGGCCTAAATGGTGCATATGGTCATTGAATCCAAGACAATCAAAGTTTTCTTTTATAACTCTCATATTATATCCCCTCGCTTCTATTTTTCAATGTGGACAATTTCTTTCCCTTTTTTCTTTTGTTTTAGTTCTTCTATATATCCCTCAAAAAAAAAAGTTCTTCTATATAAACAAGAAGAAAATCATCAACGAAAGCTCCAAAAATTAGCGAGAATCCTACACTTAAGAAGATTAATTTTAACAAAAAAAAAAGGAAAAGAAAAAGAAGATTACTTCTAGTCACTAAAGCCTTAACACATAAATACTACACCGAGTCATTGGCTCGTTAATATCTCAAGCTGAACCCAAGCTCAGTGTCGAGCCTATGTCGAGGTTTGGTTGAGCCAAATCTTGAGCGATTTGTGAACATGCTCGGCTCATTAACACCCCCATCCAAGCCCCAACCAACCATACCCAAGCCCCAACCAACCAATGTAAAAGCTTGGAAAGATCGAGTTGACTGTGAACTTGGACTGTCATCTTCCCCAAACAAGTAGGAAAGAAAGTTCCAGAATCCATCAAATCCCTAACGTCACCCCCACAAACACACTCTCTCTGAAACTTCCCGAACTTCCACCATCTTTTTAACCTCTTTTCTCTCTCCTCCTTCATCAGATCTGCAATACCCACTTCCCCAAATCCCCTAAATCTGATCCACATTCTTGTAATTTTCAAATTAGGGTTTTCAATTTGTTGGGGTTGAAGAGGAAAGAGTTTCTACAATGGAGGGTGGAGCTGTGTCGGAAAAGCAGACATCTTCTTACACTTATTGGGTGAGAGAAACGACGTCGGAGGCTGCTCCTGCGCCTGTTCCTAAGATGCTTTCTCCTCAGGATGTTTCCAAACAACATGCCCCTGTGCTTGGTTCTGTTTGGAATACGGTATCGCTTTGATAATTAATATCTTTAATTGCGTATTAATAAAAATTGTAAAAGTCGGTATTTTTAGAATTTAAACGATGAATTAATAAGATCCCACGTGATATGTTTTTATTTACGGGTATATGCTAGTGTCAAAATATGGTTAATGTTTGTAAAGTTTGATCACTGTTAATGTTGCAATTAATTTGAAACGCAATGGATATTCAATTATGTGTTTTCTTAGAATTTTTTTTATGATTAATGTGATATTATTGAAGTAAGAGATGATGTATAATATTTTATTTTTTTTGACACAATGTATGTTAATTGTTAAATTCTCTGTTTGGATGGTATTGGCTAGAGTATTCTAGTAATTTTGTACTTATACTATTATGCTGGATTGCTAGGTTAATTGTGAAAAAGGTTGATTACAATGAATGGAGGTTTCTTGTAACTTGCAAGTATGCTTGTTTTGTTGTATGAGTTTGTTAACTAATGTACTTAAGAAGGCATTTGTTGAAACAAACCTATTGTTAGTGACAAAGAGTTATTTGTTAATGCCTGGTGTTACTCATTCAATGATTGAGTCGTTAAGTTGGGGTGTCGAAAAAATCTATAAATACTGTTAGTTGGATATTGCTTTTGCGGTTCAGTAATTTTCCTTGTAAAAAATTAGTCTTGTTCTACTTTCTGATGAGGCAGCCTTAGAAGGTTATTGTGCTGATTTATGCCGGCAAAAGTAACAGACTTGTGATTCCATATCTGGCTTTCTAAAATTTTAATCTGCTATAGTTGTCGTCCTTTTTGTTGATCTACTTTATTATCTTAGTTACATTATGCTTGTTGAACTTTGCTAATGTTTGATTTATATACTTGTTTTAGGCTGGAACATGGGAGGAGAAGAACCTTAACAAATGGTCAACTGAAAGGATTATGGTTTGTTCTCCACAAACAAATTATAATCTTTGTGCTTTGGCCGTTTATTTGTGATTTGCCTGCCTCCTGTTAACTGGAACTTGCCACATATATCTTATAAATGTATGAGTTTTGATGTTTTTAAGAAAGAGGGCTTATTTCTAGTCAACACCGTCTCTTTCCTTCCCTTTTTTACATTCCTTTTGTGAACATGGTCACGTATTACCTTAAATTGACATGAAATTTCTCTTGGGTCTGTGTTAGAGACCGTTTTTCTAACACTATAATTAAAGATATTTTAATGCAAATTAAGGGAAAGCTTGAGTGATTTTCGATTAACTGGGAAGTCAAAAGTTTACAAGACAAGGGAATTACAAGATACAATAGCCTGAGGCTATTAGTCTCTAAGCAGCTTTAGGCTACCAATCTCATGAGAATTCTCTCAACTAATTTCTGGATGAAAACGGCTATACTTCCCTCCTTACAATATATACTCAAACTCCAAAATACCCTAAAGCTAATACTAGTTGACTTACAAAGCTTAGGGAACAACAATCTTTTTGCCATGGTTACAAAATGGTGTCTCATCTTTTTCAAGCTTGTCTCTTTCCCAATTTGGCTATCTTGACAACTCCTACTGCTTCCCATGTTTCTCCACTTCTGCTACTTGCTCCTGTTGTTTACCGTTGTGTTTGATTTGTGGACTGTTTACCTTGGACCTACGCTGATAAACCTTAATGGGCTGGCCCAAAGATGAGTCTATCACAGTCTGTAGATTAAGTTTTTGTTTGTTTGTTTGTTTGTGTGTGTGTGCGTGCGTGTGTGTGTGTTACATTAAGAACTCCTGTCCTCCTCCTCTGCAGTGACGGTTCTACCTCGAGTTAGGTTTTGGGGCTCAAGTAGTTTTAGGATGTGATTTCCAAGTGTATTTCTGGTGGTTTTTAGTTCACCAAGTTAGATTAGAATGTAATTAGAAATGTGAACCTGAGTTCTACACTAAATTAAAATTATAGGTGTGGGTATATAAAGAAATTAAGGGTTTTTTTGTGGGGATTGGGGAATTCAATGCACCGCGTATCGGTCTTACCTGTACAAACCCAAAGCAAGCATTATTGTATCCATTTCATAATTTCCAACTAAACCTAGGTTTATAAATTCCTTTTGTTACTTCTTCTAAATGTCCAATACGAAAGCAAGTTCATTCATGTATATCAAACATATAATGTTTCCATTTCTTAAGGAAGAGAAATAGCCTTGCATTTTTTCCACTTCTTCGCTCCGTCCTTCTCTTTTCTGAATAGCCATTAATATTAAGGCACTAAATTTGAAAAACCTAATTTCATATTAACAAGAAACTGAACTGGATTCTCCGAATTCACTCATGAATCCAAGCTTTATTAAGTTCATACCTCACAATTCACAAATTTACTTAATAAACATGTACCTTTAGAGCACAACGCTAGATATATTATTACTATAGCCGCGTTGCTCAGATCCCTAAATATTTACTTTATGAACTTAACATTCCCTTAATTAACCCATATAACTTGGAACTCATTTAGATGCCCAAAACAAGTAGGCCTAAACAAATTTAATTGGAATATATTCTACAACCTGCTCCTTTTTGTTTGTTCCATTTACCCTTTCAATGCACACATCTACACTTTATTATCTTCAGCGATGTGTTATAAAAAATTGTGGAATGGTAATGACTACAAATCGAGTGAAATCTAACAAGATCTTACACGAATATGTAATTTCTTATATGTTAATGGATGCACTTGGTCAAATTTTCCGTCTTCAAAAGGAATATCTTAAAATGGACATACAAAAGGATGGAGGTAGTAGCAAATAAAGTTAAATGAAACAATATAAATTTTTTGCTGTACGTAAGGGGAATCCTCTTTCATGTTAGTTTTATACTTTATCCCAATCTTGAAGTTATTGCAGACAACTTTGGCACCTTTTCCATCCTGAGTATGAGAGGTTAAACGAGGTGGAGGAAGACCAAAAATGACATGGTTGGGAGGATTTAGGAAGGATGTGAATTATGAAGCATATGGATCTGCATGAATGAGGCATTTGATCGTAAGGGATGGAAGAGGAAGATTTTTGTGGATGACTATACGGAATAATCACTTTTGGTTTATGCAGCCGACCCCACTTTTGGGATTAAGGCTTTGATTGATTGATTGATTTATCCTGAGTATCTTTTCTAGTAAAATGCTCCTGGCTGTTGTGCCTGTTGATATGATATTGACATCTTTGTGGTGATTAATTGGCTTGCCAATAGACATGCAGTTGTATCAGTTTGTTTTATTTGCACTTTAGCTGCTCACTGCTCCTCCTTGTGTCATTTTGCAGGAGTTGCTCAGTTCTATTGGCTCCCTGGAGTTTACTAATGGAAAAGCAGAAATAAGTGACGTATCAAAATGTTCAGGCGATGTGAGTATTGCCTTTGCGCACATCTTCGCCGCATTATTGCTGATTTTATTGAATAAAAATGAACGTATCCTGTTTTCACGTGTATTCAAATAATTTATACTCTGAGAGGGCTTCTTTTTCAACTTTCGACTATTAAAATCTGGACTTAATATTGAGTAAAGCTCTTGGATATAGGGGATAAATTGTATTTGATGTTATTGTAAAACTGCTCTCTAATAATGGATTTTACACTTACACATGATCTGATGTACATGATGATGCCAGTGGTAGGGCTTTGTTAAGATGTAACTTTGATCCGAGGTTTTAACTTTTTTTCCAAGGATTTGATTTTTGATCCTGATTGAAAATGGCTTTGAATGTCAATCCAACACTTGTTTCTTAGAATTCAGATTTAGCTTCTATGTTCAGCTTATGATTTGGATCTGAAATTGTTCGACACCCTCTTTTAAAGTACCTTTTGTAGTTGTAGCTTCATATATCTTCTGCAATTAGTTGTTCTTTAGCTGCTTCACTTTATTGATTAATGAATCCTTGAACAGGAGCTTTCGTTTTGGATGTGGTTGTCTTCAGGTACCCATGCATGAAGATTTGATTTCCTGACACAGTTGTGTTATTAGTATCCACAACTCCATCACATTTTATATGCCTTTATGAATTCTTTTTCACAAACTAAAACCCCAAGTGTGTCGACTTTTAATGTGCATATCCTGCCAACTTGGGCTCATAAACTGGGATGAAGGGAGTTCTCGAGTAGATTAAAGGAAAATAGGAAATAGAAAATGTATAATATCGATAAATGTTAATACCTTATTAGTATGAAGTTTGGGCACTAGGCCATAGGCAGTTGGAAAATAAATACTTAATTTTAGTATCAGTGCTTACTTTATCCGAAATATGAACTTACTGTTTTGTCAAATGTATATACACAGGCCTACTTGGTGACGGTTCGTAACAAGAAACGTGTTGGCTATACTTACGAGTTAACCATTGATGTCAAAGGTTGGCATTTAGAAATTCACTCTTACACAGAATACCACTTTTAGGTTTTTTTCTTTAATAAAATTATCATGTGACAACTTGGAACAGGTGAATGGCAGGTTGGTGGAGAGAATAAGAAGATAAAGGGATATCTGGAAATTGCAGAGTTCTCATATGGTGAATTAGATGACTTGGAGGTATGAGTATGTCAGTAAATTGAAACTTTGTTTAAAACTGTAATTTGATATATTGACCAAATCTAAAGGTTTTTTAGGGACTAAATCTATAGTTGCCTGTTTATGTAATGTGTTTGGTGGTTCTTTTGGGGGTGTGCTGTCATTTTAAATTTATTTAGCTATGCGGTAGTTTTCTCTTAGATTTGTATGATTTCAATTATTGGCAGTTGCAGTCCAACTCACCATCTTGTTGTGAAAACTATTTGTTTTGGCTGAAGGGTGCTGGTTTAGTTTACAATTCGGGGGCCTATTGATTTTTGGTTTCTCTATTTCAAGTACTAAGCTGATCACTATTTGGTCCTGAATTTCATAGTGTCGTCTAACACCATCACTTGCTACAATTATTATAGAAAGTTTATGTACCACAAGTCCACAATCAAAGGAGTCAGTAGACTTCAATATGGGATCATCATATGCCAGTTCTTATTTTCCGACGAAGATGCTCTCCTATATTCTAATATCTGCCTGTTTTCTCTAGGTGGTCTTCAACATTCTAATTATGCTCTCCAGATAAAGATAGAAAATGCTTACCCTTAATGTATCTTGACATTCATCACCTAGTACTTGGATTAACTCCTCAGAAGACTTCTTAGATTGTGAACTATTATAAAATTTTCATAGTTCATAGACCAAGGCCCTATGGCTACTTAATTACTTATGATGCCTAAAGAGTTGACATCGTTATAACTTATAATAGTTGTGGAAGTACTTCGGAAAGTTATGCAGAGTTGGGGCAATGAGCTATTTGGCTTCATTTAAATGGCAGTTATTAGAGCCTTAGAGGTACCTCCTGGAGGAATTTGGTATTTTAAAGTACCCTTGTTAATTAGTATGAAATACAGAGTATATATTCATTAAGATTTTGGAAGAAAAGGAGGGAAGTAAGGAATCCAGTTTATTATTTGGAAATAGAATGGGTAAAGGGGAAGGGAATTGTGGGAGTATTACATTTTCTGCTCTCTCTTGATATACCTAATAAATCCTCTCTCCCTTCCCTTCCCTTTACCCTCCTCTTCCTTCCCTGTACCATTGTTATACAAATGTACGATTAGCGTAAACAGCTGTAAAAAGGTTTATACTGAATTTGGTATTTTAAAGTACCCTTGTTAATTAGTATGGTCCCAACAAGTTTGTGTAGATGGTTGTCATAACTTGCTGGTTGTAGCAAGTAGTTGCTGTTCGAGCACTCTATTTTGGTTTTTTTTTAAAGCCTTTACATATTTTCTTCTCCGTGTCAAATGGCTGATTCTGTGTGAGAATTTTTGTGCTTTCTACTTGAAGCCATTGCAGCTGGGTTTTTATAACCATATTCTGACAATTCTTTTGCCATGTATGTTTGCAGCTTACCGTGAATATAAGTGGAGGCAGTGATTTGCCACACCAAGATAAGCAGAGTATTACCAAGGATTTGAAGTCTTTCTTACAACCCTTGCGTGAAAAGCTGTTACAGTTTGAACAAGAACTCAAAGAGAGGTAGAAGGATCAATGTGCCTCTCTATGTACTCTACTCATTTATTGCTCTTGCTAGTTTCAGAAACTATGTAACATTAGAATATCAATCGAGATTCCATCAACCAAATGTAAGAGTAAAAGTCTCAGTTTTCAGGGATCTCTAGCTCAGTGCATTTCAATTTGTTTTGTGTACTCTAAAAATGTGCTTTGAATTCAAACCTTTGTTATCTAAGAAAGCTAAAACTTCTCTTTTGTTAGTTTGTCAATTGTCACAATATGGAATTTTTTCGAACATGTTCTACTCCGTAATACGGAGTATAAAAGAGATGTTAACGAATAACGATAGCCCGTGTTTTTATTTTGAGGTAGCGAGGCTAAAAGGGCAGGCATCTAAGAGGATGGATTCCCTTATCGATTAGTATATCCCTGTTTGCATAAAAACATGACACCAAATCTGTTTCTAAGTATTCCAAAAATCACTTTCAAATGCTCAAGTTTGGAAGAATAAATTTACTTTTTCTTTTAATTTTTAAGGAAAATGCTATACATAGCCCTAAGGGTTACATATAAGCATTTAATTTACTCTTGAAAATTGTTTAAATTTAGAAAATCATGACAAAAACACACTAATTACACCGATTTGCGCGTGTTTTTGTCATGAATTCCTAACTTTATACATTTTCCAAGAGTAAATTCAATGCTTATATATAGCCCTAAGGGCTATGTATAGCATTACCCAATTTTTAATTACATTTCTTATTATTATTTGGAGAAATTTCAAAACTAACGCAGGCATTGGATAGTAATAATAATAATAATAATAATAATAATAATAATATATGGTTCTAAAAGACAAAAAAGCATCAACAATGAAGGCTATGGGGTAACAATTTGATCCCTTTTGGATTCTCACTATAAGAGCAAGTTTAGCCCTTAAGACTTGGGGTGACATTATCATTTTGATTCTTAAGATTTATATTTAAGATTTTTCTCATTTTTCTTCAAAAATCTCAAACAAGTCTCAAGTTGAGTCTTGAAATTTCAAGACTCAACTTAAGACTTGAGATTGGGACCCACTCATTCAACCACTTCACTTTTATTTTTATTATCCTTTTTTTTTTTTTTTTTTTTTTTACACTTTTCTACATATAATATGTCAAATATTTAAGTCTTAGGGCTAAAGTGATAAATTTGTGTAAGTCTTAGTGAGTCTTAACAAGAATTTGATGATATCATTTTCAATGGGGACTACCAAAAATGATGTCACATCCAAATCTTAAGACTTGGGGCTAAACTTGCTCTAAGCACTAGTAAAAGAGTGCAATTAACCAATTTTGAAATGTATTAAAAAGTCTAAATATTAAGCTAAACACAAATTTTAATGTGACTGGTCACAATGTGCGGTCAAGTGGTCAACGATTATAAGATATTTTGTTAGTGTTATAGGGATTGCTTAGGTCTTGTTCACATTTATTGAGCTGAATTGAATTGAACTGAACTGAATTGATTGGAGCTGAAATGAATTGAACTACTTTGAGCTGAAGTGAACTGAACTAAGCTAAGTTAAAATTAATAATGAGAGAAGAAAATTACGAGCTAAACTCAACTGAAATTAAGTTGGAGTGAACAGGCCCTTAGTCAATATTATAGGAATTTTTTTGTTATATTACAAATGATCACATGGTTTGATCTGCCACACACAAAACACATTGTAATTTTTTTTCTTTTTTTAAGAACAAAACGCATTGTAAGTTATATTAAAAAAAAAAAAAAAAAAAAAAGCAAAAGCTAACAAACGCCTTGGGGACGTTGGATAAGTTAGCTAAAAGTAGAAAGATTAAAATAAAATTAACATTAATTACACCAATTGACGCGTGATCTTGTCATGTTTTCCTAAATTCATACCATTTTGAGTAATATTTTAAATGCTTCCCGGGGACATTCGTGAGCAAGATCGTAAAAAAAATACTAATAATAATCCATAAAGATGCCTAATTATATGATCATAAATCATAATTAAAATAACTTTTAAAAAATAATTTAAAATAGAGGTGGGGGAATCCCACAAAATCTCAAATTCTCATTTCCCACCACTATTTGGCAGCTTTCAACGCATATCCATTAATCTTTTTTTATAATGGAATTAATTAAAATTATTCTCCTCTTCTTTCCACAATTGTTTCATCCCACCACGTCCTTTTCTCTCCCTCTTTTCTTTTTCTTTTTAATTTTTTTTTATTATTTTTTTTTAAAAAAAACGAATATTAATTTTTCACTTCCTTTTTCTTCCAAATTTCTTGACAATTACTACAAAACAAATCATCTACCAAAATTTTTATTTGTCTCATTGTTTGTGAGCCTTACAAAATTGACAAAAGTTGGATGTTAATCATTGGGTTTGTTATATGAAGCTCTAAGAATTTTGCTTGTGCTTTTGCATAATGGTTCGTTCTTCATAACCTTTAATTCTATTTCCCATTTTTGTTTTCCATTTTTGGTGATTTTGGCATGATATGGTATGTTTCAACATCAATTATGATATTATAATCACGATTGGATTATAACTAATAAAAAAAGTTATTCTAAATATATGGAATACTAAACTTTAGTGTACTCATATAATCTTGGGTTGGCAACTTGACTACCGTAAACTTAATCTTGGGCATAAAATATACCATATACACTTATGTACACACGTCAAGTCCAATATATGTCTTGAATGTACCAATGTGTGACGTACTTATGTGTTTGTGCACACATTGTGCCATTTGTCGTTTTGAATGCCTACGAGTATATTCTTTATTTTTAATACAGCTAAACACGTATTAAGATATATGTGGATTAGGCTTATTTTTTTTTTTTATTAGAAAGTTTAAAACGAGGCCATTTTCATAAATTTGATGGATATTCCTTGCAAGAAGTACAATATCTAACTTGCTCAAGATAATTTTATTTGAGAAAGAAGAAAAATTATTTAATTTGATTTGTTTTTTTAAAAAACATTACTACGTATTTGATAAAATTTTTATGTCAATTAGGAGGTGAATGCAATGGTGACTAGTTGAGACCATCCATTCTTTAATTCTTAAGGATGATACTCTAAATGATGAAACAAGTACGTTTTTTTTTTTTTTTTTCATCTTCTCACTGCTAATACTTCGTAATGTTTTTCTCCCTCCACCCCTAAATTATATTCCTATTTCTAACATTTATTCCTCACATAATAGAGAGAATTAGGAATGTAATTTAGGGACAGATTGCCATTTTATATTACTTATACCATTGATTATCATATTTGCTCATTCATACAAAAGGAGAAAACAAATTTTCTTCATTTAGAAAAGAAAGAGCAAATTTGTTTTGTTCAACTAAGTTAGTTTTTCTAATTTGCACCTTGAGCAAATTCATCAAATACGTAATAAGTGCAAAATCGATTTGCTCATTTGCGCAAATGAGCAAGGTATAACCGATTGAATGGTAAAAATGCTACCTGATCGTTAGGTGATACTGAGTTTTTTTTTTTTTTTTTGGTCCACATAATATGATAATAAATACCAATTAATTAAACTCCAAAATCCCAACATTGTGTTGGTTCTTGGTAGGTGATAGGATTTGGTCAAAAATAGGTTTATTTGGCCGTTTTTGATACATTCTACGTGCTCAGCACAATTTCATTTCTTAAGCCTTAATAATAAAAATTAATAGAACATGATTTCACATCAATAATATTTCAAACAAATCTTTCAAAAAAATTAAAAAAAAAAATATTTCAAACAAAAAAAGAACTTATCAATTTTTATTCCTAAATGTCACACTTTTATGATGATGTGCATATATTTTGCACTAGGCCTGCATTTGTAAACATTGATTGATATACTTCATGTATTCAATATATTAGGAAACTGCATTTTATTTTCTAAAGTTTAGAAATTTTTTTTGAACATAATATCATTCATATTGAACTGTGTTATTAATGTGGTTTCCACAAAAACCTAACCAGGGATTCAATCAGCGTTGCTGTGTCGCGCCGCTGACGTCATTTAAGCCTGTGGAGAGGGCTGATACTTCTGAGGTTAGGCTTTTTTTTTAATCATTTACCTTTTGTGGTCGTTTTTTTTATTTACCTAATTATATTTTGTTACACGTCTCTATTTATGTCATTGTAAATACGTGTTCTAAATTAGTTCATTCTTGTCTGTTGGACTCCTATGAAATCTCAACTTCATAACAAGTTTCTAAATTTAACTGATTTGTTATAACAATCATATTTTTTTTGAGGGATTATAACAATGATTGTTTGTATACGTAATGATTAAAATTAAAAGATATTTTTCGGAGAATTATTGTTCTTTGCTAAGTAAATTGTTCTTGGTTGGAAAGATATTTGCCTTGGTGAAATCATCACCCTTAATAATATATAGGTACATTATGTAACGATGTTTTAATCTTTGTTACGTGGTAATGTTTTAATTTTTCTTTAAATTTTTAAGCAAAAAACGCGATTTTTATTTGATTTTTTGTCCTTAGAAAAAAAAAATGTATGTGATCATCTGAAAGAGTTCATATTTTTATGATGTTAATGTAACAGATGAGCTATCCATCATCAGAAGATGATTCATATGAGCCGAAAAGGATGAGTCCTGATTGGGGATCGAAAACCAGCATGGACTCGGGTTATAGCTCACCCGAACCAGGCTCAATGGATCCAACCTCGATGCCTAAACCAACAGGTCCTGCCCAAAGCAAGTTCAGGGAGCAGAAGAAACATCTGGAACCTCTATGGAAGCCAGGGTCTAATAACCTGATGGCTGGGAACCAACGTCGAATACCCTCTCCTAGGCCGGTCTCAAGTCATGAGGTGACAGTTCAGAGGCGAGATCACAGCTACAGCAGCAACAACAGCAATAACCATCAGAACCAGCACCACCGGAGTGACAGCATAGAGAGCACGAGTTCTGCACCCTTAAAGCCTCATACAGGAGGAGATGTGCGATGGGATGCTATAAACGCGGTGAATGCAAGAGAGGCTCCATCAGGACTTGGCCATTTTAGACTCCTTAAGAGGCTTGGGTATGGAGATATTGGTAGTGTTTATCTTGTTGATTTAAGAGGGACTTGCACCCATTTTGCTATGAAAGTCATGGATAAGGCTTCACTCGCGAGTAGGAACAAGTTACTTAGGGCGCAGACTGAGAGGGAGATTCTTGGCTTGCTTGATCACCCTTTCTTGCCTACATTATACACACATTTTGAGACCGATAAGTTTTACTGCTTGGTCATGGAGTTCTGCAGTGGCGGTAATCTTCATTCCCTTAGACAGAAGCAGCCTAACAAGTTTTTCTCTGAGGAAGCTGCTCGGTCAGTAACTTTTCCTAGCTATTTCCCTTATGATGATCTTATGTTTCTACCACCTCCGTTTCTTATTATGTGCAACAAAGGACACAATTCCCTTTGTTGCACATAATAAGAAATGGAGGGAGTAAAACATTATGTTATAGTGGCCTTAAATCATACTTTTTCTAGCTTGATTTACTTCTTTTACATTCTAGGCTTAAAGTCTTTGTTCATAATCATGTTTTAAAACAATCAAGAGATTTTAGAATTATATTGTGAATTCATGTTGAATGCAGGTTTTATGCATCAGAAATACTATTAGCATTGGAGTATCTACACATGCTTGGAATTGTATACAGAGACCTTAAGCCAGAGAATGTGCTAGTAAGGGAAGAAGGTCATATCATGCTCTCAGACTTTGATCTTTCCCTCCGTTGCTCGGTCAGCCCAACCCTTGTCAAGTCTTCCTCATCTCATGTGTCTAATGGTGGTAGTGGTGGTGGAAGTGGAGGGGGTGGGATCCTCGACGAGGAATTAGCAGTGCAGGGGTGTATGCAACCCTCAAGCTTCTTCCCTCGCAGCATACTCCCTGGCAAAAAGAACAGAAAATCTAAATCAGATTTTGGGCTGTTTGTAAATGGATCACTCCCTGAGTTGATGGCAGAGCCCACCAATGTCCGGTCTATGTCATTTGTCGGTACACACGAGTACCTTGCTCCTGAGATTATCCGAGGGGAGGGGCATGGTAGTGCTGTAGACTGGTGGACATTTGGTATTTTCCTATATGAGCTCCTACATGGTACCACCCCTTTCAAAGGGCAAGGAAACCGGGCTACCCTCTTCAACATCGTTGGCCAACCCTTGAGGTTCCCTGATAACCCAAATGTCAGCAATGTGGCCCGTGATCTGATTCGTGGACTTTTGGTTAAGGAGCCTCATAAGAGAATTGCTTACAAAAGGGGTGCTACTGAAATTAAGCAACATCCTTTCTTTGAAGGGGTGAATTGGGCACTTGTTAGATGTGCTGCCCCTCCTCATGTCCCTGATCCTGTAGATTTTACGCGGTTTGCTAATAAGGATGCACCTCCCCCTGGAATGGAGAAGAAGGTTGCTGAGTGTTCTACCGGGAGTGACAGCAATCAGAGCAATTCTAACGATTCTACCTACATCGATTTTGAGTATTTTTGATAAACTATATAAATGATGAAACAATTTTCCATAATCCAACTTTATAGTAGTTTATACTCCTATACTTTAGCAAAAGGGACTATTTTATTTTTTGCTGTACAAAGAACATGAAAATTGTATTTGTTTTAACAGAAATTCTTTTTTGACACAAACAGAAAGCATGAAGTCCTGATTCATATTTTGACAAATAATTGAGTACATATATATGAGATCATACAATTTACTTAACCTACCAAGATCACACAATATAATAAAAATGATACATTTTCTATCATACAATACTATAGTTTAATTTTGTCGCGAACTTTATGGTGTCACATAGCTTAATCTGTAATTGTAATCTGAGGCATGGGCTGATTCCTTAGGAATTGTTGAAACAGAAGCAGAGCTTGTCGGGGTCTAGTCAATGGAACCTCGTGTCCTGCACCTCTGATTGTCACGTAGGTTAGTCCGTTATATACTTGGCTCCATCCACCAACCTGTTCAGAAATCGTCAACCAGAATTTCAGAAAGTCTGAGTAATACTAACAGAACATAATATCTGCACAACTATATGCTGCTGTAGTGTTGTAATATAACAGAAACTGTAAGCACTGACCTTTTCACTGTCATACCAAGGATACCATTCTGTAATTGTACTGAGATTAAGGGCATTGATGGAGAATCTTGTTGAAGTTAGTGGTAAAATCGCGTCTGTGTCTCCACTGTAAGGAGAAAATTTTAAGAATCAGTTAACTGCATTCCTGGTATGTAAAGGGTAAATTCTGATACTGCTGAGAGTTACATTTACGATTGACCAATTGATAAGAACAAGTAAATGGACACGGCAAAACTAATTCATATCCGATTTAAACCCAAGAACAGATTTTAACTCTAACCAAAATTAACCCGTATATGACAGTGCTTATAACATCAAATTAAGGCGACATAAATCACCTGAATACCCAAATCTGAACACCAGCAGCTATGAGTTCCTTGAAGATAGGAAGCATAGATTTCGGGGAGTCAGTCCAACTGCTTCGAACAACTTCACTGCATAGCACGAAAACCTTAACACATAAATACATCTTCATGATATAAATTTCACAGAAGAAACCATCCTGCACATTCTCAGAGATTGTACAAAATGGTGCTATTTCGATGTCTGATTAATGCTAACAGGATATAATGATACTAATTGATATAAAGTCCAGGGTTCATTAGGCCTTGTTCTTTTTTCCTGAAAATCCCGATCTCTTATCTGAACTTATTGACCCTTACATAATTATCGTGAAAAGAATGAAGCAGTAAAAAAAATTGAAAATGAGTTATGATAAAATTGGTGTGGTATGCAAACCTGCAAGCAGTCCAACTATGAGGAATAGAGCCAGAGATGTTAGCATGAAGAGCTTTTTGTACTTGTGGTCTGTTCATGTAATTTATTGTGTATGTCACTATACAATCATCATTCCCCTTGTACTTAAATGGCTGCATGATTTCACCAAAATATTTGTCAATATATTTAAAAATCAACTATTATTTGTAAATCTACAGGAATTGAGATAATCACCAATGTAATCCTAATTGAATATTATTGAAAAGATGGTTACGTTTTAGAAACACAATAAATTTACATTCGAGTCTGTTTTCAACTCAACATATTCAAAACTCGAGTAGATTTCTCACCCAATCAAGCTCAATATTATTACAGACAATACAAGATGTTATATTTATTAAGATGTTTTTGTAAATTACCACCCTAAAATTTAATATGTGGTGAAATAACCGCCCATTTTTGTTGAAATTAAAAATAGCCAACTATATTTTACAAAACTGTACGTTTTACCACCCCTACCTATACTCCGGCCAGTTTTCCAATCATGTGCCCCACAATTTCATTATGAAGAACCCTAAATTTCAATTGAAGTTAAATTGAATGAATCAAACAACGATTACATCATTAAATTCCTAATAAAACACATTCCAAACAAAAAATATCATATAACTTGAATTCTACTTCATTAAACATTGCAAAATAACTAAAAAAAATAAAAATAAAAATGAAGTGCGATCTTCAATTACCTTGATGTACAAATTGGTGTAAAAAAATTTAAGTGCGTTTTTCAAAGGATTCGCTTGTCAATTTACAAAACTTGGAGTAAAAATTGGTAGAATTTGTGGGAAAAAATGAAGAATTTTAAGTTTGGGAGTAGTTTGTGAAACAATGGAAGAAATAAATAGAGAAACAACTTTTATAAAAATAAAAAACAGTCGTTATGTGGGAGTCATGCTCGAAAAACTGGTCAGAGTATAGGTCGGGTGGTAAAAGCTACATTTTTTGTAAAAATTGGGTGGTTATTTTTAATTTTTTTTTAAAAAAGGTGGTTATTTCAATACATGGTACATTTTGGGTGGTAATTTACAAAAAAAATCCTATCTATTACGTCTAATCTTTAATAGTTGCATTATTTTGACCAAACACGTTTATAATATACTAGTTTAACTAGGTAGTTATCAAAATTAGAAAAGAAAAAAAAAGTCAAAATGATGTAATTATTACGAAACAGATGTAATATTGGGCGAATAGAGAGAGAAAGGAGGATAATAGCGTACAAAGTGAGGGTGGAGGGAGGAAAGATCATCACAAACAGGGCCATAAATGTCATAGGGATTGATGTCTCCAAACTCCGAGTAAGCCTTGAAAAGTGCGCCATTACATTCACCCTTTGGGAACAATATCGAGTCATTCAAGCAATACTTGTTTAGTGCCTTGTATGTTGCATCTGATATCAACCCATGATTGAACCAATACTCAAATGATCCTTTGTTGTCTAGGTAGTTATCTATCACTGGATTCCCTAGCTGCAATATTAAAATATAATCAAATATAATATTATAATATAAGGTCGAGATATAATAATAAACTATATATCATGAATGAAAGAGATCGAGATATTACTAGAAATCCTTTGAAGTTTATGGTAGGGTTTTTAACTCCTTTGTTGAGACGATCTAAGATTAAGGAGAGTTCAGGGATGTAATGCCCTGCATAACTTTCACCGGCTATGTAGAATGGTCTATTCTTGTATTCGGGGAACTTTTTGAACCATCTTGTTAAGAATACGTAGGCATCTCGAGCTGAACATGTGTATAAGGTTTATAAGTGACAGAACATTGCAATACTTGGTATCATGTTATTTGTACTAAATTATTAGTAGCCTTAATTGTCAAATTGAGATGGAAAGGGACGGAAATATACCAGTTCTCCTATCACCAATTTCTTCTACATCAACCGAAGAATTTGAATAAGAGAATCCAACCCCAGCAGGTGAATCAAGGAAAAGCAAATTGGCCTCTACATAATAAGAAAAAAGGATTGTTAAGGGGATTTTTAATTAGCTTGGTAATTTGAATCAAGGAAAAGCAAATCTATTTTTTTTTTTTACATATAATGAAATGAAAAAAAAAAACAACTTAATTTGAATTTAATTAACTTGGTCGATCAATATAATAATTGTGTTAACCTATACAAAATACATTATGTATTCTTAATTATATAGTAAGCTATGAACCTACATATTAAAAATTCATCAAGAAGCACAACTTGTGACATTCTCTTATTCCCCACAATTATATGAAGACTAGACAAAGAAATGCCACTTTGTGTGAAACACCAATACCCTACCTAACCACTCATATAACTAGATTATCAACAAAACACCTTCACATTCAAAGAACATAGGAAAAAGAACAAAAAGACAACACCATCAGCAAAAATGACCAAACAAACAAACAAACAAAATATCCATATCTTCAAACTATATAATATAAATATATAATATAATGAAACAAATAATATGAAATATACCTTTTTTTCATTTAATAATCCTAACTCCGTTTTTATTAGTTGACACGTTTTGAATTTAGCACTACTCATACACTTTCTTTGACCATATTTAGTCAAGTGGAATCTTGTTAGATTCGTCACAATGTATATTTTCAAAATATTAACATTTTATAATTTTTGCTTATCATCAATTAAATATATATTCATGATTGAATTTGTACATTAGCAAATGTGACTAAAGAAATGTGTCAACTAAAAAGAAACGGATAAAGTACATACCTTTGTTCCAAGCATATGGGCTTAAAGTAAGTGTTTTCCCATCAGGCTGGACCCTAAATGGACCCACCTCCTCAGAAGCCCCATAAGCCACAGATGAGCAACCAGGCCCACCATTAAGCCAAAGTACAAGTGGTTTCAAATTGGTTTTACCACTTAATGGTGACTCAATTAGCCAGTAAAAAAGGGACCTATTAGTCCTTTTATCCACTGTTACATAGCCTGAATATTGGCTAAAATTCACCTTGCCTAATGGCTGCCCCGGTAGCGAGGTGATCCTATCTCTATCTCGGGCGCTCCGGGCCGCTAGCGTCTCACCGGAAAAAAATAGGATGAGGAGTAGAGAACATGAATAGATCTTACATTGTTCTCTAGTGGGTGAAGCCATATTGGTTGTGTTTGTGTAAGGACTTTAGAAGAGAAGTTTAAGCATAAAGTTAAGGATTAATAGTGTCATATAAAGGCAAAGAAGTCTTCTTCACATGCAAGTTACATTGTGATCTTATATTTATAGTTTGTGTCTTGAATAATGGAAAACATTATTAACTAATTGTAATGGACGGTTTTAAATTGTTTAAAATTTATCAATCACTTGGGCTAACATGTAATTGCCCAAATGAATTGGGTTTAATTTGATTAAATGGATACATTATTAGGGACAAATTCATGAAAAGAAGGCAATATGTCCATATCTATACTCCTAATTATTCCTTACTCCTTACAAACTCCATTTATCTACGTCAAATTTATGGTAGTAGCAAATGTAACAAGAAGTAGGATTACAATATTTGAGAAAGAGTTAAAGTAGATTTGTTTTACTATCTCAATCCGAATTCGACTTAATCGTCTTAATTCACACTATAGTTGATATGATAGTAAAAGTTAATCCACAAATTAATTAAATTTTGTATGAAATAACAACTAATTGGCACAATAAATCCACAATCAACTTGATTGTGACCTAAGCTAAATTGATTATTTGTTGCATGATTATAAATTGAGCCGAATTGAATCGAAGCAAGCCCTACCTAAACTTGATCCAATTTACTCATAAGTCAACTCTCGAGAAAAAAAAAATAATAAAAAAAAGTATAAATTGATGCTAAACTATGATCCTCCTCAATATAATGAACTAATATAAAAATAAAGTACTCCCTCCTCCCATATTCGTTGCAATTGTTTGACTATTATGATCGATCTAAAAGTAGTTAACTCTATATAAATAACAAATTACAGAGTTAAATAATTAGTAATTCAAATATACATTAAGATACATCTTAATAAGATCTTATAAGACTATAGTTTGTATTATTTCTATGAGTGATGAATTATATATATTCAAAATTTTATTGATTGCAACTTCAAAAGTGAAACTTTTGAAAAATAAAATAAAAGACCATACATAATATAATTAGGATAAATTCTATCAATCTAACAATCCCAAATTTGAAATTGTCAAAACTCACTTGCATTATAAATTTATCTACACTTAATCTTAGTGGTAAAATATTTTTTGACACACTTAAATCTTTGGGTAAAAAAAAAAAATGTCTTCACTAACCCTTTACTCTTTATTTTATATTCAACTCATGCTTTACTAATAATGTGTCAAGTCAACATGACAGCTAGCTAGCCTAGGAGAGTAGGAGATTAATGCTTAAACCTTAAAGTATACTTCGTATAACATTCTCTATGTACGAAAATCAATATATGCTCAATTTTTTCAAAAGGTAAGAAAAATTGCTCAATTGGGTCAAAATTCCACATGGGCCAACTCATCCCGAACTAACAGACTAGGCATAATGAGAACAGAGGTAAAAGATCGATAGATACTCTAAAATCCTCCAATATAATCTTCCAATTTGTTGATGCACCTAAGTGAATATTGTATCATTTAAATTACGCCTCATTTATAACTTGTTCATCAGCAACGTAACATAAAAATATATTCAATCTAACACGGTGATAGGCTGATTTAATAGCATTACAGCAAGAGCCAAGAAGGATGCTTGAAGTTGAAGACACTGCCACTAGGCAATGCACAAGAGCTAAATCAATAATCTTTAGTCTTCAATTCATGCCCCTTATAACGCCCTATTTTCTGGATCACCCCTAATTATTTTTCTTCTCCTTCCATTTTCTAACATGTTTATTTCATTAATTACAATATCAGTGCACTATTAATGACAATGAATTGAAGAACTTCTGTTTGCTATTGGGATTAGATGGGCCCACTATATACTAAGGTTAGATCATTGTTGACGTAACCCTTCATGATTGGTGGGAAACTTGCAAGTGTCAAATTTGATTAAGCAACCTCTAATTTGTTTTATTATTGTAATTTAGTTAAAGTTTTCCTAGTATTTTATTTAAGATATATGATCTAGTTTTGACATTATTAGTCCACCGCTATGACTGACCAAGTGATATTTGACTATAGAGTAGAGATATATAGTAGCTACTTGTAACTTGTTCATGGAACATTTTATGAAGAAATTAAAATCAGCTACTAATTAATTAATAATGCATTAATATCTTTGATTAATTAGCAAAACTAGCTAATAATGCACTATAATAAGAGACTTAAGAAGTAATACACCATTACTAATTTACTACTTCGTACGTACGAACAATTTAGCACAATATTTTGTATGCGCTCTGCTATATCGTGCGCCAGGGGTTACTCTAGTTATTCGGTCATGGGTTATGGGGGTTTCTCAGTTAGGAGTTACTCAAGTTGCCTTAGAATTATTCGAGTTGCCAGAGTTACTCAAGTATTCGGTCAGGGGTTACTTGAGTTTCGTTACTCCTGAGTCCTGATCGAGTAACCCCTCGAGTAATCCATGACCATACCTAATTTACTACTGTTATACAAAGTATTAAACATTTGAAGGTTAAATCAAATTATGCAAACATATTACTTTTAGAGACAGATTTAAGTTCAAGATAATATTTAAAAGATAAGTAAATAATGATTTATTTAAGTTGAGAAAGGTTGTTAAACAACTAACTTAACCAAAAGTTTAAGTTGATGCTTAAAACTCAAAGAATATGGTTGATGGCATAGCATGCTTAAGTACTTGGCTTCGAAATCATATTAAAGGACCATCTTCGTCACTAAAATCTTAAGCTGGTGGTTAAAACCCAAGAATATGTTTTAATTTGTACTTTTTCAATATGAATATTATGAATAGTAGAGGGAGAGAGCGGTCATTGGACAATCATTCTAAACCAAATAATATTTCTACCTAAACCAACCTAAGATAAGTCTAGGATAAGTAGAGGATCGTATCCACAGGGAATGGGTAACTAACACCAAGAGTGTGAAATGGTTGTAAGCTAGTTCGGTCACAAATTGTAGGCATTGATTAAATAACTACTATGGAGACAAACATTAGGGAAAATGGGAATCGACAACAACCAAACCAATGGATCAAAACAATAGGCAAGCATGAACACAAATTGGGTGATAGAAAGCAAGGGCACTCAACATTGTCTTCTTTCGAAGCCACAACACTAAGCATTCTTAAACCAAATTCAACTAACAAGATAGGCCAACTAAGTCTTAATGATGGGAAGTAGACTACTAACTCGGGTGTGTCTTTTGATCGGTCCAATAAAGCATTAAGGCACAAGTAATTGGGATTTCTCACCTAATTATTGCAACTAATACTACTACATCATCCAAACAAGGAACAACAATCAAAAGGAATTTATCATAATCATATAAGAAAAGGCTCACAGCTAGACCCCATCTCTCAATGCATGCATAGAGGTGAATACATAAGCAATAAGTGTCCATCCAATTACGTACACATGCAATTAACCAATTCTATAACAATCAATCATCAGCCCAAAATGAAGATTCAAGCACAAATATTAATCAACCCATGGCTTGGTTGGGTCTTAGCTTCACCCAACCCCTAGCTAATCATGGTGAAGAACAACATAACAACACTTCCTAACTCTAGCATTAATCTAACAAGTTGAGAAAACCAATAAGAATAAGGAAAATTGAACATGCAACAACAATTAAACAAGATTAAGGAAGAAATTAAACAATTCAAAGTAAATAAAAACATAAACCAAAGAATAAGAGATAGAGGAAAGAGATTACTAATGAAGCTTCAAAGTTCAGAAATACTTGAAATCAAGAGAATAATCTTCAATTAACTATTACAATGATTGAATTTTGAGGAAAACTAAGCTAAATAAAGAGAGTTTAGAGAAACTAAGGGCCTAAGAACATGATAGCGGCATTATTGGGGAAGGAAGGCCATACTGCCCGGCGCTGCTATTGGCATAACAACCGGGGCTTTCTCATCTAAAGGGAGGGGTGAGCTTTCTCACTATAGAATTCGCACCTGTTCGACCAGTCGGTCTCACAGTCAGGCAGGTTCCCGGGTGCCTATACGATTATTAAGGCAGGATGCTACTGTTCCTTAAAATGGAAGTCAAGGGTCGTATTTATACCCCAAAAATTACATCGTAAAATTCGTCAAGAAAATCGGTATTACAAAGAGGAGCGCCGCTCCTTGACATAGGAGCGCACGCTCCTAAGGCTAGAGCGTCTGCTTTTGACTGCACAGATTTGGGCAAAAAAAATGCTGGATGTCGGCTACGAGCGCCCGCTCCTGGAAGGATGCGCGCCTGATCCACTCGCTCCACTCGCTCCAGCTGTGATAAGGAGCGCTCGCTCTCCTTAAGATCCACGCCCGCTCCTAAGCTTGATGTGCACCCTTAAACGTTCCTTTGAGCCTAAGATATTTCATCTTATCTTTGTACCTATAGACATAAGCACACACAAAAGAAGAGTATAAACACCAAAAGCTACAATCTTGCAAAAAAAGGGGTTAAATTAAAGAAAGGGATAAAGAGAGAAAAATGACAACAAAATTGTGTTAAAAATATCATGATAGGTGAACAAATAAAACACTTATCAATGAATATACTTTGGGTACAAATAATTATATGTGCAATGTCATATATAGTTTCACGTAATTTGTAAATATATATATTATTATATAATTTACTTCATGTTGATTGAATCTACTAATAAAAAATAGTAAATTTGCTACTTTTATATCATGATTTAAAATACTTTATACAATATAATATATATATATATATAAAGGGGAGTTTTTTCCTGAGTTTTTAGAGAGCCACGTAGGATTTAATTTTCTTAGCGCACCACGTAGGATTATAAATTTAAGTTGTAGCCAATTAAATAAGAGATTTTCAATTTTTTTACAATTATAATTCAAATGCCACGTAAGCAAAATTGACGAATGAGATACTAAAGTTTAAATTAATTAAATATAAAATATTATCTTTTGAGATTAGGAATTTTATCTAATATTTTAATGCTATAATAATAATAAAAATCACATAAACATGAAAAATATTTTTAAAAAAAATATTAACAAACCGTGCATCGCACGGGCTTCATCTAGTATAATATAATTT